GTGTCATTCACTTCGATTACTCTTACTAGTTTGTCATTACTCATGTGTCATGGTGATTCATGGCCAAGAATGTTCATTTGTAGTTTGGTTTCTTTGTTGATGTCAGTTGTTTGTTCATATAATGATGATGGGCCCCGTTGTTATATGAGCCAACCTAAAGGTGGTCAGCTGATACTCACAGAAGATCAACTCTGCACTAAGCATTCTTTGTGTAATGATATGACTGGGGTATTGAAGTGATCCCTTTTCCTTGGCTTGAAGTTCTCATAAGAGTTGTAAATTGTAAATTCTAATCTATGGAAATGGCGATTCATGATGTCAGTTGCTACTTTATTGGTTGATGATACCAGTAACTTCGTGTATGAAATGGACAACAAGCGAGTGGAAAAACACGATCCATGTCTTGTGGTTTGTAAGTTGAGTAAATAAGAGTTGTATAAGCAAATGCATGAGATAGTTAAAAAAGGATCCTGATGGTCTATTTTTATAATTTGAACCTTTATCATGAAAAACACCTAAATTAAAAAAATTGTCAATAAAAGACGTCACTTGCTGCATGAAAATAGCTGGCTTTCACTTGCAACTTTTTACTAATTTTATTAAACTTTTGTAAAGATGTAATTGCAATTCTGCAAGTAGGGTTCGTTGAATTTTTAAGATAAAATTGTTACAATCAATTTGAACTATGCACACGTAAAAACTGCGCGGTGAAAAATAAAACGAATCGAACGACTAAGTCGCCTGGATCAGACTGACCCGGACAACGCTTGGAAATCAGGTATGAAAGTTTTGTTCTTTTCAATATATTTCAGTTTTGTTTTTGATCATTCATTATGCTGACATTTATAACGTGTTTTTTATAGAGTAGCTATGTCTGTAGGCCTACTAACTGGACAATGAATGAACGACCAAGTCGGACAGAAGCACCAAGAAGCAAGCGTCCTTATTGAAAGATTCACACTTGCAACTCTAGTTATACATAATGCTCACCAGTACATAGCGCATTTTCAAATTTAACCGTTAAAAGTTTCCATAAAACTAAATTTTCACAATTGTTAAACTGTCTGACAAAACATACGAGTGAAAGCCAGCTATTAATGAAGGTCTTATGATATGATTTATCTATAGATATTTTGTTCTCTACCAAAGTTTGCGTTTCTTTTGTTCGATCACAAAATATTTACTGTGTATAAATAAGGTAGTCAGCCCACTTTTTTGTCGCTCTGTAAATTTAAATTTTTTATACGACTGTATACGATGCATGATCTGACTAAACTGCATGTCAAAGTAGATCATCGGGATCATTGAAAACAACAAAAATACGAAACATCTTAAAACTAAAAAAAATTTGAGAAATTTTTCTAAATTTTCGATCTTTTCTTTTATTGGAGGGTTTTTGACCGCATCCACCGGTTTTCCCTCCCATTTCTTTTTGTCTTGGAAAAAGAACGGTGTCCACATTTGGGGCCAAGCGAAGCCATCTGTCATAAGATTATTTATTGTAGCTATCATGAATATTCACGTTTCCTTTTTATTTCTTGGCCTTTGGGTATATCTTCCAAAACACTGCGTTTACTAAATACGACATGCATGTCAATAAAATCGGTACGTAATGCGTACATGTTGGTTGCCTGCAAGTTATATACTACTGAGAGAAGTAGAAAAAGTTGAGATTAGAGTTAGTTTTGTTAATGCCGTTGATATTGAGTGCGAATATAGTATCTGCAATGTCGATGATTTTAAGGCAAGAGGGTTGATAGTTAGTTTTGCATGAAGGTGATTTTAAAAGACGTCGAAAGATGTGTGAGTTTTTGTCAGTTGTGGTGTGTTTCCTAATTCTGGTGGATAAGTGAACACCAAACGTGTTCAAGAGTTGAAAATGCTCATTAGTTATATGACCAAGTAATTTCCTAACCCTGGAATCCAATACTATCAAGTAATAGCTACTACTGGAATCTGATACCACAATCGTTGAAGATCGAAGGTGCAGAATTCTAGAATATCTCAAACATTTTCTTTTGTTATGATGAAAAAAGCCTACACTAAAGAAAGTCATTAAAAGGCTTGATGCATCTCTGCAAAATGACAATGAGCACGTAAGTTAGACTACTTAACCAAATTTATTAAATCTCTCGAAAGTGACGTCATTGCATTTCTTCAGTTAGCGTGGAGTCAGTGTGGTTCTACCAGAAATGAGGTTGAAGGTCACATTCACGGACTTAAGTGGTTTAGCCCGTTGGCCTGTAGCGCATATTTGTGATTCTTTACTTGAAGTTCCAAGCACCTATCACTGCATGCTACAATGAATTAGTTGAAGAGTTTTCATCCATTCTTTACGAGAAACGTTCATAAACGCTGATATTGTCTAGGCCGACTAGGCGGGACGTTAAATCATATCTTCGCATCTAAATATTGTATGACATTCCAATATTGTATTTGTTGTTTATAGTGAAGTCCATAATATACTGTTAAAACAATTATTTCACCAGCTGATTGATTCATTATGACAACTATAAATATCTGCTTTAGTTAGCATTCAATCTGGGTTTTTTGGCAACAATCATGTTGGATTTTTTATCATTTCCGCCATTTGGGAATATGAATAGAAAGTTTTTCAATCTCTAATCAATCTCTAAAAGTACAATATACATATGCGGTCTAAAAGAACTGATCAAGTTCATCGTTACTTAACATTAAGCTTGAATTGATCGAATTGATCGACAGGCCCAGGGTGAGGGAATTACAAATTGAAAATATTTGCAATATATTTGATACGAATGAAATTTTAATTTCATGGGTTTTTGAGGCCTAGAAGTAGCAAATAATCAAAGAAAACGTTTTAAAAGTAGAATTGGCTTCTCCCCATTCACGTCGGAGTCACCTACTTCTATCTAAGCCCAAAAAGCTCATGTAGATAAAGATCATAAAGTTTATCGACCTATCAAATGTATTTCAAATTTTTTAAAAATTATTCAAGTATCTATAAAAGCAACTCTCCTGACCTTGATATTTGCACTTCAAACCAATAGCAAGCAATCAGTAATCTGCACTTCAACAACTTTTTTGGTCTCAATCGATGCAGCGATTGTTGACATTTACAATCCATATGAATTAAGATTGTCAACTGTAAAATCATGTGTTCAAAAATCTGTTTGGAAAATTGTGAGAAATAGGAAAATGTTGGCATTTTCTGAAAAAGGCTGCATTTAAATATAAATTTTTGCTCGGATGAGATGTACTCATAGTCAGCAGCAAAAACGATGAATACCATCCTTAAGAAACAGAGATTTACTGAGAGTGTACAAGACGCCAAAATTCATGCATGGAACTGGAAGGTATCTTAACAGAGATGAAAAGTTTAGAAAAACTGTATCAAATTGCTGTAAGACAGATAAAAGTTGAAATGCAGAAGACAGCATTACCACATTTGTGTCCAACCTTCATGCGTACGAGCACTACCACCCTGTGCCAATGCAGCTCTATTTTTCTTAACCTCTTTGAAAATTTAACAGCAGTTTTTTTGTCAAAGAAAAATGAAAGTTATGAAGAGTTGGTGTGTCTGAATTATACCACATTTTTACCGATCAGACGGTAAAAATGTGGCTTAAAAAATAATTTTCGATTTTGTAAATTCCATAAATTTGCAGTACAACTCGATACACTAGTATGAAATGAGTAAAAAAGTATATTACACCGTTTACTTTCAGTAACTCGCTTATGAAGCATCTACGAATGTTTTTTACCATGATGCTGACTCAGCATTATAAGTTCTTGTCATATACCACTAGCAGACCTGCCAACTCGCACGGTTTTTGGCTGTCACCTAAATCTTAAAACAAATCTTCTGAATACCAGAATTTCGATCATCTTCATCCTTCTTTAAATGATATCTAGTTAGTGAAATAGTTTTAAAGGAATCAGGTCGGACTAAGTATTTTCTGAACACAACTATTAAGCATTTTATACGTTATGCTTTTATATTTTCCATGCGTTTTGTAATTATGAACAAGAAATTCACTTGAGTTTTTTTCTATTTGCTGTTTTTACCGATTCTCTTCCACCGAGTTCTTCTGTTCGTCAATGTGGTGGTGAATACAATACAATTCTTCATTAAACATTCATCAGATTTGTTTAAAATTACTTTACTAAATACAAGCCATAACAAAAATTAAAAACTGGTGAAAGGGATCAAAAATCTGGTGCTCAGAAAATTTGTTTTAATGTTTTGGTGACAACTTACTGAAAGTAAACAGTGTAATATACTTTTTTACTCATTTCATACTAGTCTATCGAGTGGTCTTAAGAATTTATGGAATTCGCAAATTTTTTGTTTTTGATAACTATTGATGACGTCATCGTGAATAAAACGTCAACTTTTGCTTATTGTGCACACTCATTGCTTGGGACCAAATTGATTACTTGCTTTTGCATTATTCATCGTGAAATTATGGACGAAATTATTAGTTGTGAGAGGTGTGCTCCAAATATTGTGTTTTTGAGCACTTTTGTCCACGGCCTATGTTGGTATACGTTTGAAATTTGATCTATAGAAATTTAAATTAAGGAGTCGTACGTACACACAATCCTATACATACATGGTTTGGTGTGTCTCCTGGTACGTGTACAATACAGAAGTCTATCAAATTGTTATTATTTAACATCACAGGCATATTATGTAGGTTTCATTTGCCCACCAACTTTTATGAAGTTTTGGTTGTCTCAAACAGTTTGGTCGCAGAATTTTTGTATTATTACTCACTCAGCTGGGCTAAAACGAGTTGTACCAATGTAAACAATTATTGAAGAATAAAACTTTTGAACAGTTTGATTTTTATCAATTCCACACATTCTTATTTATTGGTAAATTTTGTTTCACAGTTGAGAGAAAGGAGAAAAGTTGTTGCGGAAGTTAGACAACTTCACCTTCCAATTTTTACTTTTTTTGTGGAAGCACAGAAAGTGGGAGGGAAGGAAAACGAGGCTAATTATTTATTGCATTCGGAAATTTGCGACATTCCATTCTGAAAATATTTGTAATGAGTGTTCTGATATAGCGTCATTTTGAAACTTTGAAGAGACTTTAGAAAGTAATTTTTATTGCTTGCTTATTTGTTACCGAATTTCAATGAGTGATTATTTTTTATTTTTTATCTTTAGAATATAATCTTGATAACGAAATTACTGTAAAAACGAAACTTCGGCATGAAGTTAGTATGCCTTGTCGTTTTATTGGCAGTCAAAACAGTACTATGTCAGAAAAGAGGTTGGTTTTACATGATTGTTCTAAAATTTTTTACATAAGATCAAGAAAATAAAGTAAAGTTCTTCATTGTCGTCATAGTTTCTCGTTGTTTTTTTGTTTTTTTTGTTTTACAGTTTACATCGTTAAGACTATACTTGATATTTCTTATTGTTTATTAGTTGTGTCTATTTTATTCGAGTTAACAATTTTTGATTTTGCAACGACAGTGCTTAAATAGCTTGGACAATAAGTCAATATTCTGTTCCAATTCTCTCCAAAATGTATGAACTACTCATTTTAGTATGTTTTTCATTTCTTTATGTCTGTAACAACATGCTATAAGTACACTTTCTGTTTTGCATCAGAGACACGGTTTTCAACTCATATACCATTGCCTGTAAATATGAAATAGGGAATCATTATTTTTATTCAAGCCTTTGGCACAAAGTCTCGCCTGAGATTATATCACACATTATGCATCACCACAAATGTACTATAGCGTAGGAAAGAAGTCTGTTTTGGAGGGCTCAACATAGCATCATAGGTGGTAGACTGCAACGATTTTACTTAATTAAATACAACAAAAAGTCACAACTTTTACAACTGTAATATATATGTGCCAAACTGTATCAATCATTGTTTTACCATAGCATTATGTAGCAAATATTTTACTTAAAAGTGACAAAGTACTTGTAATAGTATATCTGTGGCAAATTAATTGGGGATATGCGCTGTTTGCATCACGACATAATGTGTCATTGTATAATGTATCACTACTGGCACATGGTGTATTACCATATATTGTCTCACCATGTAGTACGTATACCATTACATATAGTGTGCCACCAAGTATTGTATCGTGACATAATGTATCACAATACAGTGTACTTTCACTAGTTTTATTGCTGGCTCAATGTTTCAAAACCTTCAATTGATAGAGATAACAAAAATTTTTGCTTGTTAAGTCCACAAACCTTGCAAATGCAGAAGATAAAAATGTTATTTTAGTAGTTATGCTGTAATTACTACTTTTTATCGGTGTTGAGTTTGTTAACCAAAATTGTGTTTTTCAAGATGTTTTGCCACTTGCCAACTATTTTTGAAAGGTTGAGAGTGATTGTTTATGGAACATGAAATGTCTAATTTAGTTAAATTTCTCTTGTCATATAGAAAGGGAAATTTGCTTTGATGGTTCATCATATGTTCGATATGCAATACCAGAAAATGATCCTAAGTTTGCAGCAGGTTCAGCAGAGGATAAGATCAAATTCAAGTTTCGTTCTACGCATGCTAGTGGACTGCTGTTATATGCTTACTCCAGAGGACTTAATGGTGATCATGTTTTATTGGAACTTGTTCGAGGAAAGCTAAGGTAGCACTGATAAGTACAGTAGTATCTGATCATAATTACAAAATTCCAATTCCCTCTAGATTTTGAAACTCAACCAGAAATAAGACAAAATTGTTCATTTTTTAATTAAATTAAAGTTTGGCTATTAGACAATATGGCTCATCTTTTATTTTTTGATGATTCAAGATGATTCAAGATGATTCTTTTATTATTTTATTTGCCATGCAAGATTAAAGTTTGCACTCACCAGTTTTTTTTAATTGTATGTATGTTGTTATGCAACAGAGTGCGATATCAACTTGGTCCCAACAGTACACTTCAGCAAGCAATACTTGGTGATGGCCTTGGTGATGAGATTGTTTCAACTGTAATTGTGAAACGAAAAAAGAAAGAATTGACTGTATATGCCTATGGGGGTCAATCGGATCAGATGACTTTGAACATACCCGGTGATGACGATCGTCTTGATTTAAATAGATATATCTTCATTGGGAGCTATCCAAATGGCAGATATCCTTCATTCCATGGTGTGGGCTTTCGAGGCTGTATGACGGAAGCGACTTTTAATAATGTGGACTTTGTTGATGGTGCATTAAATAACAGAAAGGGATTTAAAACGGAAAAGATTCTACCTTTTAAACCACGTATACCACAAAGAGCTATGAACTTTAACAATCAAACTTTCTTGACGTTTGATATTCAACAAGAAGATCCATCTGATAATCCATTAATCTTGCAGAAATTTTATGGCTCGTTTGAATTTCGGACTGTGCTTGTCAGTGGTACTATATTTCATGCATCAAGTGTTGCTTTACGATTCCAAAGATCCCAGCTTATACTTGTGAGCGGTGGTTCTGATCAAGTAACCATCAATTTTCCAAACGAGGGCACTGCAAATGATGGACGCTGGTTCCGTGTTGAATATGTCGTTGAGAATGGGAATATGGAGTTGAAACTTGATGACGTAGTACGCAGAATCGTTCCCAAAAACAATCCTCAGTTCTTATCGAAAATAACATATGGATTTTACCAAAACACACGTTACTTTATAGGCTGTATTCGTAACTTACGTGTTCAAAAGACAGCAATTGATTACTATGATATAGTTTATCCTTATCGTGGTACCAAGTTGGCTGATTACAGAGAGTTGACTGAAGGCTGTAAGGCAAGTGATCCTTGTGTTCCAAATCCCTGTTTTCATGGCGCAGCCTGTATGACTATTGTGCAAGGTCTTGGAGTGAGATGTATATGCCGACAAAGCTACAGACCACCATTGTGCCAGTTCTGTAAGTTTTAATGTTAATTTATGTTTTCTATTATACGTAATAATGCTAGGTTTTAAGTTTTGAGTCCAGTACTAGTTATTTTAAAGGGAAAATGTGTGTCATGAAACACATTTAGTTTTGAAAGCAATCAAACTAAAGAGCGTTTTTGACTTTTCCTTCGTTAACGCAATGATCATAAATTTTTAGCTCAATTACAAACATCCTGCACGGCAAAAAAAGATTTTGAACCAGGTACTGTTGCTTTCAACAGAGGTGAGTATAACATCGATCCTGACGATTCAGGACCTCTACCTCCTGTGAAAGTGACCTGTGATTACAACCTAAATTCACGTGGCGTGACGGAAATTAAGGCCCCCGAGACGACAATTCCAGTACAGATACCTTCTCCTGTTAGGTACTCAGCGCGGTTTTCGTACAAGAAAGAAATTGTTTATGAGGTATGATGTATATTTAACTTATACGAAGTACAGTAGTTTCCTTGCGTGGATTATGCAGTCGGTCATCACATAGCTGCATTTTTCAAATAAGTTTAATTGTTTTTCTCGTCTTGTTATAAGTAAATGTAAAAATATTTGCACATCAGTGATCTATGATCATATTTATGCCTGTAGTGTAGCTTTTGCCACACTTGAGCTGTGTCTAATTTTTATTTTTTCATTGCCGTTAATTTCGTATTTTTGCTGTGTTTTCTAAAATCTTACGATTATCATTATCGGAGTTGAAGATAGTTTGGACCTGAAGATAGTCACTTTATTACAGAATTGAAGCTAAAACTCGGTTTTCTTCGAACGGGACGAATGCATGACAAAATATTTTGTGTGTTTCTTTCACAGCGACGAGGAAAATTTGCTATTTTTGTCTGGTAGTGTAAATTGACTTTTGGTAATATTTTAAAGATGTTATATTTTGTAACTACAGCTAGTACAACTGAAAGAATTAGATTGCTGATTTTTTGGTTGTGATGGTAGCAATCATTTCTTGATTTCTTTTTTTCTTTAATTACTTGGAATGTTGGCTACATAATAACGGTGATGGCGTATCAATTGAAATAAAAATAAGTCAATATTTTAAAACGTGTTACAACTGTATTTTTCTCATTCGAATTGTTTTTTAACACAAACGCATGGCTACCGCTCCTGTGCTCTCAAAATTTTTCTAATTTTTTGAGCAGAACTTTAGTTAAAATTTTACCGTATTTTATGCTAAATTACGAGATTAATGCATACGTTGAAATGAATTATGCTGGTTGCATTATTGGGCCAAAGCTTTATGTTTCCCTTATTGCTTTTCAGATTCCTATTGAAAGTGTTAAAGCCATTGTTGATCGAAGTGAACATTGCCGACAATATGTAAAATATAGTTGCAAAGATGCACCGCTTTTCAATGCTCCCGGTGGTAAACCTTCTTCAAGATGGCTCTCAGCCAATGGCTATCTTCAATATTACTGGGGAGGAGCGCGGCCCGACAGCTATAAATGCGCTTGCGCATATACTTCGAGTTGCAGAGGTGGTGGCTTCTGTAATTGTGATAGTCCTTCGTCTGAGATCGGACCTGATGCAGATGACGGTTTGTTGAACGTTACACGTGATCTTCCAGTTCGCGAAGTTCAGTTTGGTGATATGAAAGCAGAGACTCAAGCAATTTATACAATAAGTAAAGTTGATTGCTATGGGCTTGGTAAGTTATTTGAGATAATGATTTCTGTCAATTTCTAGAGGTTTGCCCTGATTAATTCTCTTTAGACATGCAATTTATGCGCTAACCATGCACTTGAGAATGCTAAAAATGTAGCTTTCCAATTATCCATATTATAAACCCTACTTCTGCTGATAATGAATCCATATCTTCCTACCTCCAGTTGACTAATAATGATTTCGGAAAAATGCTACAGATATCTGCAATTGTTGACGTACTTACTCATTTACATATGACCTTTTCATAGACACTATCGGCGCAGTGACTTTCCTTGCTCCCGACGGATGGATTCGTGCACCTTCTTGGAACTCTCCATACGGTGGTGACATATCATTCTATATCAAAACTGTGGCTACCAAAGGAGATTTAGTTGATCATCGAAGTAGTGATGAAACTTACGTTTTTCAGGTACCTCAATTTGAGTAGTATTGTTAGTGCTAACTTTTTTGCCGAACTCAAAAATCTTCTTCAGATTTCCTTGATTGTCACATGTCATGCTTTAATGTGCTCTCTGTGATCGCTAGTACAACTAGATTGTATATTCCATTTTTCGTGTTGAAACACTTTCGTTATTGTATATTCCATTTTTCGTGTTGAAACACTTTCGTTATTGTATATTCCATTTTTCGTGTTGAAACACTTTCGTTATTGTATATTCCATTTTTCGTGTTGAAACACTTTCGTTATTGTATATTCCATTTTTCGTGTTGAAACACTTTCGTTATTGTATATTCCATTTTTCGTGTTGAAACACTTTCGTTATTGTATATTCCATTTTTCGTGTTGAAACACTTTCGTTATTCTATATTTTATGTTAAAGAGACCTTAGATGCAAGTGTTTATTTATTTCCGAAGAAAGATGCTGCATGTAATTAAAAAATCATTTTGGTTTGTAATGCAGTTAAGGGATTGTAGTATATTGTAATCTATTACATACCTGAGCCGCGTCTTGCTTTGTGTAACTAAAATTATTGAAATAGCTGATCTACGTATCCTTCTACTTAACAAGACTTATATAAACAAATTTTCCCAAGCAAGTTTTCGTATGATAAATTTTAAGTTGTTGCCAATCTACGATTGTTTATATTATATAGATTCGTCTTTATAGCGAAACTACCATTCAAGTGGTTATTAGTACAGGTACCACTATTCGAACTAGATATAATGCTGGAATACCACGTCCTGGCAAACTTAATGATAACAAATGGCACAGAATACACGTTGTACGCACTTTGTGGCAAATCTACGTAAAGATCGATAACAAGGACGCAGTGAATCCAAATAATAATGAAAAACTTCAACCGCTTCCTCTGACTGGTAATGGTAGGAGTCGCTTTGATAGTAATCTGCCCATGTTTGTGGGAGCTTTTTGGAGGTTTCCTGTTTATAGAAATGGATATGTTGGATGTATGAAGGGATTCGTAAGTATAAAGCTGATTCTTTGCCGGTTAAGAGTTGAGTTTCAGTTATTTTCTCTAAGATTGTGAGAATATATAGAAAGATTTTAGACAAGAGTAACTCTTTTATTACGATTTAGTTTTGCTGCGGACGGACTATAAGCTGTAAAATACAGATTCTTTTCGAAGCTTTGTGATATGATTTGGGGGCAATGTCTACGTATATTGCAGGATTTGTAAAATTTCTTTTAATCTTTGTTTTTATTTAATTTAGACCATAAATGGTGTTATATTTGATCTTGTGAATGCAATCGATAACATTGCCCTGGAACCTGAAGTATTGGTTGTGAAAGGCTGTGGAAATGCTTGCGCGCGAAAGCCTTGTCCATTTGGGACATGTGTGGATAAATATACATCATTTGAATGCAATTGTCAGGAAACACCGTTCTATGGGACTTACTGCACCAAAGGTATTTCATTGTGCGTACGTGCGGTAATAAAATGCTTATTTTATTTGTTCGACCAGGTTTAAGTTATTAAGGTACATATTTCATCAGGTCCACCAGGCCTAGGGTCGTAAGGTACATAATTCATTAGGTCCACCAGGTTTAGAGTCGTTAGGTACATATTTCATTAGGTCCACCAGGCTTAGAGTCGTAAGGTACATGTTTCATTAGGTACACCAGGCTTAGAGTCGTAAGGTACATAATTCATTAGGTCCACCAGGCTTAGAGTCGTAAGGTACATATTTCATTAGGTCTACCAGGCCTAGGGTAGTAAGGTACATATTTCATCAGGTCCACCAGGCCTATGGTCGTAAGGTACATATTTCATTAGGTCCACCAGGCCTAGGGTCGTACGTCGTATGGTACATGTTTCATTAGATCTACCAGGCCTAGGGTCGTAAGGTACATATTTCATTAGATCCACCAGGCCTAGGGTCGTACGTCGTAAGGTACATATTTCATCAGGTCCACCAGGCCAAGGGTCGTAAGGTACATATTTCATTAGATCCACCAGGCCTAGGGTCGTACGTCGTATGGTACATATTTCATCAGGTCCACCAGGCCAAGGGTCGTAAGGTACATATTTCATTAGGTCCACCAGGCCTAGGGTCGTACGTCGTATGGTACATGTTTCATTAGATCTACCAGGCCTAGGGTCGTAAGGTACATATTTCATCAGGTCCACCAGGCCAAGGGTCGTAAGGTACATATTTCATTCAGTTGTTTAAGAAAGGGCAAATTGTTCCTTTAAACTTGAAAAATAGTGAAATTTATGGTCTATGATTACTTTTGTAGAAATTGGGGCGTCAATGAGTAATTGGCCAACAAATCCAGTTTCAGCAAACGTCACAATAAATTCTGTCTCCGAGAAAATTGTGTTGGCATTTTCAACCGCTAGTTGCTCTGGCACTTTATTTGAACTACGAAATAATGTTGGACAATACTACAGGCTTAGAATAAGAGATGAAGATTCTCTGGATTTCGAATTTAAGCTCCGTGCTACTCCAGCGGTTGTAGTTCCCATTAACATCGATAGTATTAATTTTTGTGACACTGCGAGGCATATTGTCAACATCGAACGAACGTCAAACAACCGTCTTATCAAATACATGGTCGATGGTCGTCGTCAAGTTATCCTAAGCGGCTATACAAACGATGCAAACGCGGCTTTTAATTTAATGGCGGTCGCCAATTTCTCTTTGGGAAGGCAGTATGACGGACTCCTTCCCTTCGAAGGCTGTATTTCAGGAGCTAAATTTCATTTCTTTGCTTCAAATGGTGTCATGAAAACGGTTGAACCAATTGTCCAAGTGCTTAATTCAAACAGTTCAAGTAAGTAAAATTTCCTATTATTGAACATATTTTATGTACATAGTTTTCAAGTGACTGTTACCCACTCGATCAATGTCGCTTGTCCGAAGGTAGTATACGCTTTGTAGCATCCATGAACATAAATAAATATTTAACGTAAAAATTACTGTTTCTATTTTAGACTTGCCGACGAATTATTCTTGCGGTCCTACCATAAACACTCCAGTTCCCATGACAACTAGGATAGTGCCTGGACCAACTACACCGACTGATTATGCATCTACCGAGTTTCTTCGTGATGTCGGAATCCATGAAGCCGAGGACACAAACTGGGCTGTAGTAATCGTTGTCGCTTTGCTTCTGATGCTGGTGCTGATTGCTGTTGTTGTTTTAACGGTTTGGTTTCTTATGCAACACAAGAGTGAATATCAAATACTGGAAAATGCCGATGGTACTGTGGTTGGCACCGCTACCGTTCGTGGTGGAGCTTCTATGGCTTCTGTACCTGGACACGGTTCAGTTGCTGCAGCTCGTGCCCCACCCTCGGTTGCCTCAACTGGAAATTTAAGTCGTGGGAAATCTAAGTCCAATGACCTCTTTGTATGATTTCTAACCTGTTTTGTCGTCCTTACTTCTTAAACTATTTACTACATCAGATAAAGTTGTACCTTCAATGATAATCCAATACTCTGGTGTAAAGAAATTTTTGATATGCATCTTGTATGATCGTTGGATTAGACTTTAGCTTTTTTTTATGAAAAAACATATTTAACTTTTGTGTTTTTGCTCTAAAGCGATGCTTTTGAAGAATATAATGCAGAATCACTTTCACATTAGCTTTACAAAAGATGGTCTCAATCAATCTACGTTTTTAGAAGTCATAGCTTAACAAGAAGCAATCGTGATATCATATTTTCATTTGCTGTAATCATGTAAAATAAATATAATTTAAATAATAGCATTACATTTTACATGTATAACAACATGTGACTTTCCCATTCAAACAGCGTGTATGTTTAAATGAACAGTTCACAACCACCACAGTTAATTCAAAAACCGATTGAGTGGTTAGTGTACTGACATTTTTTTCATTTTAATGATATTTAGCTTTTAAATCTTCGCTCAGCTCAATTTGGACTTTAGAATAAACGTTATTTTTGTTATGTGTAACATGTTTTCGCTATTATATTTGCTTCACGGTCAGTTCTTTTAACCAACAAATGACTGAGGCTTAATCTGTACGAAGATACGTAGACGTAACAAACAAAATTGATTGTTTTTGTAAGTCGTCTTTATATAGTGCGGATTGTATTTTACTGAAACTAACATTTGTCTAGTTAGTATATAAGCATTTTCAAGTGCTCCATTTGTGGATGAGTTTGACAACAGATTATTTCTGTTTACAATATCGATGCAAATGTCATGCAGCATAACGAAACTTCTTTGCTCTTCATGCACCTTGTCCCGGAGGCCAGAAATAATTCCATCAAAAAATAAATCTCCAGTTTGCTTCTGACAAAAAACAAAAGAGGCCTTTCCTTGACACATATTCTCTACATTCTCCAATCCCGTCAACCCTCTCTTGCACCGTTGCCTTGATTAACTTCCATAGCTTCGCATTTCTTTTGCGTCTTTTCATCAAACTTTCAATCTCATTTATGAAAAAAATTATCTTCAGCATAAAGTCGTCACGAAACTGTTCGACTTAAATGGCTATCCCTCCAACATCTTTCCCTTTCATAATCTTGTTTAAGGTTTTCCTATGTCCACTCAGTCACCATCAAAAATCAATTCAATAGTTTCAAGGGTAGTTTATAAACAATTATTTCCTAGTTATGGTGCGAAACTAATCTTTGGTGCTCGAGTGTTGCTAGTTGAGGTGATTCAGAAGTAGATGAATGATAAAGGGTAAACCATAGGTATAGAAGTGGCTGGAAAGACCTACAAAGTAGTTACACATAGATGTGCATTAAGTTACCTACACAAGAATATTTACCTGTTTTAGAAACAATTTAATCGCATCATGTAATTATCTCTGTGACAACACAAAAGCTATTGTTTTGTATTATGTTTTGATAAGGTAACTCCTGGGATTGCATCCATGGAAATATCCGCCGATCTCAGTGATTTCTTCTATATGTAATGTAATCAAGAAACAGGCACACAATCATGAATAATCTATCTGCATATAAAACCTGTGCCTATAAGCCCCACCCCAACCCCCTTTATGCATAAACCCAGCATTCCAGATCATTCCACAGAAAAGCCCACCTGCGTATATGTCACACTGCAGTACACTATCAAACTGTTTTAACAAATCTTTGCGTTTGATACCATAGAATTCTTTTGAATAAGATTGAAGGTTATCTTTATAAAATGTGCTTACTGCTTATAGCATGTAAAAGTATTAAAAGGTGTCTGTTTTTAGAAACTTCGACCTCTCTTACATATTATATTTATTACAATTTTTCGGAGTAGCCAAGATGCACGTTTTAGACCTCCTGGTGTGGTATAAAATGAAGAAGTCAATTCTTGAAGTCAATCCTGGAGTGGTATAAAATGAAGAAGTCAATTCTTGAAGTCAATCCTGGTGTGGTATAAAATGAAGAAGTCAATTCTTGTGTACATCTATAAAATGTTGAATAGCATTTTCACGTTTATTAAAATGGATTCGAGCATTTTATTTCTAAGGATATAATAAATAAAGCTTACACTGGCACTCAACACCAGTCACCACTCACGTCATACAACATACAAGAATATTTCAAAGTCTAAGAAAATGAAAACAATGCGATGCTCAGTGCTCCGATTTCGGTTTGCGCAAATAATGACGTAATGGTCAGGTGTTGTCGCTAAATTATTTAGTCAAATGTTTACGTAATACGTATCCTCTGTGTTGTTGTCGCGTTTTCGTGTGTTTGTAAAATTATACAAACTTTGCAATAGTTTTATGATGGCAAGCGGATATGGTAGCTATGCACCTCCACCTTATTCTTCATCTCCACCAAATTACGGAGAAAACGAAAGCTTGATTGAAAACAACCATTCTGACTATGACTCGGCCGGAGCGTTCACGGAGAAATCGATTCGTGCAGGTATTGCATTGAAGCAGTTCAGTGTTAATATACTCATGCATTTTTACATGGATATTTTTTATTCTGATGCATTTGGTTAATTTCTTCATTTGAAGCTACACAATTTTCAGGTTTCACTATTCTTCAGTAAAAATTTTGTTTACATTTTATTAAAAACTTCAATTGCGAATCATCATAAACAGATTTTTTTGTACCTTTGCCGGTTGGCCAACTCGTGAAGAATTGCTAAACGCACATTTCTTAAAACAATTTTGAATTGTAAGCAATTTGTATTTTTTACTAAATGCTACAACGCGATCTACAAATAAATTACATCTTTGTTGTTTGTTCAGTGATAGAAACTCAGTATGACGCCTTGTATGACGTCAAATACGTGATGGCTAATTTGTCTGGGCAAAATTTTAAATTATTTGTTAGGTATTTCTACAACAGAAAATTAACAAAATATTTTCCAGGAAAAGAAAAAATACAAGAGTTTTTGTTTCAATGTTAGCTAAAAGGGGGCTTTTTGTTGCTTTTGAAAAATTGTCTACTTCATGCTATGTCTATCATCTTGAAGGTTCTCATTGGCCTAATCCCTGGGATGAATTCACCTTCAGTAATGTTCAAAAAGGTTTTCCAATATGTTTTTGCTTTTGTAATGAAAGCAAAGCTAGTTCATGTGAACTAAATTTGTGTGTCTGTATCATTGAACAAAATATAAATAACTAGAATCTTAGTATGGTCTAAAATAATTGCACAGCAAAGAATTCTTTAGGTTTGAGACTGCAGTTGATTTCACATATTTAAATATACATATTTTACATTTTAATGACTGTTTTATTCATTTTTTGCTGGGAAATAGTAGTTATTCATATGATTCCAGTTAAATCAATTGCAAATATACCTGTATTTATACTTTAGAAGCAATCATTTATTTTGACTACATAAGTACCTTGCAAATTTTTTTTGTTTAATGATTGTAATGTTTCTTAATTTGCTGTAGGTTTTATAAGAAAGGTACGTAAGTCTGCTTAATGATGATGAATTTTGTATACAAAACTTGGTTATGGATTCTACAGAGGTTTTTCGTCAAAAATCCTGTGCGCAATTCATTGAGGGAAAAGTATCACAATTTATGGCTGTCAAAATTCACAAGTTTTAGAAGTTAAGTATGGAAGCTTAAGTTTATGAGATTCTTTTTATTTATTTCTCTTTGCAGGTTTATTCTATTCTTATGTGTCAACTAATGGTCACAGTTGCCTTTATTGCATTTTTCTTGTATTGGTAAGTTATGTAAATTTAATTTGGTAGATTTCCTGGAGATGGAGCAACAAATTTTACACCATATTGATTTCATTTTTGAGATTGTTTCGTCATTTGTTTATTTTAGTAAGCCTGTGCAAGAGTTTTCAGAGGAGCATGTTGGGCTTTTCATTGCTGCTGCGTAAGTAATTGCCACTTTTTTGTATTTTGTGTTCTCATGTTTTTCTCTGGAGTCTTGAACTGTTGCTGTTGAGAAATATAAGCAATATTTTTCTTTGAATGAAGTTGATAATTTTTTTCTGTTGTGGAAATTACTACCGTACATAGTTGGACATACGTACCTTAAAGAAGGCAATATTTGCCTTCTTTGTTTTTGCTAGGTACATATGTCTTGTAAACACTGTATCTTTCTCTTTAGAGTCATGTCTTTTGTTCTCATAATTGCTCTTGCATGTTGTGAAAATCTCAGGTATTTTTATTCATGTTATATTCGCCTATTCTGCGAAAATATATTTGCCATCTGTGAAATTATGTATGTCAATAACCTATTCATCCAAATGCAATCCTATGTCCCATTCTTACTTCAAATCACCTTAACAATAATGCTTTGGTTAGAAGTTTTCTACAGAACATTTCTGAGCCCAAAGTTTATAGCTGTGATTTATTTTGTTTGTGAAGTATTTTGTTGCAACATACTTGTTTCATAAATCATAATGCTATTTCAAATCTGAATAATTTGTGATGTTTTCACAAATCTTCACACGAAATGATTGTAAAGTAAAGTATTACCATCAAAGAAGCCATGTTCATCCATACAATACCCTAATAACCCAAATTACGTACCTAATATTATTAAGCATATTCCAATGATAATGCCACAGACACTCAAATAAGTCGTTGCAGTCAGTGGCAGTTCAAGTGGTTTATTGAGCTTGTACATTTCTCATGTCCTCTTTCTAATTCAATACACAACTTATTTGGCTAAATTATTTTTTGCATGGGTCAACATCAGTTGCCTATATATTATGGCTTTGTAAAAATCCTAACTTGACAAGGAAATTGAATGCATATGAATTATAATACTATGAAATACAAACATTTATTAGAAAAACACCACTTGTATTTTGCCACCGTAATACACCTCAACTAGAACTAGGATCTAAAACTCAACTCCATGAAAATATTCAATGTTAAATTCAATGTAACTAAATACGGATTTATTTGTAGACGAAAGTATCCTCACAACGTGATTCTTCTAAGTCTTTTTGTAAGTTGTCCAGATGAAGAAATTTTGAGTTTGTAACCACAGTCGTTATTTAGTCATTTTTTAGGTATCGTGATATAAGGCAGAATTATTGCACTTAAATCTTCATTACATGGTTTTATCAGTGATTCTTAAATTACGTTGCAAAACAGTGTGAACGTTTTTATTTGGCTGAGCAAACGACTTTAAATAAACTGATTCATCATTTTCTATGTATTGACTTGTACTGTGAAACACCAACATTGTTATGGGAAAAAAATATAAATTATGCATTTTGCTAGATAATTACGTACTATTAATTTAAGCTCAATACGTATAAATTTGCTAGGTACAAGTACAAGCTCAAAAACGCAATTGCATGCAATGGAATGTGTCTGATTACATTTTGAATAAGTATTGTATTGTATTTAAGATATATAAAGCTAAATGATTCAAATTGTTAAAAGTTAGAATTATGCTTGTCATATTTAGCATAAAGATGAAAAAGTAACACTTTTCATTTCTTCATTTAAGACTCTTTGTGAAGGATTTCTTTTGGGTAGTGCTGCCAGGTATACACGTACAAAGCTACATATATATGACGATCATTATGTATTTCATTGTTTTGTCAAAACTACGTTGCATTTTCTACAATAAGAGTATAGTTATTATTCTTGTGAGTAAATATTAAGTTTAGACAGTATTAAGCTATTAAGTTTGGCTTTAGCACGACTTCATTACAGGTCAACACACACCAGGTGAAATGGAGGGGGGGATTGGTAAATACAGATATTACTCTAGCTCCTGGAATGTATATTTAGTGAAATACGTACGTCTTTTTTGTCGTTTAGTCTTTCCCTTTATTTCTTTTAGCCGGTATGATGCAGATGCTGTTCTCATGGCTGCAGGAATAACGACAGTTTGTCTTCTAATTTTCCTCTTAATTATCATCATACGTATTCGCAATTCGAATTTGCCATATTTACTCGTTTAAGCGCGTCGGTTCGCTTTATATTTCCAAAGCTTTAGATGCAGTGCTTGTTCGTGAACATTGCTCAATTGATTAAAACCGAACTAGGATTGAGTTCTTATACATTGGCGCTGCGCCAATGTTCCCAAAATCTAGTGTGTTTTTTATTTGCTATTTGGACAAATATTCTTTCAAAGAAGTTTCATTTTCGTTGAGTGGCAACGAATTTAACTTTATATCTTAATTTTTTAGGGTGTGGTTCTGGCCATAACATTGTTTTCCTTCCAGACTAAGGTTAGAATGAAATTATTTGTCGCTTTAGAAGTATTTTTATGTATCGTGTAAATAGTGTGGGTGGTGCGTTCATGTGCTACGTATGTTACCGTAATATTAAAATACGTATAAAGGATACAACATAAAGTCTCCATGAGACTTATTCTTAGATAGAATGTGAATGACTTCTTAACCCATACGAAATAATTCGAAAAAAGCGACATTTTCGTATATCAGTAAAATTAGCGATGGACGATTGGTACCAAAATGTTGGTTTAAGAAAAAAGCGATTGTTCGGATAAACTTGCCTCATTAAATACGCAGTTATTGGCAGACGTTTTTATCTTTACAGTGGAGCAGTTTTGAGAATATGAAATATATAAATCGTGGAAAAAACCTCCTTTTTACACAGATTTGTTAACAGACCTTAGTGATTTTTCATGTCTTTGTTAACAAACCTTAGTGATTTTTCATATTTTTGTTAACAGATCTTAGGGATTTCTCCCATTTCTTAGTTAATATTTCAATTTTTCTCATTCCTATGCTGACATGTCTTATAATATACTTATAATCACTTATATTGTTAACTTCGTGCATTTTTAGTATGATTTCACCATGATGGGAGGAATGCTCTTTGTTGCATTGATTGTTCTTCTTCTGTTTGGATTTTTAACAATCTTCTTTCACAGTCAGGTATGTTGTGTCGATTCTACTTCATTAATCTTACTCACTCTTTACTAAATTGTGCCGATAAAAAGATTCAACTCACTGTTTTTCTTGTAACTTGTAACCCTGAGTTCAGGCAGTTTAGTCTGCGAGGAAGTGAAACACGCCGGAAGTTTAAGAATAAGCTTTTTGGAAAATATTTAGAAGCGCGAGTTCCTGAACATCAACTCTATTCAATGACGAAATTTTAACACATACATATATTCTTTCATTTGTTGTTTACCACAAATGTGAACATTTTGATTTCATTATGTTATTTTTCACGAATTAGTTTAATTTAAGCTTTGGTTGAGTTTCAATGTATGTTTGAATTCTTTTTTTTTGTATGTACTGTTAATTATCATTTTTAGATTGTAAATCTTGTGTACGCAAGTCTTGGGGCTTTGATCTTTTCTTTGGTACGCAATGAATTTGTCAACAATTTGTGAATTATCATAATGCTGTTTGTTAGTTACCATTTGCGTGAGAAAGTTTTCAAGATAGTTTGAGCTTTAGGTGCTGGCAGAAATCTCAAAATTTCTTTGAAAATTGACCATTATCTGAGAGCGGTCCTTGCACTTTCTTTTCTTGTCTGTGTTCAAACTTTTGACATATCTTTTTTTTTATTTATAGTACTTGGTATATGATACTCAGATTATGATGGGTGATGGCAAACAATATTCATTGTCTCCAGAAGAATATATCTTTGCTGCACTCAATCTTTATCTTGATATCATTAATTTGTTCCTCTTCATTCTCAGAATCATTGCCGCTGCTAGAGACTAAACTAATGAATGCATTCAATTCTCTGGTAAACTTCAATATTTTCGATCTTTATTGAGTGAAATTCTCTTGTTTTATCTAAAGATAATCTGTGCAAGTGTTGTACTTTCATGTTTTAAGAATATTCAAAATATCTATTTGTCACATTGCTACTTTGATTATACAAGCATGCAACGATTCTTACCATGAATCAAAATGCAAATGAAGTAATAAGAAATGTGATTGGTTAACTCCTGCGTGTAGCACTGTAATAGTCATCTTTAGAAATTTTCCTATGTATAGTTGTAGATTTAACGTTCTGTATATTATCATGATATGTATTGTAATAAGCAGATGCGCATTTAAAGCGTCACTGCATCTCGTGCACTTTTCATTCGTTCTTTCTTATATATATTGCAATAACTTTAGTTTTAAACAATGATTAATGTTTAAAGTGATTTCGTTCTTCAAAATCTGTCGTATGCTGGCACCCATCTTCTGTATCCCAGTAAATAAACTAAGTCATGGAGTGAGTTGCGTTTGTGAGTTCGTGCTTTGTTGATGGAACACAATTCTTTGATAAATGTAAATGACCGTAATGGCCGTGTCTTTAATGTAATTGTTGCATCCCAATTGTCCTGTGGGATTAAATTTATTTCAGTCGCAAGGACCCCACGAAACATGTGTAAAATAATTTTTTCTTTTCTATTAATATACGTTGAGATATTTTCACGATCGATTGTTTGATGTTAGTGAATTTTATCTGTGATTGTGCGTGGTTTTATAATGTGTAAATCGGGAGATTTATTTTTTATTTCATAGCTTGTTCTTATGAAATGCTCTTCGATCCAATTTTATAATTTTTAACGATGTTAAAATAAGGTGTCATATGAAGAATTAGCAACACGAACGACCTTGTTCGTGCCTACATTCTACCATGAATTTATAATTGTTACAAGAACTCACAGTGGTAAGAAAAAAGTTATGAATGCTTGTTGCATGTTTAAATGTGTATAAAAGATCATTTGTATGAGCTTTTTTATAGGATATACAAGAAAGATATTTTAGTCTTCCCCTAGATTTTTGATTGTTTTTGTGTTGACACGCATTTTCTAATTCGGTTGATTTGACGTCGTTCATGTTTTTGGTCATTTACTGTGAGCAATTTTCTAGATGCAGAAGTTTGATAGCTGAAAAATTCACTCTACTGAATGTCAATAAATCAGGCGGTGTTGTATACACAGCTTATGACAAATGATTTCCTGCAGCATTTTTGAATTTTAATCTCATGCTTATGACGGATTTTTTACATGACGAAACATTTAATTGAATACATTTTAATTTTAAAGAACTTATGGCGTTATGCAACCATTGAACGAAAATTGTTGTTTCATTAATTTAACTTCATAATGTATCATTACTTATGGAGCCAAAGAGTTGTAAAATTTCCAGAATTAATAAAACATTGCACTTACATTACAAAATACAAGATGGTATTGTGAAAACATGCACGTAGTATTGAGAACATATTTCAAAATATCGGGTGTTTCTTGCCAACATCTTAAAAACAAAACAACAAATTTTCTTCCGTTTCGGTTGGGTTTGTATATATGCAAGTATTTAACTATGTTAGTCTCAAAATTTAGTATAATATTCAAGGATTTCTGTAAAACGAACTTCGAATTCAAAATTATGTTGATTAAGTCGAGTCAGTTTTGCCATTTTAGTTTTTTTCGATTCTCGAGGTCACAACATCGAAGGTGAGAGGTGTTTAGACGGTTTGGAGACAGCTATAACTATTCTGAACAGATTTGAATTACACCTTTTTCATTTTAAAGAGATTATGTTTACAAATATGCCGCCAAGCAGATGAAATGTTTTATGGAAAATTTATTTTTTTGATAAAGCAACTAATCTACAAGTTATCACTATCACAAACATCGTAACTATGTAAACATTTTTCATTTTTTGCAATCGTATTAATTTATAATTTGCCGTATCTCAGTTGCCATTCAGCGAAAGGCAGATTTTTGGCAGCTGTTGCACAGACTGTCTACTTTGTAGCTATTGCTTGTTTAATGAAAGTTTTTCGAGCGGTTGTTTTCTATAAAATGCGTTATGATGATTAAAGCAACTTTTTTGTATAGTTTATGTGTTTTTGTAACGATAGTATTTTTAGAAATTCATTATGCGTGATGCACAATCTAATTTATAAGTTTGTTGATAAATGCAGTCTATACGCCATAGAAACGTACACTGTATTTTGTAATACCCTTAGGTTCAACTTCAAAACAGATAATAAATATTTGACTTGGTTACCTTGTTAGAAATTTTCGTTAATTGACCAGTTTAACGTGTTTTTTTTTGCGTCAGGAGAGAGGATCTGAATACTCCTTCAATATTTTAGGTAGAATTAATGCCCAGGTCTGAGATCTACGTCCATACTATAAATTCAACATAAATTAAGATATGCAATTCGATTTTGCTGCGGGGGAAACGGAAATCAATAGCTGTAATCAGTGTAATGTAATGAAAAAGAATTTCTTGCAACAGTAATAAATCGAGACAAGTTATATAAATTTAGCCATCCCTTCTAGGTAATCACAGGCACTTCATGCTAATACATATCTGTTAATGATGAGAGAATTGGTAAACACATAACTCTTTTTAACTCTCCAGAACCGTCATAGTTACGTCTAGAACGGTGGCAATCAGAATCGAAAAAAAGATAAAGCAAAAGGTGATTGAATTAATTTAATTTCTGCTCATCATCGCTTCGAAGTATTTATGAAAGAAAAACTTTTGTATATTTAAATCATGCTGTCATTGAAAAGAACTTTGGAAATGAGAGTAGATTTTCTAAACAGTTTAAGCCAACTTTTTTGTTCTCGTGATTGAGATGCGTAGGTTTTTAATGTATACAACGCGCCACTACGTTTCAAACAACCGCATGCATGTATGTGTGGTCTTATAATTTCTAAGACCATTCCTAGGAAGTTTTGCTTGAAATGACTGGACAGAATTTTATACAATAAAAGCTTCTGAGTAAACGGAACTCTCCCTATCTGAAGTAGTACATCAGCAAATACTAATAGCTATAACTGATATTTCAAGATCTCAGGTTATTATGCATGATCTCGTCGGCTTAGTTAATCAGACATTGCAAATATAAATGTAATTTCAATAGAAAAATTTTCTTTTTACTAGCAATTGAACTTATATACACTATTAAAGCCAACACAGATTTAACATAGCACGTGCATCATATTTTTCATACCATATATATAAATTGCGCGGGGTGTAATCAACGCGTGAATCACAATCTTACATGATTAATTATTAATATCAATTGCTCCAAATAACATAACTTTCTAATAAAATTTGGCGAAAGTTCGTTTCTATATATCTACAAGCGTTAATTTTAACGGGATTCCAGTAAAAAGTCAAAGAGTTAGAGAATGTTTATACTCTATAGTCTTTATATATTCATTGATGTTGGGAAGTGTGAAAATGCAAACTGCTTTTGTGAAGTACGAACTATTGATGAATATCGGTTAACTCAACCGATTGATTTAAAATACAAAACCTGCATCTGAATATAAATCATTACAATGGCTTTAGGATATTTGCGAAATTCGGGCAAAGCACTAGTGCCCCTTCCCCCTGAAAGAAAAATCGAAGCTCGCGTACGCCTATGTATGTATTTTAACATATTTTTGTTTTTTTCAGCACGTTTTTAGTACTTTTACTAATTTTTGAATGATTATATACTGAGCTACGAGTAATGCGGAGGATGAATCCTGTTTATGTAAATGGTATAGGCCTTGTACTAGCAAAACAACTTTATCAAAAAACCCATCTTAACTTGATGTTTTAATTTGATGTCTGAGTCATAATAAGACGCACCAAACAATTGTTGTTTTTTTTAAGCAAAATAGTAAAGCATCACATTACTTATTCAGCTGTCTGATTTTGAAATTTTTCATTAAGCAAAATGTACTACTGCAAGCGCTATTTTATATATTGTTTAAATATTTTAAATGTAGAGGATAATGACGAACAATTAAGTACGGCTTTTAGCTTGAAATTGTCCAAAAACGTTTTGGAAAAGCAACTTCTGACCTCCATTGATTATAGTTCTACTAACTAGCATGAAAGAAGAATGCTATGTTTATTGTGAATAATAAGTTAAATTAATGCCAAAAATTTTTTCTGCATGATCTACAACTGTATGGTCAGATAGCTACCATTGCTATAAGAGACTCCATCACTCTTCATTAGCATTTAATACGTCACTCATCGTTTCATATCTCCCAATTTAATCATACCGGATAAGGAGTACAATTAACATCGTACGCTGGCTCAAGTTTTATCTGATCTTTGTTTGGGATGTAGAAAACATACAGATGTGTGTGCAAACAAAGCTTGTATTCACTATATGCTATATACTATAAGTACAATCATCAAATTTTTTTAATTCATTCGACATGGCTATGACTATTCGACCGAACTAGTTCATTTCAGACGGGCGCGGTGAGTTATCTAGTTTTTAACAAATTATCTCCATATCACAGATTGCGTTTATTTAAATGTTTAACATTTTTGACCAAAGCTATACATCCTAGCTGATAAATGCTACGGAATTATCGAGCTTTTCTATGAAAAGAAGAATGAAAGCAGATGTCATCAAAGTTCTCACCTGCATGTGCACACAGATGAAGAGGTGACATTTGGAATAAGACATATTGCTTCGAAAAAGGTGCGGTATCGTATAATGTAAAAATGAGTTTCCCTTATTAAATATATTTTTCAGTTCTTTCAATGTAACTACTGGTTCGTGAATAATAAATATAATCGCCGAGCACGCATACATAAAATCAATTATACCAAACCAGTGTATATTTCATTTAGTACATGATACTGACATACAGACTTTAAAAAAACATTTTTATGGATGAATCACAGCAGTATCTTGATAAATGCCCCTGAGATTATTAATTTCACAATGATTTATCATATTGTTGAAAGTTAGTTTGCTTAGGATATTGAGCACGCTAGCTGTACAGGCTGCTACGCGTACGATTTGTGAAAAAAGGTTTTTAATCATTTCTTTGCTATATAGAATTAGCATTCTTTTAAGCACAAAAATTCAGTTTTATAGAGCATAATTTACTTTATATGACATTAGCTGAAAATCTCTGTTCTCGGTATATTTTCTAATTGAAAACACTGTCTCTTAATTGTTGCATCTAGCATTTTCTACCATTCAGTATTAGTATAAATGCTAATTTATTTATCATCAATGTTCGTACACAAAGGGCGACATGATGCCGAGACACGTTGCCTTCATATGCATGTCGCTGCAACAGTTTTCTGTGTGTGTTGTTTTCCATTTGCAAAGACTGCAGTTAGTTTATTATGATCTCAAAATGAATTTAGCAAGTTCAATTTTTTTTTTGATTTGTGCATATGACTGAGAGTCTAAGAAAACCCCGGCAGATGTGACGTTTTCTTTGCAATCGATATACTATATCGCATAGCTTATGACTTCTTCAAAAACCATAGATTTTTGCCTTACACCAATCGTTTTACATGCATATAAGACCATGCATGTTTCATATGACAGATTTTGTATTAAAACGCGTGGTCAAGATTCTAAACTTTATTCGCCCCAAAGTATTCATTTCAAAAAAAATACAGAAGAAGATCATTAACTACGAATGGCATGCTCAAAGGCTGACGAGAGAACTGTTTTCAGTACAACTTTTAAGTCCAATCATTTACTTATAGGGACATTTACTTTTCAGTGGTATCAAAAGTACCTAAAATAGTGCTTTTGTATTTGGTCAGTATGTCTGATCAAGTAAAAAAATTTTGAACGGGTAGAGAATTGCACGGGCTTATGATATACTTATAAAAATTATTTTGTAATTTGTCTGCAAAGTAGCAAATTCGTCACCGCACGCAACCGTCTTCAGAGTAAAAGTCCCACACCACAATTATATGTTTTAAGGGGCACTCCTTTCTCGTGTGTTATCATGATCTGGCTAATAAACTATTTCATAATTGATTATTGAGTTATAAAATATGTATATATTTGATACTGTAGTATATTCAGTTCTGAAGGAAAGTACACCAAAACAATTGAAAGAGCGATCCCTTATATCTACCTTTCTACAAATTGTCAACAAGAATTCAAGATAGAAATCTACGCTGAGACTTTGCACCTGTTTTGTCTATATGCTCCTGCATGGGGCTGTCTGTCTATAAACATTTCTGTTTAAAAACGTGTAAAATGGCATTAAATTGTTGAATATCGTGTTATCGACTGCTGGAGTCTCGGAAGTTATGACTGTTATGTCAACTAGTAAAGACAGTGCATCTAACAGGTGAAGGTCGAGCGTCTAGGCTACGCATTGGCAAAGCAAGCGCAGCAGGACTCCAGGATAGCAAATTAAAAAATCGAGTTTGATTCGCTAATGAATTCGAAAATCGGGAATAAAGGTCGAGACATGAGATATAACGTCGAGACACGACATAAAACGCCGAGAATCAAAAATATAAATATGATAATTTTATAAATTATTAATCTTTTTATTTTAAATAAATAGTTGCCTTGGCAGAGTATTTTTAAGTCATGCAACCGTCTGCTACTACAGTTGCGTTATAAGGTTTGAATTGAGTGAGGGCCCCTACATTTTTATGCTTCTCCATCCAAAGAGCAGTTCTCATTCATAAAGAGTGTTTGTTTTAATCAGGTTAAATACGGCACACGAAACAAATCCTTTTTTCACTGTGCTGCTAATAAGGGAGTATTTTAAGTTTAAAAAGTTCGAGGGGATTGGGCCAATTGAACTCCGCCCATCTCCCTTATACGGTCCTGCGCGTGAGAGTGAACAAGGCAATATTGCATTGCCATTAATTGGCAATTGTCTATCAAGCCGACTTGTGTAATATTGATAAACACACAATTGATCGTCTGCATGATGGAACCGTTGAAGTATTGGTGATGGCAGTTTCAAATTACTTCTTGTTTTCAAATACAATAGTTATCTGAAAAACAACGAAAAAAGTTGATAATGTTGCTTGGCTGTTATGTTTATAGTTACTGCAATTTTATTTTCTATTTATAGTAACGGAATTAGTATACTTGTCGTGTTCCGATTAAACGCAAACACGGCGTCTTTTCATGTTTCGTTTATTGTTGCTATTTGTCATGGAAGTTTCTCTTGATCTTTCGTTCATCTAGTGCAATGTTGGTCAAAGGAAAACAAAACATGTCTAAAACAAATTTTGTAATGACGTGAAATATTTTCATATATTTTCAATATATATATATAGCTATATATATGAGTATATACCTGTAGTTCAAATTTGACTTTTTCATTATTAATAGTTCATCAGCACTGGTGCACCTAAAAAATTAATGACCATATCATGAGGCAAGATGTTTGATCGGTGTTTGTTTCAATTGTACAAAGAAAAGTGAACAAGTCCCAATATTAATTATGGTAAGTGTTTTTACTAACAATGAAAATGTTTTATGCGCAAGGGTAGCTAATATACTGAAGAGCTTCATGGGAACGATAAAAATGATTTGCAATTTTTGACTGCATGCAATGCCTAAATTGTGTGCAATGAACCATCCCATATTTAACATTACCTTATAAAATCAGTTAGAAATTTTGGAGAATATAGAGTTACGGAAAGCTATACTGTTCAATCTGGAGCGTAGGAGCTTGAGGGGCACAAGCGGGATGTACCTCTAAAAATTTACATTGCATGTACTTAATTGTATTTGTGAGTACTTATTTATCCATAACTTTTCGATTCTAGTTTTATCTTGGATTCGGTAATTTTCTATTTTTTATAAGAATCATATCTGAAAAATCTATAAATATCAAAACGACGTGTCAGAATTCTAGAATCGTAAATTTTTGAAGAGCATAAACACAAACTACGTACAGTTGGGGTATCTTTACACCCGTCTCTTTACACTCGTCTCTTTACATATTTGAGTTGCCCCTTTAGGAGCTGCCCACCCAGCAACCAATAGTGCCCCTCTCAGCTGTTGCCCACACGATCTGCAGCTGTTTCCTACACTACTGGCTGTTCTGAATGCACATTGGCTATATTGTTTAACGAGTCTACCAAACGGTCACCTCTATTTATTTAAAAAATATATAAATTGCTAACCTAGCATGTAACGGCATAAGAAATCATTAAAATTAAAAAGACTTGTCGCATATATTTATTCTGTAACGAAATTTTATTTCAATATTGTCTTTAAGAAAAGCTGTTAAAATTTGTTTTTCAAAAAAGAACAGCACACTGGTGAATAAAACACACATGAGTTTTTACCTATTTCAATGAAAGCAATTTTAGCTACATAAAGCTATAGAAAAAATTATTTAATTGTTTTTTTTCCGTAGTTTAATGTATCAACAACAGTGATAACGTCTTCGACAGTTATGTTGAAGAACGCCTCAAGTCAACCTTTGCATTATGATGAATCTCTTGTTGAAACCACTAAAGTTGCCTTGTTTATCATAATTCTTGCAACAGTTTTTGGAAACACTTTGGTCTTGCTTACAACCTGGAAAGATAAACGTCTTCATCAACCAAATAAGTATTTCATTGCATGCTTAGCAGTAGCAGATCTTCTTGTTGGACTTTTTGTCGTTCCCGTTCGTCTTCACATGCAATTAAACATGGCGGACGTACAACCATTGTCTCTTTGTCAATTTTGGATGTTGGTTGACGGGTTTTGTGAAGCTGCCTCAATTGTCACCCTGACAGTAATCAGCGTCGATCGTTATTTTAAAATCAGTTATCCGTTTAAATACAGAACATGGATGAATACGTCAAAATCCCGCATCATAATTGCAAATATTTGGTTGATTTCATTTGTGGCTGGTTTATTTTCTGTATTCACATTTGATGGTAGTGAAGGGGTGATTTCAAAGGCTTATTCAGGCTGCACGAATAACAACCCTGTATACTTTACTGTTATTTCAGTTTTGTTTTTCTTTTTTCCATCTATTACGATAGTCCTTATGTATACAATTATCTTCTACATTGTTCATAAGAAACGAAAAATGGAAAGAAAAGGAAAATTAGGGCAATCACATGCAGCTTCCCAACAAAACAGCCGAGGGCATGTTTTAATGCAGGAGCTAAAAACAATACGAATGCTTTCGTTGGTGGTGTTTACCTTCATTCTGTGCTGGGGACCAAATTTCTCTCTATTGTTAATTTCATTGTACACACCGGAGTATTTGAGTTCGTTGACACAAATGCAGGCAGCAGTTTTCCGCAATTTATTTGTTGTTATCCTTCCTTCCATCAATAGTATTTGTAATCCGATAATATACGCATGTTGTGATCGTGAGTACAACAAAGCCTTCAAGCAATTTCTCGCAAATAACATGTTTACAGTGTTTTTATCGCGGCTACAAAGCACTCATTTGAGTCAAGTCACAAGTTCAAGTAAAAATAAAACTGAACTAGAGGCTGCAAGCCGGAAAACGTAAGAGAATTTTTTTCTCGTTTGGCATTGGATATTTACGGTAAAAATGATTACAAAATGCTACAGTGATCATAATTTATTATAATGGTATAAAGATGTAATTGTGCTATAACTATCTCTGTTTACGATGAATAAATTAAAAATGTATACCTATATGTACCATAATATTGTTAAATATATTTATAAGATTATATAATAATCTTAGTAAAGTTGAAATGTAAAACATGTAAATCAAGCATACAGCTCTTTGCTTTCAATTTCGATTCTTAAGCTCAAGCCAAAAGCCAATATAATTTTTACATTTAAACAAATGTTAGAAGTGGTTTGCAGAATTTATCGTATACATATCATTCAAGTATAAGTTTTTTGGCAAAGCAACTTTTTCAACAATGAAGCGCTTTGTGAACACTTTATTTGTAAGGTGTATGAATAGCTTAATAAACTGGCTTTGTAGAGCCTTGTTTATGATTTAAGAATTACAAAAATCTGCTGTTTTCCATTTGCAAAGACTGCAGTTAGTTTATTATGATCTCAAAATGAATTTAGCAAGTTCAATTTTTTTTTGATTTGTGCATATGACTGAGAGTCTAAGAAAACCCCCGATAGATGTGAAGTTTTCTTTGCAATCGATATACTATATCGATATAGCGACTTCTTAAAAACCATGATTTTGCCCTTACACCAATCGTTTTATGTATATAAGACCATGCATGTTTCATATGACAGATTTTGTATTAAAACGCGTGGTCAAGATTCAAAACTTTATTCGCCCAAGTATTCATTTCAAAAATTACAGAAGAGGATCATTAACCACGAATGGCATGCTCAAAGGCTGAAAGAGAACTGTTTTCAGTACAACTTTTAAGTCCAATCATTTACTTATAGGGACATTTACTTTCAGTGGTATCAAAGTACCTAAAATAGTGCTTTTATATTTGGTCAGTATGTCTGATCAAGTAAAAAAATTTCGATCAGGTAGAAATTGCACGGGCTTATGATATACTTATAAAAAATTATTTTTGTAATTTGTCATCAAAGTAGCAAATTCGTCACCGCATAACCGTCTTCAGGTAAAAGTCCACACCACAATGATATGTTTTAAGGGGCACTCCTTTCTCGTGTGTTATAATGATCTGGCTAATAAACTATTTCATAATTGATTATTGAGTTATAAAATATGTATATATTTGATACTGTAGTATATTCAGTTCTGAAGGAAAGTACACCAAAACAATTGAAAGAGCGATCCCTTATATCTAGCTTTCTACGAATTGTCAACAAGAATTCAAGATAGAAATCTACGCTGAGACATTGCGCCTGTTTTGTCTATATGCTCCTGCATGGGGCTGTCTGTCTATAAACATTTCTGTTTAAAAACATGTAAAATGGCATTAAATTGTTGAATATCGTGTTATCGACTGCTGGAGTCTCGGAAGTTATGACTGTTATGTCAACTAGTAAAGACAGTGCATCTAACAGGTGAAGGTCGAGCGTCTAGGCTACGCATTGGCAAAGCAAGCGCAGCAGGACTCCAGGATAGCAAATTAAAAAATCGAGTTTGATTCGCTAATGAATTCGAAAATCGGGAATAAAGGTCGAGACATGAGATGTAACGTCGAGACACGACATAAAACTCGAGAATCAAAAATATAAATATGATAATTTTTATAAATTATCTTTTATTTTAAATAAATAGTTGCCTTGGCAAGTATTTTAAGTCATACAACCGTCTGCTACTACAGTTGCGTTATAAGGCTTAAATTGAGTGAGGGCCCCTACATTTTTATGCTTCTCCATCCAAAGAGCAGTTCTCATTCATAAAGAGTGTTTGTCTTAATCCGGTTAAATACGGCACACGAAACAAATCCTTTTCTCACTGTGCTGCTAATAAGGGAGTATTTTAAGGGAGTATTATAAACACACAATTGATCGTCTCCATGATGGAGCTGTTGAAGTATTGGCAGTTTCAAATTACTTCTTGTTTTCAAATACAATAGTTATCTGAAAAACAACGAAAAAAAGTTGATAATGTTGCTTAGCTGTTATGTTTATAGTTACTGCAATTTTATTTTCTATTTATAGTAACGGAATTAGTATACTTGTCGTGTTCCGATTAAACGCAAACACGGCGTTTATCCTACATTTTCAATACATCATATATTTTCAATATATGTATATAGCTATATAAGTTTGAAAATTTGTAATCCAGGCATTTAATATATAAAATGAATCCACCGACTAATCCACTAATCCTCCCACTAATCCACCCACTAATCCTATTAGACGCTCTAAACCTCTCCAAGCTAAAAGCACGTGTAAATAAATATCCTCATTCTGATGAAGGCTCAAAGCAACGAGTCGAAAGCTCAATAAAAAGTTGATAATGTTGCTTAGCTGTTATGTTTACAGTTCCTGCAATTTTATTTTCTATTTATAGTAACGGAATTAGTATACTTGCCGTGTTCCGATTAAACGCAAACACGGCGTCTTTTCATGTTTCGTTTATTGTTGCTATTTGTCATGGAAGTTTCTCTTGATCTTTCGTTCATCTAGTGCAATGTTGGTCAAACGAAAACAAAGCATGTCTAAAACATATTTTGTAATGACGTGAAACATTTTCATATATTTTCAATATATATATATATAGCTATATAAGTTTGAAAATTTGTAATCCAGGCATTTAAGATATAAAATGAATCCACCCACTAATCCACCCACTAATCCAATTAGACGCTCTAAACCTCTCCAAGCTAAAAGCACGTGTAAATAAATATCCTCATTCTGATGAAGGCTCGAAGCAACGAGTCGAAAGCTCAATAAAAATCACTTAAAATCCGGAGAAACATTTATCTTTTATATAGCTATATATATGAGTATATACCTGTAGTTCAAATTTGACTTTTTCATTATTAATAGTTCATCAGCACTGGGGCACCTAAAAAATTAATGACCATATCATGAGGCAGATGTTTGATCGGTGTTTGTTTAAATTGTACAAAGAAAAGTGAACAAGTCCCAATATTAATTATGGTAAGTGTTTTTACTAACAATGAAAATGTTTTATGTAGTAAGACTGCAAAACAAGCTCAGAAAAAAATGTTTTAAAAAGATAAAATAATTTCCCAGTGCTTAAAACTCACCAGTAAAGAACAGATAGTATGGACACGATCAAACTTTCTGGATTTGAATTTTCTTAAAAAAGGAGCATGCGATAACAATTTTTTTTTTATGATTATTTTGTGAAATGGCGTCAGTAAAAAAACACGATCTGGTAGTAATTGCAGCAGCTTATGTTTTATGGAGGCGACGGAGACGCCGTAGAAAGGCATCGAAGAAAAGAAAACAACGTTTTTGGATTCGCCATCTTAAATTCCTAAATTTTCATTTAAGATGACGTCATTTTGGCGTCATAAAAATTTTTTGATATTCAATCGCGATTGTTAGTCGCCGTTTATTGCGATTATTACCACGTTCTCATCATTGAGTTCTATAATAACTGGAGCGGCTATCTCACTCACGGCCTTAGATATCGGATGATGCCAAAAAAATGGCGGATTTGTTCCTCTGCCGCTGAGATTTACCGAAAACTACTGCTTTTCCGAATATTTCACAATTTTTCACTCCCCCCTTAAGAAAGAGCGAGGAAAAATTTTGTGTATATTTGGCAATAGGCAAACAATTTTTTGATGAAAATCAAGGTAAAAACCTAACATTCATTACAGTGAAGTCAACTTTTGTTGTCAGTTATCGGCTCCTACGAGTAACTATCGACGAAGGGAGCTATTTGTCGGCTACATATGAATGCAGATGTGCGTCGTTTTTTTACCAGCATCAAACTTGTTGGCTCGATTTAACTCTCTAGTCTACACAAAAAGTATGTCATAGTTATCTCCACGGTTCACGAAAGAAAAGTTAGCTTACTAGTTATCATTATTTTTTTGCTTCTTTTCACGCATTAGGCAATGGCCTTTTCCAGCCACAATTCTAGGATTCGTATTTCTAGGATTTCTAGGACTCAAGTTTGCATAAGTTTGATAAATGAAAACAAATAATATTGTATACAAATCACAAGGTAACCTTTTTGTGGTGTCTAATTTGGAACAACATTTTGATTTTTTTGTATTGATATATGAATTTAGCAAAAAGCAAATAATCATCGAAACACTTCTGCCTGCAATGGTGTTTATAATTCAATTGTGTTTTTAATACTTCTATCCTTCTTTTTCTCTTTGTTTTGTCATTCCTATATTTGCAATGTAAGTGCACTATAATTTGAATGATCAACACTGTTTTCACCTCAATTAAAAAATTCATAAGCAGTTACTAGTGCATTTTGTTTTCTAAATATCCACATCTGCTGTTGTATTCAAACAAGAATGATGAAGTGCATGCATGTAGATATGTTACAGCATAGCAATAATATCAAATGAATGAAACACGTACACATTTTGTGTACTTTTATGCTAGAAGATTGAAAGCTTTTTAGGAACTATAAAGTTATTGAATTATACTTCCAGTATACCATCATCTCATGAAAAGAAATAAGAAGCAAAAAATTAAAGAAAAACTTTGAAAAGTCAAATAAGTTTTCTTTAAGAAAAGCAGTGATGCAAATGAAAAATGTCCATTTTGTACACTGATAGGCAAACTAGCTCAATATTTTTTGTAAATCAAAAACTGAAATTAAAAAGAAATAAACAGCAAATTTAACCATTAAGTTATATAACACTCAATGCATTTTACAATTTGGAGTTATACATCTACAGTGAGTCATCATCAATCTCAGTACACAATATTACCATAAACACAAACTTTATGACCATCCCATTTTACTTGTTTGTGAATTGACATTTCATCAAGCATTAAAACACACACAATGTTGCCATCTTCTTTGGTTCTTGAACTTTAATTTCAAAGCATTCAACGCATCCTTAGTGAATCAAATTGATAATGATCACATTAAATAAATATGTATGGGGAATAAATCGTTTTTTGTAAGACTCTGCCTGGTCAATAACATCTTCCAGTCATCTTTGCTACCTGATCTTCCCGAGCTAGAAGCTCTACTCCAAATCATAGATACTGTTTATGCTGATCATTTCTTCTGGCTATCTACCCACTGAGTAAAATGTGCAGGGTCTTTTCTGCGTCAGGGAAACTATTTTGTAAGTATATTGGTAAATTTACGATTTCATACATTAACAACGAACAGAAAAGTATGCTGAGTTTTATAAACAAAAACAGGAAAATATCAGTATATTTGGCGTTCAAGTCAGTCTTAAAAAAATACGATCGTACCACGTACGGATTTTATGGCTTTTCATGTGTATAACTGCTTTTCAATCTTTGATGAACAACTAAAACAAGCAAATATCTCACCTGTGAAAGCGAGATGTTCTTTTTTGTGAAAACTACCATATCCAACAATTGAACAATTTAAGCTTGGCATTGTAAAAAATGGCTAAAAAGATATCGTGTTTGGTTTTAAAAAATTCTGTACTTAGCCACTCCAGTTATTATAGAACTCAATGGTTCTCTTATGGCATTATCTCTATTAAAGTTAATCGCTGTCGCGTTTGTCACGTTAAACCAATATTGGAAACCAGGCTTCAGTGGTCGCTGTTGCACACTAGCAACAATGGCAACAATTACAAAACAAAATGAAATTCAACAGACAAAAATGTATGGCATCTATTAAGAGTTAACACCGTCTTTTCGTATATGAATACTTCATTGAAAAACTATTTAAATAGCTTAATCAACGACTCAACGTTGATGTGTTAGTGATTTTAGAGAGCTTCAAAAACTATTTCTATCGAAGAAGAAATGCATTATGATTTATAATTTGAAATACGGTGTAAAACCACGCATATAATTTATAGCTATTATAGAACCTACATTTTAAAAATCTTTTGCGCTAAAATTTCTTATTTATATTCCCTTTATAAAGAAAAGGCTAAGTTTTGAAACACTGAAAGAGTTGAGAATTTAAAATATACAACTAAACGAAAATATACTTTTCAAAGAAATAAAATGACTATGAAGTCAGAATCCCAGATAAGACATATATACAAACAAGGGCATATAATTACATATAAATCATTTCTACAACAACCACGAGGAAGAAACTTTTTCTTTAAATAAAGTAAGAACCTAATCAATAGCCTTATCACCATTTATATATAAGTTTAGGCTAATTTGAAAAATCAGTACACTTTTAGTGTACCGTGCATGGAGTGTACAGTGTAATGTATATATGTATATTGTACTTGTAGCGCAACGATTTCAAAAATTTTACCCCTACACAGCAGCATATTTTTTGATCTTACCGATTTCTGATTTAAGTCATGTTCTTCACAACGATAACAACTATCTTTATAGACTACAGTTATCAATTAGTCAGTTCTGAAAACTGAGAATTAACGGGTATAATACACAAATATAAAGCAAACGCTTGCTCCTTTCATACTTCACATATGTTGAATATAATTTGAATCATCTTTGGCTTTGGGTCATTTGTCACGGCAGTTGATTCATATGTCGTATTTAACCTGGTTCTCCTACAGTGGTTCGAGTTGTTTAAATCGTCTTAAATGAGTCGTTAAAGATCTCTGAATAGATTTCTTCCGTTTCGGCTTGCGTTCTAGACACGAATGAGGCGACTCGAACAACTATTTGAGAACCAGGCTTTAAATATGTCAAACTTAAGTAATTAACCTTTTGAGGGAGTAAATTAAGGGCATGAATACCAATAGTTTTTCCTGCGTACTTAAAAATCTATAAAGGAAACATGTCACTTCTAATTCTATACCACGTCGTCTCGCTAACGTTACAAATACTGCTCGCATTCATTAAATGAATATATTTTTGCCAAATGAAAATGTTGCCATCGAAAAACTTTAACTGAAAATGCCGTCTTTTTTCCGTTTGTTATTATTAAAACCACATTGGGTTACGGATAAAATTTATCATAATAACTGTTCATCTTTTAATTTTGGAACTTCGTTTACAAATAAAAGTGTCCCGTCTGAATCAGTTGCTGCACCAAAGTCTGCTTTACTCTCCAATTTAATGCTATTGCAGTACCAATTATATTTCCCAAACCTATTTGATTCAGACGCTAAAATTCTACAGCACTCTAAACGAGATTTGTGTTCGCCACATGTGAAATAAAAAACGTGCCCTAATGACACTTTTCATTTCGGAAGAAAAACCGCTGAGTGTAGCAGGAAAACATGTAATTGATCCAAAATAGTTCATAACAAACTCTACAGAAAATGTCTTTCTCCATATACAGCTATCATTGAAATAGTGACTTAACAAGTTGTTTCTACACTTTGCCCAGCTCGTCAAAACTAACATGTAATATTTAATGCAATTATAGAAAACTATGCATGTTTTTCCAATGACTGTATGGTTTTGTATCTTTTTAAACAAGCACGATTTTTTCAATTATTCATCCCTGCATCCTTTCATTTGAAAGTAACTATCCAGCTGACAAAGCTATTTTTTTCATTTCATTTGCTGTAGCAGCATGCCCAGCATGTTTTTATACAGCTTTTAAGTCTGAGAAAGCATAATATTAAACGCTTCAACGTATCAATTCTGTGATTTCGATCACGATTTTACACATTAAAGCTATAGAAAAAGCAATTGTTTTAACACTTGCTTTTTGCGAAGTTGATTGAAGTATTAATAACGGTGATGTCGTCTACGATATCAACTGGGAAGAACTTCTCAAATCATCATTTGCATCGAGAGAAACCTCTTGAAGAAACTACTAGAGTCCTTTTGTTTATCATAATTTTTGCAACAGTTTTTGGAAACACTTTGGTCTTGCTTACAACCTGGAAAGATAAACGTCTTCATCAACCAAATAAGTATTTCATTGCATGCTTAGCAGTAGCAGATCTTCTTGTTGGACTTTTTGTCGTTCCCGTTCGTCTTCACATGCAATTAAACATGGCGGACGTACAACCATTGTCTCTTTGTCAATTTTGGATGTTGGTTGACGGGTTTTGTGAAGCTGCCTCGATTGTCACCCTGACAGTAATCAGCGTCGATCGTTATTTTAAAATCAGTTATCCGTTTAAATACAGAACATGGATGGACACATCAAAATCACGCATCATAATTGCAAATATTTGGTTGATTTCATTTGTGGCTGGTTTATTTTCTATATTCACATTTGATGGTAGTGAAGGGGTGATTTCAAAAGCTTATTTTGGCTGCAGGAATGAAAACCCTGTATACTTAACTGTTATTTCGGTTTTGTTTTTCTTTTTTCCATCTATTACGATAATCCTTATGTATACATTCATATTTTACATTGTTCATAAGAAACGAAAGATGGAAAGAAAGGGAAAATTAGGGCAATCACATGCAGCTTCCCAAGACAACAGCAGAGGACAAGTTTTAATGCAGGAGTTAAAAACATTACGAATGCTTTCCTTAGTGGTGTTTTCCTTCATTCTGTGCTGGGGACCAAATTTCTCTCTATTATTAATTTCATTGTACACACCGGAGTATTTGAGTTCGTTGACGCAAATGCAGAAAGCAGTTATCCACAATTTATTTGTTGTTATCCTTCCTTCGTTCAATAGTATTTGTAATCCGATAATTTACGCATGTTGTGATCGTAAATACAACAAAGCCTTTAAGCAATTTCTCGCAAATAACATGTTTAGTGACTTTTTCTCACGGCAGCAAAGCACTCAGATGAGTCATATCACAAGTTCGAGAAAAAATAAAACTGATATAGAGGTTGGAAACCGGAAAGAATAGGAGAGTTCTTCTTCTCGTTTGATATATTGAATATTTACTGTAAAAAACGATGAAGTATAATTTAAATAGTACGATTTATCATACTTCATTATATTGTACAAAATAACCGACTTTATTATATGTCTGGAGTGATGTTATGAATCTGAACATTCTCTGCTTGTATTGTAACCATCTCTATACATAACTACGATGAAGAATTTAGATAGATATCGAGATTACGATGAATATATTCTATAATTTTAAAAAGTTTAAATGTAAGGCATGTAAGTCAAAGTCGTCTTTCATCGTCAGACGAAAAGAGTTCTTTACCTTCAAATTGTATTTTTCGGCTCATAACATCAACAAGAAATGGTACGTGTAATGTTTGAAATAATGGTTTCGAAATTTGAGACATTTATAGGTGTGTGTGGTATATAGAGCCATATGTGCTATTGGTTAATCAAGGTGAACGATCACAAAGTTCTATGATGTAAAACTTTATGTAGCAGTTGTTAGCTTTAACTTTAGTAAGGAAATTAGGACTACAAAATTTCATGAATAAATAAATAATCTATAAACAAACATGCATATAATGGATTTTTTTTTATTTTCGAGGAGAACAAGCAGTATTTAAAAGCTCTACAACAATTTTTTACAATGTGCATTCAATTTTTGCTGTAAATACCAATAAAAATAGCTAAATAAGCAACGGAGAAAAAATAGACAGATAAAAAATGAGCCTCATTTGTCTTGTACGTCTGTTTACACTTGCTTAGAGTCAACAACAAAATTTATTGATAAAACCATATAAGTAAATGCATTAACACATGCACAACAGGCATCGCATTCAGCCTGAGCCTATATATAGATATAGACATAGTTCTGAAATGTAGCTACTGTTAAACAAATATGTAAGATTAGCTAAATGATACTTTGCATTTTCCCCTTAGTGACACCATTGATGATCAGAGCATTGAACAAACTTTAAGATTTTAAGAGTTTTTCAAGCATTATTTATACCAGATATGACTGCATGTGTTTTTCTCAGAATATGAGGACGAATATTCCTGCACTTCTGGGCCTTCTTTATATCTCTGTTATGATGGTTTTCTTCTCTTTTATCAATGCTTTTGAGTATTGTTATATTGCATTGTTTACAGTGTTATGTTTTATATGTTTATGACTAAAATATGTAGAAATATGTGCTTTATAGGTAGCTAGCAATAAACATAGAACTTTATTTCTAAAATACGGTCATGTTCAAAAATTAGCAATTGATGAGAACTACGAGCTATATTTGACTTGAAGAATTAATATGCAGCGTATGACATAATACCTAAGATTAGTAAGATTATGTAATTTACATAGATCTGTTTGCACCCTTGAGGTGGATATTTGAAAGCTTATCAGTTTGATTTAACAAACATTTCTATTAGAAAAAAACTCAAATAAATTAATTTTGCTTCTAGAACTGTAATTATAATCAACATTTATTATAATGAGTTAATGTTTTAAGAAACTTATAAGTACTGATTTTGTTTTGAATTAAAAAACTGATGAGAATTAATATAAGTATTTTATCTAACATGGAATCACATCTAAATTGTTTTATTCGTAAAAACATTAATATGAACTAGCGTTGTATAGTGTTTACACCTGCAAGAAACATTTACAAAAAAGTTAGTGATAAAATAAGTTAAACTAAAGGCATTTTGAATCATGCTTGCATAATGAGTATCTCATATCAGATTCCTGAGCCTAACAGTTCTATGAAGATCTCTGTTAACCTACAAATATAAAGTCAATTAAATGACATTTACTTTTCGGCAAACAACTTATGACTCATATGCATCAAGGTTTGTCAATAATTTTTTTAACCTACATTTATACCAGTTGTTATTGTGAAGATCCATTCCTATGTAGGAGGACGAACATCGTGAACTAACTTACACTTAGTAGTAAGTACCGTATCATTAAAATTAATAAAAATCGCCTCCGTTGTTTTCACAAAAAAGCCGATATAATGCCAGGCTTGTTCAAACTCCTAATAAAGAATTTCTCTTGCAGTGTAATCAGACTCTTCAAAGTATTTCATTTGCCATGTAATCTTACTGACCAACTTATTAAACTCACGGACTTGATAACCGCTATATATAAAAGTCTTTCGAACTTACAGTGGTTGTTGTGACAAACTTGAACATTGGTGGGCATATTTGACTTCGTTACCAACAATAGTCTAGTTAATTTTGAAAAGTACTGGTTTAGTCATGACCGACAAAAACAACTAATTAAATTCCTCTTTGCATTTTGGCAAACAACACATAACTCAATAATGTGCCAAGGTTTGTTAATAATGTTTTTGACATACATATATACCAGTTGCTATTGTGATGATCTATCCCTGTGTAGAAGGAGGAGCATCATGAAAATTGCACTAACTTACACTAAGTACCGGAATATGAAGCTTAATAATATCGCCTCCGTTGTCTTTAACAATAAAGCTGATAGAATGCAGGATTTATATAGTCTGAATACATGTCTGCAACAGCTAGGTTGGTTGAATAACAGATGTTTATCATTAAAGTCTACTCCTAAACTGAAAAATGTCTTCAGTTATCTTATCATGCTATACAAGTCTTCTAAAATTAGAGAACAGAGTCTAGTAGTGGTGAAAAATCTAAATATTGGTGAGCGTATTTTCCTGAGGGAATAATAAGGAATTAGTTGACTTGAGAAGTACTGCTACAGTCACAGGCAAAAATAAGTTAAAATAATTAACCTGATCTCAACAAACAAATAAAAACCTGATCTCAACAAACAAATTCAGAATTTTAACACCATTTTCTAAATGTAAATATTCAAATTTGTCTTTATCACACTCACAATACTTGCCATGTAAATATCATTAATATTTTATCTCACCTTATTCTTTTACCCTAATTAATTAACACGTATCATGTATCCTATTATAAATTCAGGATTGTAAACAGCTTTACTTCATTCTCATAAAGAAGAGGACTTAATGTAAGTCGAAACATGTTTGTGATAAAAAAATTATGCTGTTTATTTCAAATCCTTAAAATAATTAAATGAAATGCATCTTGGCAGAGGCAACTCATCTTGTGAAACGTCTGCTAATTTTAAGAGTATTTCGACCAATATTTATACCAAATATTGATGTTATGATCTCATGCAGTGTATGAGGATAACAGACACACCAGGAATCATCTCTGGCCCTTAATTCCTCTTTGTACCAGCACACTCCTATTTTTCAATTGTATCTCTTTGTTTCTTGCTTGTATATTATTTTATTCTATTTGCCTTTGTCGCTATATATATGTCAGTTTCCTTCCTTTTATTGATGCTTTTGCAAACTGTAATGTTTATTATTCTTTTATAGTGTTATGCTTTATCTGTTTATCACTAAAATATTTTTACTGAAGTATATTTAGAAATATGTGCTATAAGCTATTTGATTAAAACTTCATCTTCAAAATATGAAATCTACTCGAAGATTAAAAACAAGCAATTGATATAAATAATAAAATTTAACGTGATGATATGTTTGACAATAAAAAGATTTAAGGTGGATGTTTAAATTGATTTAAAACCATTTGCATCTGTCGTAAATACTTCATGGTATGCATTTTAACAGACATTTCTCTTGAAAAATTATTTATATACAATAACTTTTCTTTTAGAACCTTCAATTATAAGCAATATTAAAGTCCTTAGAAAATTTTCAAAGGCTATTTTCGTTCAATTAGAAATTGATTAGTGTCTTAAAACGTAAATAATGTGGAGTGAGATGTTGCTGTATATTGTACCAAAACAAATAATAGCATTCCACTCTTGCTTATGTATCGAGTTTGTTAGATTTTGTTTTCCTTTAAGCAAATGAAAATTATTTTATCTATCACTAAATCATATCTAAATTGTCATACTCATAAAAACATAAATATGAACTTGTTGTGTCTTGTGTTTTCACCTGCGAAGTACTAAAATTAGTGATAAAATAAGATCAATAAACGCATTCGCGCATGCGCAACTGGCATCAAATACAGCCTGAGCGCAACCACAAAATTCTAAGTGCCGAGCACAACAAAAGAGATTTACTTTCCTAATTTCAAAAATTCCTTGTTTAATTGGATATACTTTAATTATGTATTTCAATACGTTATTTAAGCGTGAGAAAAAGGCATTCGTTTTCAGATTTCAATGTGATATTAGTTGTGGCACAGTCATATGCACGCAATGAACGATACGAAGCACAAAGAGACACGACAACAAACAGGAGTTCTATTTCGATGAAAAAGGTGAATTACGTAAAGAAATCACAAAGTATGAAACAATTAATAGTGACTTTGCACAAAGATAAGTAATGTCTATTTCTACATGTTTAGTAATTTGTACATGCTACATGTTATTTCTCATACATTTCTTCCAATCAGTCGTTAAAATGTTCATTTTAGAAAGTAGTGAGGATTTCTATTGATTTCATGTTGGTTTGATTTAAAGCAATCTATGAAAGTAAGTGTAAAATTTTATTAAAATGCATTTGATTTTCCAGACATTATAAGGACAAGCGTCCACAAATATTCATGAATGAATATTGTTTTGTATGCACTTGTCTGTATCAAGCAATTAGCATTTGATTTTCACTGAAACTACGGTACTGCACCTGCTTCTTCATTTTAAAATAGCAGAAGAAAACAAACAATTTTTGTTTATGAAACAGCAATCATTGGAAAGTTTTACTTTTTCCTTTTCTTCTACTGTTTGCGCACAGTAATCATACATTCAACGACGGTAACAATATCATCACATCGTTGTAAAGCTGCTGCTGAATAAATATTCAGGAAGTACTTGCCTGTTTTTCCACTTTTTGCCTCCATTCCTTCTTTGAAATTATCAACATGGAATGATTTAATACCCACATCTCTTCATTAATTTTTATTGTTTTTTTTCCAATGCATTTTTGTCTGTTTTGAATGTTACGTATACAAGTAAAGATATTTAATTCATTTTTGCACTGCTAATCTTTCTTGACTAATTTTGCATAGACGTGGGTGATTTTAGTTAGTTTTGGAAAAACATTGATTTGTATTTAGATCTTTGACTTTCTCTGAATTGTTTTTATTGATAAACGTAAAAATGTTGTTTAAAATGGTTGAGATCATATTTGGCAGATCGTTTAACGTTATTAACAAATATTTTCTTCAATACAATTGCATATGTCACTATCCAAAGTTACAACTTTTAAGAGCTATTTGACTGATTTGATTGTGTGTTTTGTGTAGTTGATTAATGCATCCACAAGAGCGATGTCGCCTTTGACAATATCTGTGAAGAACTTCTCTTGTAAACATCGAGATTACAACGACACTCCTCTTACCGAAGCTACTAGAGTCCTTTTGTTTATCATAATTTTTGCAATAGTTTTTGGAAACACTTTAGTCTTGCTTACAACCTGGAAAGATAAACGTCTTCATCAACCAAATAAGTATTTCATTGCATGCTTAGCAATAGCAGATCTTCTCGTCGGACTTTTTGTCGTTCCCGTTCGTCTTCACATGCAATTAAACATGGCGGACGTACAACCATTGTCTCTTTGTCAATTTTGGATGTTGGTTGACGGGTTTTGTGAAGCTGCCTCGATTGTCACCCTGACAGTAATCAGCGTCGATCGTGTTTTTAAAATCAGTTATCCGTTTAAATACAGAACATGGATGGATACGTCAAAATCACGCGTCATAATTGCAAATATTTGGCTGATTTCATTTGTGGCTGGCTTATTTTCTATATTCACATTTGATGGTAGTAAAGGGGTGATTTCAAAGGCTTATTTCGGCTGCAGGAATGACAACCCTGTATACTTTACTGTTATTTCGGTTTTGTTTTTCTTTCTTCCGTCTCTTACAATAATCCTTATGTATTCAATCATATTTTACGTTGCTTATAAGAAACGAAAGATGAAAAGAAAAGGAAAATTAGGGCAGTCACATGCAGCTTCCCAAAACAACAGCAGAGGACAAGTTTTAATGCAGGAGTTAAAAACATTACGAATGCTTTCCTTAGTGGTGTTTTCCTTCATTCTGTGCTGGGGTCCAAATTTCTCTCTATTGTTAATTTCATTGTACACACCGGAGTATTTGAGTTCGTTGACACAAATGCAGGCAGCAGTTATCCACAATTTATTTGTTGTTATCCTTCCTTCCATCAATAGCATTTGTAATCCGATAATTTACGCATATTGTGATCGTACATACAACAATGCCTTCAAGCAATTTCTAAGAAAGAACGCGTTAGCAGTATTCTTATCAAATAGACGTCATAACAAGACTGGTAAAGATCAAAGGCTAGGCGATTGTGATCATGAAGGGGTATTTATACCATCTCCATGTTAATTGTAAAAAGCATGCAGATGAAGTCATGTAAATAGAAAAAGTCTCAATATAAAATGCGTAAGGTTATAACAGTACAAAAATAAATTTTATGAAGAAAAATGTAGCTGCGAATATCAACTGTAAAATGCTGTTGTATTCTTATAGACGTATATTTGTTTGGTTTCTGTTGAGAAGAGAATCACGTGACAACATGAACACCATGACACCATATTGAGCTTTATCATGTTAAAACATAGAGTTACGTAAATCATATGTCAATCTATATTTTGATGATCTGTGAATCTAAATAATGAATTTAGTTAATTTAGAATAATAATTGAGCTTTTATTTTCTTTTTCTCAACATTATTTTTCAACTTTTTTGAAGAACAAGATATTTGTGTTAGATTTCTTTTTGTGAGATTATGGCATTTATGCAGGTCACTAAAATTGTACTGTTACTTCTATCTGAATTTCATTCTCATTGTTTTTAAATTATCAAACGCTGCAAGCACCAATAATTTACCATTTTTGTTCATTCAGAATAAATAGTAAATAACAAGGCACATAGCTTAATTAATACTTTTACATTAAGCGTATGACAAGTTACATATATAGTGGCCTGGTCAGCCTTGTAATTAACATATACGGTATATAATAATATGAATTACAAATATATCTTATCAATTTGAGGCCCTGTTCATCCAGAGCCGTATTTCATGTCTATGACTACGAAGACATTGATATTAGTTTTAGAAACGTCATAAAGTTACACACATGTGCACAGTTTCCAATCAGGTCACATGTACCGCATACGAAACTAGATAAATTGTGCAACTCAGGAAATAAATTACTGAATTATGAACACCCTGTTATTTTCACTTGCAACTCGTCTTTGTGGACGACAGCGTATTATTCTTAGGATTTCATGGCGACAGTCAGAAATGAATGTTAAACAAATAATCGGGTATAGAAAAGAAGATGCAAGTCCTACTAGATTTATATTAAAGATCAAACAATGTGTTTCACATTTATGGTTTGTGAAGATTGTGAGCACGGTAGAAAGTATAACTGGAAATTTTGTCACATAAATTAAAAGCATCATACTAGACAGCATTTTTAGAACATTTCTCCTGGCCCACCTGTTTAATTTTAGATCAGCCTTTGCTTCCCGACTTTTAGATGACTTGGAGATATAAAAATTTTGCTGCAGAATACTTACATAGCAGTAGATGATGATGATGGCCATTACGAAAGTAACACTTACTATAAATGAGAAGTAGTAAAGAAAATAACTAATATCTTCAAAACCTGTTTTTTGGATATTGTATAATGGTAGAAGTAGCATTGTAGCTAGTGACCATATAGCAATGATGTAGAATTTAGTGTCTCTTTCGTCTAATTTTCGCTGGATTTTCATTGGGTTACACAGAGCGTTGTAATTTTCAACCACCAAAAGTCCAAAACTCAAGATGGCGACCGTATATGGTCCAACATTGACAAGGCAAAGGGAGTTTTGTAATTTGACAAACATTACTTGGGAAAACCTAAAAACTTCAGCTTGCATTGACAGGAAAAGTACTGTTTCGGATTCAAAAGAAATGAGATGGATGACTTCAGCTACAGCATTGCTTATCAACAACAAATTCATAGGACGTTCCATTATGAAAGACTTTCTGAGCACAAAAACAAACAAAATGTTTGTAAAAACACCGACCAATGACAAAATTGTCTTTGCTGCTATCAAGGTATAGGTAAATGAAACTCCACCACAACTAAAATCAACGTCTTCTGCGCTGCAGTTCGTCTTATTATGTTTATCGAGAGAGTTCATTTTCCGATATTGAGAAAGATTTGCTTGAGGTATACGGGAAAATTACAAGGATGCAACTTCTCTGAAAATACATTGAAGATCTAATCAAATATATATACAATACAGAGTGTAATTGAAAAGATATGTTTTACAATTATCGCATGCAAGCAGCTGTCACTCCTGTTGTTTTTGATGAAATGCAAGAATGCATAGGAAAGTAGACTAGACTTATAGGGACTTCATGGCTACGCCACTTATTCAGATAAAATTTTTCATGGCACGGAGCCGACATATTCACTAAACATGCAATGCTATCTGTCTGATATCTAAAGATAAGGAATAAGCTGATATATGGTGACTTTAGTTGACACAATAATTTTTCTTACATGTACGTCACAATAATGAATAAATAAAGTGTTTTTGTTAATTATCAGCGTACAAATGCCGAAAGCATGGAAATCAATATTTTTCACTAGAAACGAACTGCATATGACACCAAAATGTCGAATTTATTTCATCATAATGTGTTAGTGACGTCAAATTCAGACACATCACACATCTTCATTTAGCCTATTTGAAAGAGTTAATTGCGCTGAATGCGAATCCCCAATCAAATTTCATTTTGAGCTTTTTCTCTTTTCATGCAAAATATTTTAAAACCTTAGTGTTCTTCTCAAAATGTTATTTGTACGATATATATATATATATTATTTCTTGTTACACTTTAAAAATATATCGATTTTCCATTACATTTTCTATTGCAGACACTCAGGGGCGGATCCAGCTAGAGTTAGGCTAAATAAAATTAACAAATTACAACAAGCAAGCATGCAGTTCATTGATTGAAAAAACTGTATATATTTTTTGTACAGACTATAAGATTTCTTTAACTATGGATGTGGCGTACTAATGAATATGCTGATTCGATGGTCTTTATTTTTTTTTTTGGTATTGTAGTTACGAGTTTTTGGACATGCTTCTTCGAGTATATTCCTCAGAATGTATGGGATTAGTCTATTTTTGTGGCTATATATGATTGCACAAGTGCAGCAAGCATTGAATTGAATATAAATTTTCTGTTTTTGCTGACTGGATAGGTTTTTATTTTTTTATGTAGTTGAAGTATAGAGGGGGATTTATAACACCATGCAAAAACTGTGAATATCTATGAAATATTGATCGATTTTCGAAATAATGACAAAAATGGGTTCGAGAAGATATTAAATCTATTCTAATAGACCAATCAACTTGTCTGCTGTATATCTTAAAAGGCAAATGCAAAGCGTCAAAGCAGCAGCATGGATTTTATCAATCTCATCTTCAGATGAACGTAAGGCTATACTAAATGATTTCCCCGAGTCAGTAACTTAATCAACAATGATTAAATGCTTTACCGTACATAAGTGGAAGAAACTGCATATGTATCATGAAATTATGAAACGTTTCTTTGTGCATATTGACCCGCACACTTAATTAAGCTAAATATGAAACATTTTAAAAATGGCGACTGAAAAAGTTTGCATCAAATCCAGTGTCCTATCTTCTACTAATTGTACAAAGTACATACGTAAAGTCAATTTTTTGCTAAGTAGTTTTACTGAAAAGTGAAAAGCAAGACATTGATCAAATTGGATGGCAATACGTCGAGCGTTCTGTTGTTCGTGGCAATACTGAACACATTATAAATCTATTAAAACATCAGGTGGTATATAAAAAGTACATACGTTGTACTGGATTTAACTTCATCCATGCATGCAGGGCAGTAGATTTGTTCAGGAGTAAAGCAGAATTATTTTCTTTATAAACATGTTTCATAATTATTAAATCTTATTAAATATTTTTTCCGAGGATCTCTCGTTGTATTCCAAAGCAAAAATTATCTTAATATACTTGTTAAATGATAGAATCAAGTAAACTTTTCTTTAGTAACCTAGTAAACCTTTAAAATCAACAAACGTATTGTTTTACCTCTGCTTCACCATCTAAACGTACACATTATATATCAAATACTATACATATATATATATATATAGTTGACAAATCTTTTCTTTTAGGCAGCTGCTCCAAATCACGTTTTATGATAAATTTCACAACTGCTTGTCAGTTCAAACGCTATTTACACCAGAAAACATTAAACTCTGATGCATGGAGTAAAAGTGGCACAAGACACAAGCATCATTTTATCTCAACTCCTTTGATTAACCCTTATTGTTTTAGTTTTGCATTATGTTGTTGCTATTTATATGTCATCTGATGGCTCTATATGCAGGTGCATTCAATCAATATTGAATGGAAATTATTATACATATCTTAGAGCTTATATTTATATTATATATATACTTATAGTTGAATTTACATTAAAAATTCACTTTCTACGGCAAACATAAGCATGCACGATTTCAATAGTGAGTCGATTAATTCATCAAATGACCCAAATGTTTACTATATGCGAAATGAAAATCTTTCTTTTGATAAATCAAATGCATTTAATGAAATATCCAAATTATGTTTATCTGTATTTTCTGTCTAATTTGACAGTACGCTGGCGTTTTGGTGCATTTCAAATCACTTGATATTTGCGTTTTTTGCAAAATTCATTGTAGGTTATTGTTACTACATGTACAGTTCCCAAGCACAGTGTGCATACACCTGCGACCAGGGACGGACATTAGGGGGTGAGGGTGGGATGTATGATTGTAAAATAAGTAGAACGTGAAGATGAAAAAAGTCGCTTTGGCTAAAATAACGCGTTTTTATATCAAATACAGATGTCACAAAATTCAGCCACAGATCGTAGAACCATCCATATGTTTTTTGAGGGAGGGAGAGAGGGAAGGGGAGTGTGCCCCTATGTGCAACCATTATCTGAATTCACTTATTCATGAAAAATTTGTATTAAATTTAATTCATCTACATCTTCACTTCTTTCGAATCGTTTTTGCGCGTACGGAGAGGGCAGTAACTTATTTTAGGATTCGTTATATTATACACTTCAATTCCGTACGTTCTCAATTAAATCAAAATCTGTTCGACCGCTGAAACAGCTGGCTTTGTTTCTGTATTTCACTGGTACTGTTTTCCAACTGTGCCCAACTGAGCCCTATATTTGTAACACACGCTTCTTTCATTTTAAATTTAAATACATACGGAAAAATTTCAAATTACAATATAGTAATTCATGGCAAATAAGGAGAAGAAACGATCATGTAAGAACGAAATGAAATATACTCTCATGAAAAATTATATTTGCCTTATCCCTTCTATTTATACGATTCCTTTCCGAGCTACAGCAATAGCTTGTTGGCAGGGCAGACTACGAAATTGACTTGATGCATTTAACAAGATAAATGAACATTAATGAAGTCTGATTGTTCTCGCAAGTAAGTATTTGATGAACTTCTGTTAAGAGCAACACTATTTTTATCACTGTTGAATTGAATGAGTTAAATGCAAAAATATAAGCAGAAATATGCCAAAAAATTGAAACAAAATCACAGAAATCTTCACCTTGATAGCTTCAAAAAAACATAAATTACTTTGTGACTTTCTTAAGGACTTCATCATCATCAAAAACGCCAAGAAAAATGCGAAAATGAATTGATGAAAACTGAAACTTTATCATCATAAAGTATTGCTTTAAATTAAATATATATTTACAAACGCTTCGAGCTCAGTTGCCCAAAAATTTCATTCAAAATACAAAATATAAAGAGATGGTTTTACCTCTTTGATCTTGCCGACATAATAACCACAGACACTTTATTTCCTTCGTTGACTCTTCGTTGTAAACATAATTTCAATGATATTTTTAACAAATTAAAAGATGGAGGAGGGAGTAAATGCAATTATAGCTATCTAAAAATTAAAAACGTTACAGAAAAACCTCAATTCGTACCACGTTATTTCCAAATAATGCCGAATTCAAAAAACTGCATGTTTTATGCATGATTCATGTATGATTATCATGTATGTTCCGATAATTTTTGTTAACGGTGAAAATGTATTCTGCAGATTGTTTGGTGTTGATTGGTTGATTGGATCTTTTTCTGTGAACAAGCTCAATCTTAATATCAAAATAGCTACTGGCATACCATTTTAAAAGATACTGAAAAGACTAACATTTTATCGACCTTACCTTCACTTTTTCTTCTGTGTCTGTCATTGATATTTGCAATATTCTTAGGTGTGATCGTTGGCTAACACATATTGTGTAAATGATGATGCTGATAGCGTAATAAAAACTGTAGCAGACAATCCCATTTACATAAGAAAAAACACTGATTAAAATACAGCTGTCTACATCGTTTTATTTATAATTTTGGATCCAAAGAATATTGTATTTTCTTATAAAAACCTATAATGTTAATCATTAGCTTAAAGTGTAACATACCTCTCTCTTTAAGATAAGCATGTTGAAAAAAAATATAAAGAAACATGAAAAGTAATACATGAAGGTTTTATTTCTTATAATATACAGTTCAAGTACGGTTACAGAAACTAACTATAACTGACTAATACATATAAGGAAATGAAGGGATCCCTATGGATATTTGATGATCAAATTTAGTGCTATTAAATTAACTGCTTATCTATGTGAAATTTGCATTACCCAATGAAGAGGTATACAGCAAATTGCATTCATTTTTCATTTAGTATTTTTCATTTAAACTTCAATAATTTATAAACAGACATATAGTTGTGGGTAAAGCAGACCTGGACTAAAATCGTTTTGAAAGAAAACTGTCATAAATATTATAACAGCGTCGTTGTATAATTGGCTGATTTCATAGTGTGAATGCATTAATTCTTATCTAGAAATGCAGTTCTTAATCAACTTATATTATGCACACTGACGTCACTTCTTTTGAAATTATGCAAAAACATCTTCCGGTATTTTAAAAGGATCATTGCAGAAAACCACGAGCTCGTTCATCATCACTCTGGAAACAAATCCAATCTGTCAACAACCTCAGAGCAATTCAAGTATCCTTCATTCAAAAGGAATAGAAAAAAAAGGTAAAGATTAGAAATATTTGACGCAAGTTAGGTAACTATTATTCATTTTAATAATCATATATGTTGTAACCAATAATATTTTTGATTGGGTAATAAAGTTTGAAAGAAAAATAAATTTATAAATGTAATTTTTGTGTATACTTCCAGGAGAAAGGAACTTCATTTCAAACTTTACAGAAACAACGAGAGGAAATTGAAAATCGAATAAACGGAATCATTATAATTTCAAGAATGAACAAAACTTATGTGGACGCTGATTTTGAAAATATTATTAGAAAAACTGTGACGTCATGTTACTCGTTATTAATCCTAGCTTCGCTGACTATGAATACGATTGTATTATTGGCAGTGTACTTTGAGAAAAATCTTCAAAATGCTAACAAGTATTTTGTTGCAAGCCTTGCATTCTCTGACATCATGGTCGTCTGCTTAAGTGTAAGTATTCGTATGTATCAGTACATAAAGGTTAATCCAATAAAAAACATTGAGCTGTGTCGCTTTTGGATTTGGGGTGATATTGTCTCGGAATTGTCGTCAATAACAACGTTGACAGTGATCAGTGTCGATCGTTACTATAAGGTTTGCAGACCTTTCAAGTATAAATCTTGGATGTCTACAAAGAAATGTATGATAATTATTGCTATTGTATGGTTGTACTCGTGTATTATGGCAAGTCTTGGTTTATTATCATTTGGAGATTCAAAAGGCGTACATATCGCGAAAGGAGGATATTGTAGAAGCGACAATAAACATTTTTTTATTGTATTTCTATTAATAGGATTCTTCATACCAGTTTTAATACTTATCATTATGTGTTCGCTCATGTTTCGAGTCGTACGTCAATTTAGACGATCACGTAATCAAAACACCAATGTCCAATCCCTCGCAGTCCCACGGATACATGTTAACAGTAAAAAAGTAGGAAACTCTAACAAGCGTACCGTTGCTGTGTTTAGTTTAGTTGTTCTTGCTTTCGTCGTCTGTTGGGGGCCATTCTTTATATTATTTCTCATCATCCAATATGACAAGAAATTTCTTGCTTTGAGCCCTAAGAACCATCAAATTTTATCCACGATTTGTTTTAATATTTTACCGTATTTGAACAGCTTTATAAACCCAATAATTTATGCGTTTTTCGACAAGTCCTTTAATGCAGCAATTCAGAAATTGGTGAATAGAATTACGAGAATACGATATTTAAGGGAACGGTCGTTTTCAAATAGGCCTTATAGTCCTACTTTGCTTCAGGGCTCTTCTTACATCGGAAAGAACATAAAAGAGCATGCATTTTAGCTTTCTCTATACTTCATATTACCGATAAGACTTAATTTCTGTTAGAAAGGATAGCACTTTGAACAAGGAAAATCTACAAAAAGAGCGAGAAGATAAAAACTTGCATGTTTCTAGCACTAGCCGTAGAGTAGTGCTCACTCTAAGTCCAAACAAAACAAAATATATAAACGTTAACTATTGAGTCCTGCCAAAATATTTGCAAGAATGTTTGACGAAGCTGTGTGGAGAGGGGTGTGTGTGTTAACATCATTAATCCTAACATAAAATTACTAGTGACAATAAATCTACTGCAATGTGGTTTGCTAGAATTTAGTAATCCAGTTTTATATTGAGTAATGTCTTTTCATTATAATCCAGGCCAAGTTCTTCAAAGAATGTTTTTGTTGATAGCATAGATTTCTCAATCCATTTTACCAAAAATATGAAATTATAAAGGACAATGCAATTCGGTAACATGTAATTTTATAGTACTACACAATTTATAAAAACGGTTGAGTAAACCCATAATTGAACAATTATTCCTGGAAAATAAGTAATATATGTTTGTATATCTAACGATATCTCCATAATTCAAAGACTATGTACGGAACACATAATTTGATTTGCTCGTTTTCAGCAAACACTTGTGTCAATTTATGATACCTATATTGTGTGCAGATACTCATGGAATAAAAATATAGTTTTGAAGAATGTGTGTGAATTTGAATTTGGAAATGTGTCAACGCCGTCTCTGTCTTTTTCGTTTTGAACATGATAGAACTTGATAGACATGAAAAAATGGTGAACTTTAAATTTAAAATCAAAACTGGGGTAGACTGGGATAGACTTGGGGTAGACTGGGGTAGACCAGGTGTAGACTGACTGGGGTCATACTGGTCATACTGGAGTCCTGGCCTGAGCATTGAAGATGGCGGATGTTGTAAAAACGAATCAAATGTCTGAGGTAATAAACCAAAAGATATCATTAATTTAGTTAGTAGAATTTATTTTTTTGATTATATTATTTGATGTTGCTTATTATACCATTGTCTGCTTTTACATCATAACCATATATTTTTATATATAAAGCCGAATTTGTTAAATTCGTTTGTCACCTAAATAAGACTTAATCGATGTTATAAAGCTAAATCTTGAGCTAGTTTTTCAATCGTCCATCAAATTATAAAGTTAAAATTCAATAGTTGAAAGCAATTTGCAATCAAACGTTTAAAGTTGCTTCAGGATACTAGCAGTGAAGATGATGAAGATGTTGATGAAGAAGAAGAAGAAGAAGAAGAAGAAGAAGAAGAAGAAACAGAACCTGTATTGAAGTATGAGCGAATTGGTAATACAGTATTAACTCTGTTTACAAAAGATGCAGCAAGCTGTATGGCTGTTCATTCCAAGGTTTGTTAGAATTTACATTTCTACCTCAAATTTGTCGTCTTATCTTTCTTAATTTGACATCTTTGCTTAGTTCTTGGCACTTGGAACCCATTACGGTGTAGTTCATATTCTTGATCATCAAGGAAATCGTATTTGTGACAAAGAATTTCCATCAGTAAGTTTTCATTAAAATATACCTGACAAAATGCCATGATATATGTGATGTGCATTGGTAATGGATAATTCCTGTAAACGCATAGTTTGAAATGATTTTAACTTTCCTGCATCCTATATGTATGAAGGAATTCTTAATTTTGCATATTCTGTGTAATAAGGCAATTATTTTTTCTACAGCACACAACAACAGTGAATCAAATCAGTATTGACAGAAATGGGGACTTTATTGCGAGTTGTTCAGATGATGGAAGAGTAAGGATTTTATTCACCCTTTTTCTTTTACTTTTTTAAATGATGACACGTCTCTTGGTAAATATAATATGAATGAACATAATGTAAGAACTTGCTTAACAGCAAGAACAAACAATTTTTAATGAAATAAATAATTAAGCATTCAAAATAAATGACAAAATTTTTTACTATAAAAATGTTTCGACTTACATTAAGTCAGCTTCAGTATGAGAATTAGTTAAGTAATTACAATGCTGAATTTATAATAGGATACATGATACGTGTTAATAAAAGTAAAAGAATAAGGTGAGATAAAATATTAGTGATATTTACATGGCAAGTATTGTGAGTGTGATAGGGACAAATTTGAATATTTACAATTGGAAAATGGTGTTAAAAACAAATGGTCATATTAGTTTGAGTTTGAGATGCTAGATATTGAACTTAAACGATATGAATTTTTAATATGAAATATTCAGGTTGTGATTAAAGGCTTATACAACTCTGAAAACAACATTCAACAAAATTTTGATACTCCCATCAAGGTAAGAAGATCAGAAACTTAAAAATTAACATTAATGTTATTTTTACTGAGAATCTGTGACTATTTCATTAATTTAGGCTGTAGCATTGGATCCGGAGTTCTCTAAAAAAAGTGCTAAACCATTCGTAACAGGTGGCGATAAGGTACATATGGCTACGCTCTTATGAATACTGCAATGTCCCCCTTATTGAAAACTGGTAGCAATATTGAACATACAGGTTACCTCATAAAAACACTGCCATTGCCCTTACTATGTAGTATTTAAAATATGTATATCATAAGTATGATATGATGTAAGGTGTAGTGGTGACGAAATGTTTACATGATGGCTGATTACTTTATAGATGTCAAAAGAATTTGATTTTTGACATCTTCTTTTCTTATTTTTTCATCTTTCTGCATGCCCGAACTCATTAATGATAGCAATCTTGTGGGAGATTGTTTATTTTGTTCATTATAAAATACGGGGAAAGAAACGAAAAATGCAAATTTAAATATAATTCAAAAATAAAAGATGAGGAAAGAAATAAAAAGTGCAAATTAAGGATTTGATCGATAAAGTACTTTAAAACAGTTCGCTTTATGTTGTGTGCTGTTGTCTACATGTGACATAGTTTGAACACGACCTACATGTACATTGCTATCATTTCCTCATCATCATAACCTTTCATGTACATTGCTATCATTTCCTCATCATCATAACCTTTCATGTACATTGCTATCATTTCCTCATCATCATAACATTTCATGTACATTGCTATCATTTCCTCATTATAACATTTCATGTACATTGCTATCATTTCCTCATCATCATAACATTTCATGTACACTGCTATCATTTCCTCATTATAACATTTCATGTACATTGCTATCATTTCCTCATCATCATAACATTTCATGTACATTGCTATCATTTCCTCATCATAACATTTCATGTACATTGCTATCATTTCCTCATCATCATAACATTTCATGTACATTGCTATCATTTCCTCATCATCATAGCATTTCATGTACATTGCTATCATTTTCTTTTCAACATAGCATTTCAGTGTATGTTGAAAAAAGTAAAGCCAAAATATTTTGAGAAAATAGTTAACGAGAAAAGCTCGTGTATATGAAAGAAATGAGTTAAAGTCTGTAAATGAAACCTACTCTACTCTCGCAAAACTGAAAATTTGTAGTAGAAAACTGTTGTTCGTATCGGTTCTTCTGTTTAGTTGGTGCTTCACGAAAAGGGTTTCTTCAGGTATAAATCAACAATTCTTCATGGTGGTGAAGGGGCTATAAGCACCATAAAGTGGCGATCCTCCTATATTGCTTGGGCAAATAATCTGGTACGTACAGTGGCTCGGGGCAAAAATTTTTTTGGGGGGGGGCTATGACGTCATTTTTGCCAAACAGCCTAACAAAAAATGAAACTGTTGCAATTTTGTGATTAAAGGTGAACAATTTTGTACAAAATTAGCAAATTTATGCTAAACCCTGAATTTTCGCTGTTTAGACACTCAGGCAATTCAGGCTCTTTCGCCCAGTTTTAGATTTTTTTTCCTCGCCTTTTGTTGCGAAAGAGTCTTTTCATCCAGCGATTTTGACAAATTATTTGAGAGAAGCATTCAGCACAGCTAATTGAAAAAAAGTGCTCTACGGAGGCTACTGACACTAGAATAATTAAAATATTTGCCGACAGAAACAAATTGCAGATAAAAACACTCATGGCCAGGTACAAAACTACGGCCGGGTGAGGGGGCACAGTCATTTCCCCCCTAAATATTTTTGTCCCACTTTGAAAATGTTTGTTTAAATATGTCATATTCTTGCAGCTATGCTCTCTAGATTTAATGTGATAGTGAAACAGAGGTTGTTCGCTCTTCAGTAGCCAAACATAAAAGTTAAAAAGATTGAATGATGTCTTGCATATTATAGAAAAAGATATCTTCCCTTCTATATGCACCTTATATCAGTTTCTAGACACTAGTTTTCCAATATCTTACAAAGTTGAGCGGACGTTCTTCTTTGTGAAAACAATCAAAAGCCGATTTTGATTTAAGATAACAACAATACATCTTAATAATTTAGCGCTGTTATCTATTGGACGAGATATCAGCAAATCTCTAAACTTTGTCGGCATTATCATTTACTTCAAAAACGAAAACCATAGTCGTCTTTTATAAATAGCTAATCCATTGCACGATGTTGTTTTTCAATATAAAGATTGGATGTCGATTTTAGTTGACTTATAGCAGTATGTTTTCTTTGTACTCTGTTGTACAAAATATAGTTAGTTACGTTTGCTTCCTGAAAAATTGAATGTGTGATGAATTATAATCATTGTTACGATTAAGTATAACTTTGCGTCCACACTTTCCCTCCCCAAAATGCTGCTTCTCTCCCTAATTTTATATCTTAGCTGCATGTCTTCTTTAACCTTTCTCTCATAAATCTTCTTATTAATACTTAATGCTTGATTCGGCTTGAAGATGCCCCGAAAAATTATTATGCAGAAGATATTCAACAATTAACAATGTGTTGAATATCCTCTGCATAATGTGATGACGTAAAAATCATTCGAATAATAAGCAAGATATGAATTATTTTTGTTCTAAATCTCAATTTTGCAATTTTCATGTGTGAACATGGGGCCCCTATGGTATTTGTGGGACCGGGTACGTAGGTGCAATCATTAATATCACTCAAAATCTTTTATCGAGGTCGGCAACTTTTGCCTGAAGTTATAATTTAGTTAATTGTCTTTCCGTTGTTAATAATTTATCGGATATTTATTGGATTGTTATAGGGCGTCAAGGTTTATGATATGAGCTTGAAACAGCTCATTACCAACATCCGCAGAGAACCAAATAGGTATCTGTGTTATGTACTTATGTACCTTAATTTAGATTTGTATAAACATTTAACATATATCTATGTTTCTTACTGATCTATTACTCAATCGACTTTCTTTCCTTCCCATTGGTAGAGATAGAGTAGTCTCCGATTTCAGTATGTCTATTGAGAAGCTGGTTAAGGTTAAAGTGAACCTCCTTCACTCGTCTTTAACCCCACGTTATCGTATAACCCATAGATATCACGAATAGTATGGACATACGTAGCTTAAAAGCATAAGGTGAATAAGTAATCCCGAATGGTCAGTGGTAGTTGCAAACATGTATTATATTGGGGAGTGATGGGATGATAGGTGGCTAAAACTTAGAACAGAAAATACGAAACAACAGCGTACTGTTCTTCTGAAGCGACCAAGCGCTTTCTACAAAGTAAATTTTAACATAAAAACGTAAATAGCTGTGTTGTGTGTTATTAGAAGATTGAGAGCCCACATTCTCTATGTGTTAAACTCTGCTAAAGGCCAAGTTTACCTTCGTCAAGTTCCGACCACTTTTTGATAATTTGTCTATCCATCAAACGACGACAATCAATTTAGCTATCATAAGTTCAACAGATTTTTCTCTCTATTCTTCAACGCCATGTTAGTTTCCACATTCATTGGAGCTCCCCACTTATGTTCATGAAATGCTTTGTCGACGATTTTAGACATTTCTTATGGTTGTTTATCTCTTCTATAACTCTGCGTGTTTTAATATGGTTTGTATAGTAAATGACAACGATCATCTTACCTTTGCCATATAGTGTTCACTATAGTAATATAGATGTTTCTTCTGGTGTCCATGTTAGTAGAGTCCTGAAAAGGACTGTTGATGTTGACTGACGTTTCGACAACCTTAGCAGTAGTCATTTTCAGAGTCAAGGGAAGAGTAAAAGTCAGGTTTGCCGTACTTGTTCTCTGGTTCTTACGTCAACTTATTGTGTGTAGAGGAAATGTGTGACACACAAAAAAGATGACGTCATATTATCTATTGACCTGGACGATCTACATTTACAAACATCTAACGATACTCCCGGGCTGAAACCATCTTATAGTAACTTATTTAATGAAGTATGGTAAACGTCAACATGAACTTCGAACTTGTCTGTTTAATAAAATTACAATCAGTTATTTTCTCTTTCTTTAGTCCAAGACCTGAACTTTACCGCTGTTATTTGTTTTGGAAAGACAACACAACGCTTATTATTGGTTGGGCTAAGCATATTCAAGTAATACATGGAACAATGACGTATAAAATTAGTCTTATCTCATTTACAGCAATTTGATATTGTTGAGAGCATGCTTGAACTTTTAATGAATGTTTTGTTCATATTTGTATATATGAATTTTCATGTTGTTTGATGTTTTTATTAAAGGTTTGTGTGGTGAAAGAAAGAGTAAGAACCAATGGCAATCAAAATCCAGAACATAAATTGCTTCCGTCAAGATACGTGGAGATAGGTATAATTATGCTGAGATGACATATTTTCTGACTTTGATATTACTTGTTGCCTGAGATAGGAGTTTGGAGAAACACATAATTTATTTTATCTTTATATTTGACATAGCGATTGTTTTCATTATTGATATGTTGCCAAAGACTTCATCCCTTATCTTAATTTAATATTTTTTTATTTGATTGTTTGTTTAGTTGGTATTATACCAACGGACTATTTTGTTTCTGGAATTGGGCCATATGGCAATGGTTTGGTGAGTGTACAATTTGCTATCCACATTTCTCTTACAGTAGGACTATTAGACTCTGCATGTGCGGATAATTAATCTAAAATTTTTGATTAAGCGAGCTATTTACTACAAAATCGATGCCAGTACTTAGTAGATAAGCTGGCGTGCCCCACCATGCATAGAAGCAAAAGTAGCCAATACACAACCATAGACATACACCATGGACATTACATCGTGAATGAAAAGTAATCGCTTACATGTAAATCGTGAACAACAAGACAACAATTGGTTATTTAGATCAAAGCTTTTGATAGGTTTTAAAAAAATGTTTTTATTTGCCATGAAGTCAATGGATGTTTACCTCATTAATCAAAATTAAAAGGGAGTTACGTTAGCGCCAGTGTTGTTTGTACTGCGTAAATATACCATAGGAATAATTGTATTCTTCATATTAAGCACCACAAAGTTGTTTTTCAGATCATTCTCTCGTATCTTGATAATTCAAGCAAGAAGGAGGTGCGTTAACTGATTTATCGTTTTTTGCTTAAAAATATTTCCTCTAAATACAATTTCTTCCTTTTCAAATTTTTGATAATGCATAGCAATGTATCCATTTAGCCTGGATCGACTCATGTTCTAAAGATCCAGCATTGGCTGTCGACAGGATTTTTAAATGAATTTATATTTTTTCAGCGCAAGGCTACACGACCCCTCTTACGAATTGTTAATTATGCTGATGAATATGAAGAAATCATGATGGATGCATTATCAGTGAGAGGATTTGAAAATTATGATTGTAATCATTATCACTTAGGTACGTATACCAATGCTGGTTACAATAAAAAATCAAGTGCTTTTTTATGTAATGTATTTTTATATAACACATTCAGAAATTGGTAGAACCTCCTCACAAAATTAATACAAATCTTCATGACTTTAGAACCCTTGCCTGAAGAGGAATTATTTTTTGTTATAAGCCCGAAGGATATTGTTTTGGCCAAGGTATTTTCGTGCACTTACATATTGAGAATATATGTACAATACCTTACATATGTAGAATATATGTACAATAACTTAAATATCTACAGGACATATACAATAACTTATATAGTGAGAATGCATGTACAATAACTTACATAGTGAGAATGCATGTACAATGACTTACATATGGAGAATGCATGTACAATGACTTACATATGGAGAATGCATGTACAATGACTTACATATTGAGAATGCATGTACAATGACTTACATATTGAGAATGCATGTACAATGACTTACATATGGAGAATGCATGTACAATGACTTACATATTGAGAATGCATGTACAATGACTTACATATTGAGAATGCATGTACAATGACTTACATATTGAGAATGCATGTACAATGACTTACATATTGAGAATGCATGTACAATGACTTACATATTGAAAATGCATGTACAATGACTTACATATTGAGAATGCATGTACAATGACTTACATATTGAGAATGCATGTACAATGACTTACATATTGAAAATGCATGTACAATGACTTATATATTGAAAATGCATGTACAATGACTTATATATTGAAAATGCATGTAGAATGACTTACATATTGAGAATGCATATACAATGACGTACATATTGAGAATGCATGTACAATGACTTACATATTGAGAATGCATGTGCAATGACTTACATATTGAAAATGCATGTAGAATGACTTACATATGGAGAATGCATGTACAATGACTTACATATGGAGAATGCATGTACAATGACTTACATATTGAGAATGCATGTACAATGACTTACATATTGAGAATGCATGTACAATGACTTATATATTGAAAATGCATGTACAATGACTTACATATTGAGAATGTAGGTACAATGACTTACATATTGAAAATGCATATGATTTATATTACGTATTCATATTACCTTCATCTTTAAGCAATGACTGTGCGTTAAAACCTAATTTCTGTCTTTTGAATATCTTTTGTATCAAAAGCCTATACATTCGATGTCTACGTAACCGTTATGATGTCTACTTGACCAATGTATGTTTTCTCTCGTATAGCCATGTGAAATTGATGTGACCAATGTATGTTTTCTCTCGTGTAGCCATGTGAAGTTGATGTGACCAATGTATGTTTTCTCTTGTAGCCACGTGAAATTGATGTGACCAATGTATGTTTTCTCTCTTGTAGCCACGTGAAATTGATGACCACATTGATTGGTTGGTAGAACATAAAATGTTTGATGTAGGTTTAGAAATTTGTCTTTCGATAAAATTGAGTTTTAGTCCAAGCTATGTACGCGTTTTCCAGTTATTAAATTTTATCAAACAAGATGCTGGATTTTGATCGTTTCCATTAGAAGTGTTAACGTGATTTTTGTAGGAAGCACTACGTTCTGTGGAAACAAATGAGAAGATAATAAAAAGGAATAACTATTTAGTAAGTTTATAATGTCATAACATCGAAGTTTTGAGTATAGAATCTGAGCACGTTTATATGGGCAATAAAAGTGATTTTCTTGCTTAGCACGCAAGGTTAATGAAATATACGAAATTACCTATTTTTTTGCTTCGTAATTTTGTAATGAAATTTCCCTTTAGGATATTGGACGAATGTATTTGCAACATTTGAAATCTAAAGGTGAATATGAAGACGCCGCAAGGTAAAATATTTGAAACATTCGCATGTTTTCACAGTTCATAATATTACACATCTAATGCTGATGTAAGATTGCATTATTTCTATGTTTTATTGTTTGTTTTAGTTATTTATTTGATGTTTTTTTTCCAGATTGTGCGTTAAAGTGCTCGGAAATGACACCAGTTTATGGGAAGACGAAGTTTATAATTTTGCCAAAACCCATCAACTTCGGGTCTGTTTATTTTTTAACCTTCATTTGCACACGAATGCCCACTTAATTCACTGAGTCATGATAAAGCAATAAGAAGTCGTTTCAGTGATTTTTATCAATTTTTAGCAATTTGTTAATTTTCTCTGCTCAATTAAAATTTTCGATACATTTCATCGTTTAAAGTTCGGCTAAATTAATAAGTAATATTGGTCTATTAAAATGAACAAATGACAATTTCAAGTTTTAAGGAAAGTGTGAACGTACTTTGCTCATTATGTGGCCATCCATTTGTTTTAAGACTTTCCAAAAATTGAAGGTTTAATTAAATTCTAGGTAATAGCTCCGTACATTCCTCGTAATCCTGAAGACGCGAACAAGTTGAGCAGTACTTTGTACGAAATTGTCCTCAACGATTTTCTGCAAAAAGACATCGAAGTTAGTATTACGGTCACTTTTGACAAATTGTTCAAAAAAGCAGGCAGAAAATCATTCGAATTTCTTTACAATGGTATTTAATTTTTAATTAGGGTTTTCAGCAATTAGTAAAGGAATGGCCTTCAAAATTGTATAAAGTTAAACCTATCATTGCTGCTGTCAAGGTACCTACATGGTGATGGTTTGTTAGGAAAATAAAGAAAATTTAAGTGATTTAAATGTTGGAGAAGTAGAACGTTCTACGCTTCTAGAAAATGTGATTTTCTTAATATCATGTTAGAGAAATAGATTGTTACATGTTTCTGGAATGTGTGATTTGCTCTATGACATGTGACAGAAGTAGAACGTTGTATGTTTCTAGAACATGTGATTTTCTCAATGTCATGTTAGAGAAATAGAATGTTATATGCTTCTGGAATGTTTGATTTGCTCTGTGACATGTAAGAGAAAGTTTCGCGGGGAAAACATCCGGTAGCTTGATAAGGCGATGACGTTAAGTCAGGTGTGAATGTGATCCTCGATGAGGAAACGAGAAGTTTAAACCTTTTGCATAGTAGACCTTGCCCATTTGAAGTAAATGTCTGATAAAGAAAATACAACTGCGATTGAAAGACATCAAAAGGTTCAAGAAAAAAAAACTTTTGTGTCCCTGCTCATATTCTTCCCAACCAAACTCAACAAACCCGTATGATGTCATGTCATGATCGCGACGTCTCCTCCCAGATCTTCTAGCGAAAGGTTTAAATTTCTCGCTTCCTCCGCACAAACTGAACTATGTACTGATTACTTTTTTCATTTGAATTTCTCCACTGAAAACTTATAACATCAACTTATCAAACTACCGGAGTTATTCACCACCTAAGTTTCTTTTAACCCAAGATGACTATAAAACCTTACGAGCACTAAAGGACAACAAAACAATCCACATCATGTTAAAGAAGTAGAAAGTTATACATTTTTTGAATGTGTGATTTTCTCCATTTCACGTTAGACGTTTTTAGTATGATTTGTTCGATGAGTAATTTTTTTTAAAAAATTGTCTGCCAAAATTTTTCAAAAGAAAGACGACACTTTAAACAGTTTTTCACTTGTTCACAATATTTTTTTAATAAAATGCATGCAGCATAACGATTGTCATTTTATAATGCACAGTAAATTCATAACCATACTACATTGGAAATTGTGTTTCTTTAGATAATCATAATAAATGCGTCATATAAAATACATGTGTTTGTACTTGTGCACTTTTCTGCGGCTCCATACGCATGGACTAAATCGACTAAATTTTTGCGTTTTCCGACAATTTATATTAGTTTAAGAAGTGGTCATATCAAAATGAGCCATTGACTCGTTCACATGCAAAGTTCTTTGTGATTGACTTTAATTGCTTTATTTTTTAGGAAAAGCTTTTAAACGATCCCAAGAACCCAATCCTTTTACAGAGTCTTGGTGAATTGTAAGTTGAATATAAACGATGCTTTGTATTTAAACTGCATTAAGGGTACAGTGGGTACATTAAGGATACATTAAGGGTACAATGGCTTTCAATTTGTAATAAAACGATTTTTTTAATGGATAGGTATACTTCACAAGGTCGTTACGATCTCAGTCTTGCGATATATCTGGAGTAAGTATTAGGACGTACGTAGTATGATGATTTGAAGACATTAAAATTAATCAGTTATTGTTCCTAAAGTTTATTTGATGTAAGGAGCATGCAATTCTAATAATTTGACGTTTCCAATTTGTTTAGATTGAAATATGAAGGAGTCTTTGAATTAATTGATCAGCACAACTTGTTTGATTCTATTTTTGACAAAATTGTTAGGCTCATGGACTTTAATAAAGAGGTAAGAATGATTGTTCTGATTATTGTCTAACATGGGTGATTATGTATCCATAGAAAATGTCTGCTCCTGGGAACTTTAATAACAAAATATTTATGTATTTAGTGGTTATTAACTTGATTAGCTATGTCTAATAATCATACATAATTATGTTCTTGAAAATGTCTGCTCCTGGGAACTTTAATAATGAAATATTTATGTATTTAGTGGTTATTAACTTGATTAGCTATGTCTAATAATCATACATAATTATGTTGTTGAAAATGTCTGCTCCTGGGAACTTTAATAACGAACTATTTATGTATTTAGTGGTTATTAACTTGATTAGCTATGTCTAATAATCATACATAATTATGTTCTTGAAAATGTCTGGCTCTGTGAACTTTTGAATTTGCAAATAAGGAATTTCAGTGACATATGCATCGTCGAAATTATGGTCACCAACGTTAACATAGTTGGTGCAAGACATTACTTGTCTTAAACATGAATATCTGGGTTAGTTTTATAAATAATCTGTTGCTCTTTTTATGTAGCGAGCAGTATCAATGCTTGTTGACAACATCCAAAAAGTGTCGGTGAGCTAATTCTCTAAAAATGAAGTGAATATCTTAATCGACTACACCACCATAAACTTTTGGGAAATTTTTGATGAATCATGTTACCCGAAAATCTTGTGTTGACTAAATACATGGCAGAACCTTCTCACATTGCAATATTGATTTCCCCCGAAATTTTTAATCTATAAAAAGTGTTGAACTTTTATGCATCATTTGACAGGTTGATGACGTTGTTCGACAGTTGACACCTTACTCAGAATACTTACACACAGTGAGTAAAGCTGCTTCTTGTGCACGGCTATTTTTTACGTCCGTTTATGAAGCACGTTTCCTTTCTCATAGTTTTTACCTGACTTTAACCTGTGGACTACTCACCGCGAAAGGCGTTTAACGTTTTTTGCATTCACGCCAACAAAAATGGAAAACGTTTATTTGTCTCTTAAATTGCGAGTAAATTTTTACTTTGAAGTATTGTTATTCATGGTGTTGGTAAAGTCTGAGCAGAAATGTTAAGCATTTTTCTCACTCTAAGTTGAATACGCGTGTACAAAGAACCATTTATGGAGACTTCGTATTTTTACGTAAAACGTTAAAGGGAGGCAGGAAAGGGAAATGAAATGAAATGATTGTACTTTACTACGTGTAGTATAACATTTTTTCGATGGTTCATGCAGAGACTGTCGCTGATCTGCTATAGGAGACAATAAAGAGTTAAGAGCGCACTTTAGTAAATATAGTACGTACGTATGTTAAGTTTAAGGACTGCTTTATCAGTCTAATTTATTAGACTTAAATCAGAAAGTTTATTGTTGAAAGATTTATTTTATTTTAAGTATAGTTTTTAATGGCTTACTATTATGCTGAAAGCCTTCACTGATGTTGGATTGAAATTGATTTTAGTACTTGGATGCAGTATTTCAAAAAGATCCAGAACTAAGTATTGATTACCACGAAATTCAGGTGAAATGATCTTGTGTTCCACTTTATGTAGGCTAATTTTCATGCTGCACACTTTTTTTTCAATGCGATTGAAAAGAGATGCGTTCATAAGTTACATCAACATTACATAAATAAAAATTTATACAAACATTTTATGTTTATGACAAATATTATAGCAACACAATGGTGAAGTCAGGCAGCGCAATTGATGTTAAAACAATTACCATATGCTATAAAATAACGGATTTTGCTTTTCATTTTTTCAAATTGAAGTTTATTTCTATAAATTTTATTTCGCTGGAAGCAACCTTATTTTGTCATTATCCCAGTGAGAATTTTCAACTGTGAATGCTAGGCAAGTTGAACAAAATTTTATCTCATTGTATTATTTGTGTTGTAAATTTGAAGGTCTCTCTATATGCTGAGTTTGATCGTCCGAGACTTCTTTCTTTCCTTCGAAAAAGTAATTACTATCCATTGCAAAAGGTAGAGGATTTGTCGCGTGTTTAAAGTGAATTTATTTTCATTTTGTTCTTACACATTTTCTTAAACTTTTCAACATCAAACAACATACAGGCGCTGAATGAATGCAGGCAAAGAGAATTGATCGAAGAGATGGTATTTTTACTCGGTGTGTTTGGCTGGTTGTATCTTATTTTAAATAGAATAGCATATGTTGATAGACAAGAAAAGGCAAAGATTCCCAAGTGTTCTGATATTTTGGTGTGCAAATAACGTGAGGTTTGACCCTCATACGACGTGGAAAAACAAAAAAAACACAGGTCATTTGCCCACCAGAGTATCAAAACACTTTGAAATCTCTGCCTTAATAGGAGAACCTTTTTCTTGTGCACCACCATATGCTATTCTTTCTTACATATAACAAACACATCTCACTCTGCCGATTTTATTGACTTCTCTCTTCCTCCTCTGGCGATTACGAGCTCATTGTTCACGAAAGCCTTTCCATATCTAAGCTTAAATCCTTTCTTAACACCCGATATAATTCCATCCCCCCCCTAACAAAAAAATTCTTTAATATGTTTCCCTTTATTTGATATTTTACCCCTTACATTCTGTCCTATCATCTAAACGTCCTACTTTCTTTATGTGTAGTCTAGTGTCCTTTAAATATACAACTATTTATTTAAAGCCTCTTGAATATAATTGTCATTTTTTATTCACGATGTTTTTATTCAATTCTGTATTTTTTATGAAAAAAAACATTATTTGTGCAGGGCGAATGGGGAATAATAAAGAAGCTCTTCATCTAATAATAGACAAGCAATCCAATGTACATAAGGTATGTTCCCGTACAATACTGTATTTATATGTAAAGAATATTCAACAAATAGAATATATGGGAATATATGTAATTGAGTATTTAAGTGTTTATTTTATAAATTACGGGAATGTAAAATAATCATGTTAGAAGTATCGTAACTGTTTTCCAAGAGGTTTTTGCTTGAGATTTTTCACTCACTTAGATGAATGTTCTTGCCAGGCAACTCGCAAAGCAGATAAATCGTTATATTGAACTATATATTCCTTTAATGATCATGTATAGGCGATCGATTTTGCTAAAGAAAAGGATGACGAAGAACTGTGGGAGGATCTCATTACATGTTCACTTGATAAACCAGGTTTTTTATTACATGTTCACTTGATAAATCAGGTTTTTTTATTACATGTTCACTTGATAAACCAGGTTTTTTTATTACATGTTCACTTGATAAACCAGGTTTTTTTACATGTTCACTTGATAAACCAGGTTTTATTACATGTTCATTGATAAACCAGGTTTTTATTACATGTTCACTTGATAAACCAGGTATTTTATTACATGTTCACTTGATAAACCAGGTTTTTATTACATGTTCACTTGATAAACCAGGTTTTTTTATTACATGTTCACTAGATAAACCAGGTTTTTTTTCATTTTTTGTTTCACCAATGTATCCGAGGCAAAAGTGATATTTTCTTTTCACGCTATCTTCATGTGTACTTGCCATAACTTTAACGTAAATATTTTTGATAGTTTTAAACTATGAAAAATGTTTTCGTTTGTTTTAAACACCCAATAATATGCTACCACTTTACAATTATTCGTTTGTTCATCCTTCTATCCAATGTTCGATGATTTATTGCTGCTTATGTTGCTAATTCCTGTTAATTATTCATCCTTCTATCCAATGTTCAATGATTTATTGCTGCTTATGTTGCTAATTCTTGTTAACGCGTAGAATTTCGTTCATTGTAAATTTAGGTAAATGTCATGGTCAATCGAAACAGCTTTTTTTTATTTTGTTTAGAATTCATTACCGGTTTGTTACACAATATTGGTACACATGTTGATCCGATCAAACTTATCAAAGTAAGAAAATAAGACAATGTTATAACCCTACCAACCGTAACTTCAAAGTCTGTATAACCCTACCAACCGTAACTTCAAAGTCTGTATAACCCTACCAACCGTAACTTCAAAGTCTGTATAACCCTACCAACCGTTACTTCAAAATATTTTACAGTCACCGTCATTACCATTTTATGAACTTTGTTGAATGTGTTCATAAGCACACAATTTTTTTAACACGTATTTTAATAGAGGATACCGTGTAATATGAAAATTCCAGGCTTGCGCGATTCGCTTGTGAAAATTCTGCACGACTATAATTTACAAGTAATGTATAATTTCCCGTATAAATGAACTGAAATACTTTATTTTGTTAAATTTTTTAGTTTATATTATTAAGATTTATTGTTGGCAAGTATATGGTATATGTTGTATGTTCAGCTTATTTTCTTTTAAAGATATCACTTCGAGAGGGTTGTAAAAGATCCTAGTAAAAGACAGGTGAGATTTTCATCATTTGTGTTTTTAAAACATTATGATCTTGTTAGCTTCCTGGAATTTTAGCGGTACATGCTTGGTCATGTTATACCACAAAGGGATACTACATGATAGAATTTAGTTTATTTAATCATATGCTGTCGTTATTCTACGTAATTCACATGTTTATATTCCTGTATAGTGTTTCGTTATTGCAACGAGCTATGAAAACAAGGCAAAAAGGAATTTGTGTTTCTGGTATACATGTTAAAAAACTATGTTTCTTTGTGTCAATCTTGATCTTCAGTATATACATTTTTTATCGTCTAGGGTCATCGACATGTTCCAGTTGTCATGGTAACATACTAGTGCAAGGTATAATATGACTTGCTTTCTTTCACGTACAATGCATGTGTGTCAAAAAAATGAATCGAACTTTGATATAATATCGTGTGTTTAATATTGTGTTTTATTCTTTATTTTTATCAAGCAAAGAGATGAGCTCTTCAGCTTTCCAATGTAGAGTTTTTAATTTCATAATAATCAGAAATGAACGAGTAATCTTAAAATAAAAATTTCAGGTCAAAATTGCTTTTTTTCACCATTGGGAAATGTATAAAATTATAAAGGTTTTACTGCCATTTCGCACAATAGCAAATGAAACAGCGAGTTTTTCTCTGTGTTGTATCATACGTTGAATTAATAATTGTATTCAACGATGGAAAAATGTTTTTTGACTTGCAATGAAAAACATATCGATGGAAAGCAAAAGAGCTCATCTTTTTTTTGCCGTCAGAAAAATGCAAGTATAAAGCACAATATTAAATGCTCGATGATTTCTTATTAAAGTTCGATTTATACGAACGTACTGTAAAGACAATTTAATTCCATCATCATCCGCATGGCTGTTTCTTTTTTTTAGTACATTTTCACATTAATAGTATCAGTTGCTATGTGTCTAGATAAACGTCAAGCATCTAAAGTTGTTGTATTCTTCGATAAACAAGTTTTCCATGTGGATTGCTTAGCTCATAAAGATAAGGTTACACTTTTGCCAACTTTTATAACTGAGTGAACTTTCTTGGAAAAATCATTGAAATATTATGGGTTGTTTATTTGCTTTTAGGAGTTATACTGTCAGATATGTTCACCACCTGTCTGGTCAAAGTAAGAAAGAATCAAAGCAATATCATGCTTGATTTATACAAGCCGTGGTTGAAGGTGATTTAGATGAGTAAATGTGTATGCCTGATTTTGAAAAATTTAATGGGACGAATTCTTGCACAAGACGTACTAATAAAAATCGAATGGTTTTTACACGTAAAATAACATTTGACTAACAGGAACTGGAAATACCAAGGGAAAGTGGTATCTTAAAATTCTCCTTTACGCAGGCTATGAATATGGTGATGATGGTGGCACAACAATAAATGGTGATCCTAATACACATGGTGGCACAGACAATGTTTGTGAATCATAAGATTTAGTTGATACGGAGAAATTTTTCCATAATTTATACTTTGATCTCCAAATTTGAAATCTTATAGTCTTTCATTGATTTTAATCTGAAAACAGTAGCAATTTTGAAACTGGTCGTTGCATTAGCATTCTAAGAACCATGCACTCAATTTTTTCCATTTGCCTTAATTTTGATAATATATTTGAGCTAATAGTAAGCTAGTTAGTTTAGAGGTATTACTATACAGGTAGTTAAGAGCTGTTGGGAAAGGTTTGCCTTGTTTTTTTTTATAGAAACATAGCAGTAGTGTGGTGAATGGCGAAACTTCAAATGACTTAGTCATACAAAGTGTGAACTTTCCGGGGGGTATTGAAGTTCAAATGACTTAGTCATACATAGTGTGAACTTTCCGGGGGGTGTTGAACAACAACGCTCGTATTTTGTTTCCTAATTATACAGATTATCAAACGAAATGACATTAAAATATTTATTTGATTTTCTGCAAAATAAATAAACGATCATTTCATTGCTAAAAAATGAAATTCCCGTGTTACAACAACGTCTCTCCTTAAGTCTTACCCCCAATAGCTCGATCTTTAGCGGTATTGATGCGTATATTTGTTCTAGATTTACTTAACATGAATTTGTTAAATGCGGCTTCATTCCGTTTTAAACCTGCTTCATATTTTCTAAATATATTTCATGACTCCCTAAATTCTATTCATAGAAATCAAGAAAGCACTCCAAATCTTTCATTTGATAACTCTGATTAACAAGATGCTTAACCTCTATTAAACCATGTGAACAATATATAGCAATAAATGGTCTCCACATCAAAAATACCTTCTTCGATTTGCCTAAAGGTGTAGCAGATGCTTTATCAACTTCGAAGTTTAAAGGCAATGACTAAGATGTGTGAAACAGTGAAATCAATTACTCGCCTCAATAATTTGCCAAAACAAAGTTTCTTATGATGTAAAACATTGAATACAATTCTGGTGCATGATTTTTACTTTCGAAACTTTTTGTTCATTAATTCTTGTATAGCTGAATATATTTGTCTAAAACTAGCTTTTCACCAAAACGGAAAATAAAGAAAAGTTGCTGCGACGCTTTACTTAACTTCAAGCTTGCGTTTTTGAATTAACGACTTCAAGGAGGTCAGTCAAGTTCAACTATTGTTTTTAATTGAATTAAAAGAAAGTTTTCTCGGTGCACACAGCACACTAAAGCTATCACTTTCTTCATGTTTTATTATTAAGCTATTGTCTTCTATGTGCGATGGCGTTGTCATTGCTTTTAGGCTTTTGTAATATTTTGGCCAGTTAAGTGTATTAAATACTCCCCGGCTGATAGCGCAAAAAAGGACTTGTCGAGTTAGCTGTTCCTCTAGAGACTCGAGAGCTTCACTCGACAAAATTGAAAATTTACATAAGTTCGTTGTTTTGATTTGTAAATGAGGAAGCATTTCTGAGAGGTGATTTTTGCTTTATGTAAATAATTTTTATTGTTCATAACAAACAGCCATCTTCGTTAAAAAATTTTTGTTAAAAAATATTCCTATTACACCCCCTTGGTCTCGACCCCCCTGAAAATGTCAGTGTGAATTTAGCAATCTTATACTTTATATTGTTTATTTCGTCAGATTGTATTAATCTTTATAGAGATGAAACGACGAAATTTGATTCACTGAAACATTTCCTGAGTTAAGAATTTATAAATACAATGCTTAGAGTAGGTGGCTCATTTAATCCCGAATGCTGAAGTTGTGTAGCATGTGATCGTGTTTGATTTGCATTTTTGACTTTTGCATTAACTTCAACATTAATTTTACGGTTGATACGATCCTTGTCCAATCCGGTCGTTATAATTATGATATTACTACTTGGTTACGCTTCTTAAGCATTGCACGAGGTTTCGACAAAATATTACAAACGTCTAGAATCTAGATAATATGATAACAATTCCTTTGATATAGATAGATGTAAATTGAATTTTCAACAGTTTGGTGGTGAGAAAAGTACTGTGTCTTCAACATCACAACTCTACGATTTCACATTAGCTGTGTTGTATTTGGCTCATCAACGCAATGGCAGTGTATTGGTTGGTTCTATTCATGGCTGTGCCGATAAATTTGGTGAAAGGTAAGCAAACATTTCATAATTTCTTTTTATTTCTACTGTTGTTGCATGTGTTTGATCTCGTAGAGAAAATTTTTCAAACTGAAGTAAAGTTGGCAAGAATCAAATGATTATCGATATCACAGAATTTCACTTTGAATAGTGGTAGGAGACGGTGTGTTTAATTTCACATTTTCAAACTAAACTATTGAGTTCATTACCTAAAATGATAAAAAACTGCAGTTGCAGATTATTTGTAGTGAAAAGTTCAAATCTATTCTAAGAAAAATATACCAGGAAATTGCATGTAAGAAACACGTTATCTGACAACAACAATTGAAATATCAAAGTACAGTTATGGTGAATTACTGCCAGAAATCTACTCCAAGCCGTGTATTTTTAAAATCATCGAAAAATAGGACGTTGTTACCTATTTTCACCTAAAAGTCAGAAAATACAGTCATAACAAACAAATCATCACTTTACAATGAATTAATTGTCAGGGGGGAATTGTAACTGAAGTGTGAAACACGAAAAGTACGGGTGATTTTTGTACATGTGTGAAATCTTTGAATCACCTCCATGAGTTAGCAAGTTGATAGTCATCATCAATATTGAACAGTGATTTGATGAAAATCTGTAAGACTTTTAGCATATAATATCAACCATGACGCTTTAACGCTGGTCTTATGCGAGAAGGATGCTCAAATTTATCCTGTTAAGTTATTTTGTTTTCAAATTCTGTCCAGTTTTGCAGCAAGAAAAACAATTCTCATGATGAAAATGTATAAATATTGGCAAAGTTCCTTATCAAATTCAAACTTGAATAGTGATGAATAAAGTGGCGGATTATTAACTACGGGGATTACTCCCACTAAGTTCAGTCTCTTGATGGCATTTGTGTTCCTTGCACTCCTTTGCCTTTGCATTTCCCAGCTTTTTTGTAACTCTCGCTTTTAGTGTCAAAAATAAGAAATAAATTTAAAGTTCAAACTGCGAGAACCCACTATACTTAATGATTTCTGAGCGTCGTACATTTGAACAGTCGATCGTATTGTTTTCAACAGCATAAATGGCCTAAATTAAGAACATTTGACTAGTCTGGAATGGCAAAAACTTAAACCTAAATATATCTAGGTACAACCGGCCTCTCGAAAGCCCGGGCTTTTGGCTTCAGCCTTTCGCCGCTGGATAAATAGAGCATCATTAGTACTGTGACCTGCGACCAAACAGGATGATTATGTTATTTGAAATAATCAAAGCGATGAAAAATTTAGCCTATTATTTAACGAAGCTTAAATTATTATTATGTAGTAAGAATAGTTTATTATTAATTATTCTCATTTAGTTTATTATAAACCTCAGCTTATTATTTAACCGAACCTTTATGGGCTTTATCAACCTAAAAAAGTGTGGCTAAATCATAAGGGTTTTTCGTTATAGAAGCGACGGAACTAAGAATGCGCAAGGGAATCGCCCCCACAAAAAGTCATTAAGTTTGCTTGCTTCTTCAACAATTTAAATTTTTTACTGTTTCATAAAGAAAATGATTTTAACTGTGAAAGGTCATAAACCATTCCACCAACTTCGTTTCATTGTGTTCCTCTCAATTTTCTTCCGCAATTGAGCGTTTACTTACATCAGCTATTTAAGTAAAAATTTCAGATTACACATATGGCATGTGATACGTTCCTTGTTTAGAAAACATCTTTGAAAACACCTGGTGTTTATAAATAGTTTTTATTTGAAGTATAAGACAGGATTTGCTCAGCATGGATGCGCCTTTTCTTTACTTTGTTAGGGTTACATTTTCTGACTTATTTCGCCCAAGTTTAAGTAATAATTTTAAGCGTTTGCAAATCTGCTATTGTAGTGTGCGCAGCCATTTAAGTTTGTTTTTTGAAATTCTTGGTGTGCAATTTACGCATGACCGCCATGTTGGATGATTGTAACAAAGGGTTTTTATTATTTACAATGCAAATTTCATCCAACGTGGCAAGCATTCCATTGTTCTCTCACTCCCAGGAAAAGGGTTGCACACTACCAAAACGTGACCGAACAAGAAAAAGGCTTTTTTTATTTGTCCGCTGAGGCGTAATTTGGAACTCAAGATTGTGGGCTGACGACTTAATTTGCAAACAAAAGGGCGTACAACCTCCCCAGGATTTACATCACTGTTTCTACGAATCCTGGACTGGACTTTAACAGTTAACGTTATTTTACACACGATTAAGTATTAGAAGTTTACAAGTATATAGTACTATAATCATATTGGTAAAATATTAGCTATCACGTTCAATAATGCAATCCTATCGAGTTTGTACGTCTACTTACCTGCTGCATCAGTGGCGTCAAATGCTCGATATGTGACGGGGACAGTATTCACATATTCATGTTTAATTCCTGTGAAACAATTGATTTCAAAGGAACGTTATGCGCCAAACATGTTTTTATGAATGAAATCCTCCTTCTCTTATTGAGCTGACGACGCTACTGAACTATTTCTGCAATGCCACGAATTTTTTGAATATCGACTCATCGTTTTTGATTTTCCTAGTAATCAGCAATGTGAAAATGTTGTTTGTAGTTATAGCATATTCATGCACATGTAGTGGCCGCTTTGTTATCAATGTTCATTTACAGCATGATTGCATGGGTTGAACAATGGTTCAATGTTTCATAGGTTGAAGTGTAAAAGCTATATCAAAGTTTTTTTGTCGATTTTTTTAATCCATGACTTCATCTGATGTATCTTTGACCGCAAATATTGCATTTCGTTGTAACCGTAAATATTGCACAATGTTTATTAATATTTTTGTATGAGACTAAATTATGAGTTTATAAAAATAAATTCATAAAAATAATATTAATTAGTTATTTAAATTATGCACGATCATAATTTAAAAGTCAAAAAGAATGAAAATACTTCAATTACTTAAAAATATTTAAATCAAAAATTATAAGTAAATTTTTTCTATTATCACATCTGATTTTTGTGTTTGATAATTTTTTACAGGATTATCTCCAACTACCGCAATAGGTGGAATTAATCCTGTAGGTGGAGATAATCCAAAAAGACTGGATCAGCCTTATTGGTTTGACGACGAAAATACTTCCTATGCTATATTACGTCATTCACGTGTTATTCCATCAAGTTCTTGGGAAGATGCACGTGCTTACTGTGTAAAAATGGGTGGTGATCTGCTTTCGATCAACTCGCAAGCTGAAAACACTTTAATTGCAAATAAGATTGCTTCCTACCACACGGATATCTTTTGGTTTGGATTAAAACGAAACAACCGGAAGTGGATCTGGGTGGATGGAAACAATGCGGATTTTACCAAATGGGCCTGGGGTGAGCCGAATAATTACCTCAACAGTGAAGATTGTGGTGAAATATATAGCCGAACAGGAAACTGGAATGACAATAACTGCCAAGATCGAAGATCATTTATATGTGAAGGGGAAAGAGGTAAGTGTCAGTCTGTGGCGTAGCTGAGTCAGCAAAATTGGTCGAATGCTGTGTAAACAATTTTATGCTAACTAACTGTAAAAAGAATAGATTTCTAAAAAATTCTACATATCTACATACCATTTCTATATGGCGGGTTGGCTATGCCACTATAATAGTGCATCATTACTGCATCAAGGAGCTTCCTGAATTTCATGAAATTACAAAGTTGAATGCAGTGGTGTTCACTTAAAATATTTTTAGTATTTATTGTCGAGAATGCGTCCGGAGTTCTGTTTTATATAAAAAACAGCAAATGCTAGTCGAGAAAGATGTTCAGATAATTATGTATCTTTTAAAATATTTTAGCTACGACCATGGAACGTGAAATGCGTACATTTTTGTCAATGTTGCATCATTTTAGTGCCAAGTGTGCATTGGTTTTCGTATAAAAATAGTTATCGTATCGATACATAATTAGAAGCACCGACTAAAATTTTCTTTACAGGTAAAATGGTACTTCCGACTCTCCCAACCATTCCGACACAGGTTTACGCGACAAGTAAGTTCAACTTTAATACTTTTATTAATATATTAAACTTTAATATCTGTTTTAAATGGTGGTCGATTATTAATCTTTTTAGCTAACATTACTTGTAAAAGGGGATGGAAAGCTTTTGGTAGTTCTTGCTACAAGTTTATAAAAACTTCAAGATCGTGGTCCGGGGCAAAGGAGGGCTGTGTTAATTTGGGTGGACATTTGTTGATAATTGATGATAAAGAGGAACAAGATTATTTCTACAGTGAACTTAGGAGCAAGGCTTATTCAGTAAGAATGCATTGTTACTAAACGTTTTGTCATGTTCTCATTAATATAGTCAGAATTCCTTTCTTACTCATTTAAAGAAACAGTAGAATCATATGTCTTTTTACTGTGATTGATTTGACGCGAATATAGATTTATTTGAATAAAAATGTGATTGCATGCTAATATATAATTATGAGCCGACGAGCATGCATGTATGATTAAAACTTTCTACTTAAGATTTTTTGGTTTGCTATGAATTTTGTGGTATAATCTTTTGTAAAAAGTCTTTTGCGTTGAGTTTGTATATTGTATATAGAATGCTTTGTTTCATTATTTTACTATCAAGCGTTTCTGGATTGGACTTAATAAGCTTGGCAGGGATGGGCTCTGGAAATGGACTTTTACTAATGCACCTCCAAATTATACTAACTGGAATGTCGGAGAGCCTAATGGTGGTAGAAGAGAAAGGTGTACCGAAATGTATGGTGGTATGCTTTCTGCTTTTTGGAATGATGAAGCATGCTACGTAACCAAACAATATATTTGTGAAAAGGAAGGAGGTAAAGAAAGTCTCATTGAAAACAAATTTTCATATATTTTCATATATTTTAAATGTTTTCTTCTATGAGGACTTGCTTTGTAAATAAAATGAAATAACTAAAAACATGCTCATGTAAAAGTCGTTTACTTTTCATGATGATATATAAAATTTATTTTGCACAGTATGCTTTTTGTCAATTTATGTACCACTAGAAAAGAAAAACAATTCACCATAAAAGCATAGTGTTTTTTACGAGAATTAAGGTTTTGGCTAATGAAGATATAACAATTACTTTGATTTGTTGCGATTTTAACGATTTCAGTGACCTTTGTTGTATTTCACATTATTTGTTAAGTTGTTTAAAAATCATTTTGATAATGAGCAGATAAGAAAGGTTGTCCTGACGATTGGTACCCGTACGAAGATAATTGTTATCAATTCAACTTGCTCGAGTCACAATTAAAGAATTGGTCTGACGCACAACATGCTTGTGAATCAATCGGCGACTTTTCATCCCTTGCAAGTATTCATAGCGAGAGTGAACAAGCTTTTCTTACTGCAAAAGTCAATTTGATTGCCCAATCGGAAGTATGGATTGGTTTAAATGATCGACAGTCAGAGAATCTTTACAAATGGACGGACAATACAAAATTTGATTATGAAAATTGGTTTGCAAACACATCCGGGAACAAACCATGGAAGGATTGTACTTTGATGATGGGAATGAGATCCGATGGAGCGTGGACAAAAGAAATGTGTTCAGAAAAACGACGATTCATCTGCAAACGCGCAATAGGTTAGTCTTGTATTTTGCTGTTTGAAATTTCTTTCTCGACTGTGAATAAACTACGTGCATCAAATGTATTTATGTCAGACATGGTTCATAAAAACTCCTTGATAATTTGGTGTTCAAAGCCTTTTACGTTTTTAGAGAATGTTTTTGTTGCTTTTAATATCAAGAGGCACCAAAAATCCCGCATTTAACAAAAGAGAATTTTAAAATTATTTTGTATAAAATACAATATTATATCTATGTATATGTTGTTAAGGCATCTAAAAGATGAATAACATACATCCAAGTAACTTTTTCAGTTGCGAACGAAATCGTATATAGAGAGTACTCGATGTTACAGCAGAGCGTTTAATATAAAATAGGTGATGAAACACGTGTTAATCCATAGGGATTTTTATTTACGACAAATTTGTGTCGTATGCCAGTCTTTAAGACTCTCACTCTTATCATGGAAATTAGGAGTTGTAGTGCAATATAATCTATATTATGTTCTATTCTTATCAAAATATATAAGTGCTCATTGAATCTGAAAATTTTGTATTTGATTAGCAATTTTTGACTGCGATGAACCTCTGGGAATGGAAAACGGTCTAATTAGTGATGAGCAAATTACAGCAAAGAATTTTAAAAGTCTGTCGGAAGGACCAACCATGGCGCGACTCCGCAATCAAAATGAATGGTGTCCTAAAAGAAGGTAGTTACATTCTGACGTCTTCATAACGATTGTTTTAGTAATGCAGAATGGGAGTTCGTCATTGTGTGTGGAACGATTTTACCCTCTTTCCTTGTACGAATACAGATAGGATAAGGATCGTGTCCAAGAATAAAACCAGAGGTTCTAAAACGAAGCATTAATTCTGGATTTTTGTAAATAAATAAAACATGCATGATAACAAATAACACAAGTATCTTACGCAGGCCTTTGCTCCCAATGACGCCCATTAAAAATAGATTTTTCATCCGAAGTAAAGTAAATACTTTCATAGTTTTGTTTGGTTCCCAAATGTCATTCGATTTAAATTGAACAAGAACTTAAAGTGTTGGACCACATCTAAAGAATATAGATAGACTATTTATCACTGAATTTGTCATGATATATTTAGATATTTTAAACGTATTTTCTAATTATTCAGGGAGACTATCTCCAAATTGATCTTGGCTCCAATTACAAAATTACAAAGATTGCTGTACAAGGCCTTGCCACGTCATATTGCATTAAATACGGTTACAATGGAAAATCATTCAAGAAATATGGAAAATTAAATTCTATGTGCAAGGTATGTCTTTTTCCAGTTTTCTTTTCTTTCTTTTCCTCCCACTTTTGATTTCATCCTTAACTGTGTCTTGAGATATGTTTTCAATTATTTAACTTTGCATGTATATGTTAGGCTTAGACTTGCTACAATTGCCATTGGGTGTTTTTCCATTTCAACTGTTACAAAATATGGAATTTAAGAGTTCAGATTCTCTAAAATGATTCCTCGTAATTTAAATTAAGATTTTATTGTATTCTGCAGTGTAAAAAATTGAAGAATTTATATCAACAATTGTTATAATCAACAATTTGCACAAAATGTAATTCATAACAAGTAGCTACAAATTTCAGAGCCATTGATATAAAGGTCGGTTTTCATTTATTTTATAAAGTTTAAACCCGTCTGTTAGGGCGACCCTTCTTTCAGAACAGGTCCTATAGTAATTTATTGTTTTAAAAAAGAGAAGTCGTTCTATTTTTGATAACTTTGACGTTGGTCCAGAACATGTTCCACATTCAATTCCTGAGTACTTTTTGCTTATAACTATTGTTGTTTATTTCCTGTTTGTCTGCTTTAAACTTATTCGACTGTTTTCGATAATTGACACTAATTTCACAAGTAAAAAAACTAAATTATTCCTTCAAGCTTAGACCCATTTGATATCATGGAGGTTTATTCAATAATGTGCCCATTTTGATTTCCCAGTAGGGAACCATGCTGTATGACACATGAGGCCAGTCCAAGCTTGATGTATTGACTCGTGCCTTTTTATTCTTTTAGCTTCTGTACATTTCTCAATCATACATGCTGCTTAATGAAAATTATTTTGTACTCAGTTGACGTCATGATAATTGAAAGATTGGACAAAGATATTTCAGTCTTTGTGATTTTTTAATTATTTTTAACATATGATTTTAGGGATTGCGAAGTGTGCCATCAAATCAGCCACATTTCCTTCGGGAGTTACAACCTTTTGTTGCTAGATACATTCGAGTTACTCCAACACAAGGAAAAAAGAAATGTGTTCGTCTTGAAGTATACGGTTGTCTAAGCGGTGAGTCACTAACATAATTTTAGAACTATTTACAGTTTCGTCAATTTTTTAAAAGTTGCTGTATAGCCTCTTTAAATAAGGAATGTGTAGCGTTTTTGAATAAAGAATATATAGCCTTCTTAAATAAAGAATGTGTAGCCTTGTTAAATAAAGAATATATAGCCTTCTTAAATAAGGACTGTATAGTCTTTTTAAAGAAGGAAATACTTCATCATTAAACAATCATGCCAAAATATTAAGTAAAAGACGCATGATGCTAGTCGCATTTATTTACAATTGTCACTATTCTGTCTAATTCGTTCATTTATTTACGAATTTTATTATGTGGATAATGCAGTGCAAGATTTTGTTTACCAAAACATTAAAAATTTTAGAGAGCACTATTGACGAAACGCACAAAGATGCAATCTGGTCAAAGATCCCATCATCTGATTACCAATATCAAATCAATAACATTCTTCTTTCATGGGAAGGTAAACTACAATTATTCTTTTTTGGATATCTATCATTTAACGAAGTTTAATTCGATAAATATTTTCATTTGAATCGTACAGCGATGACAAATGTTAAGCTATAATTATACGCAGTGTGTAAGGATCGAATGATTTTTGTTGCGTAATTTTTCTGTAGAGGCACGATCGCACTGCTTGGAACAAAATGCTGACTTGCTCAGTTTAAGTGATTCGAAAGTTATTCAGCACATGAACACACAATTGACTCGCCTGAGTGTATATAGCTGGTGGATTGGAATGTCAAATCGTGATGGTACCTTTCTGTGGACTGATGGAAGTCCTGTAAATTATATCAATTGGCATGGTTTAATAATTGGTACGTTAAACAATATTCGTTATATGAAAATTGTTTCATTGTATGGTATGTTGCAAATGATTCTTTCCATGTAATATGTTACACAATGTTTGTCGCGTGTCCATTTAATTTTACTGCACGTAAAATAATTTAAATGAAAGATTCTACCCAACACCTTGTTAAGAATTTGCATTCTTTTTTCACTTTAATACAATGAATTCACGTCTGAGTTACATGTGTATCATCCAGATGTAATGACTTTTCAAAGTAAAATAAATTAAATTCGTACTGATTTTGTTTATTTTTCTTTATCGAAGAATAATTTCTATGCATTTTCTAGGTAATGCAAAGTGTGCTGTGGTTCGAAGAATAGATAAAAGGATGCAATTGATGTCATGTAGTAACCGGTATAACTTTGTGTGCATGAGGAAAGGTAACTGCAACAATATTAATGTTATGAGCATTTATTTCTTTTATTTTGTTAGGCAAATAATTAGTAGTGATCTTGCATATTTATGATCAACATTGTTACGTCTTTAGTCATCTCAATATTTTCAAATCAAAGTCCTTGGAAAGTATTCATCAAATTCCCTAAATCGTCTTATTTGTTATTATGTAAACATCTCCATGGTGTTTTTTTTACACATCAACAAGACTTCGTTCAATTAATGTTTTATGAACAATCGATTCGTTGAAAAGACAAAATGAAAAGTTTTCGTATCAAGTGCTTTAATTCTATGAACTTATTTCATACATCTCTACTGCAGATCCAAGCTCTTTAACAAATGATCTCATTGCGGACCCCAATCGTCAAGTGATTGATAAAGGTGTCACTGGTGGTATGTATATATGTATAATTTAACTGATGTAACTGTTCTTGCTGGTTGTTTCATCTTAAAATCTATGCATGTAAATTGAAAGCTTTTTGTAAGCGTGATCTTGCTCATAGATTGTTAACTGTTAACCAGAGGACACTGTTTTTTGTGGTTATTTATTCTGTATTGGTTTAAATAGAATATGCATTGCTGTGAAAGCAGCACTCATGAAAAAAATTATAAACTTTATTGGGGGAGATTTTAAGTTGTTCAACTAGAAAAAAATTGGACCAAAGAAAAGTTTTGCTTTGTTGACAGAAGCAATTGTCTAACAAACATGTCGGTGTTCATTGCACAGGACTCGTAATGAACACTGTTATTGTTATTTATCACTTTAAGCTAAATAACATTTGCACTTTGTTGAAATATAAATTTAACAAAAATTTTTAGTTTGGAAGAGTAGTGCGAGTCTATTCTGGCCTTTGTCAAATGTTGATGATCGAAAGATATCAGGAACTGTTGATGGCGCCGTTTACGGAGACGTCCTTGTAATATCTGGGGTAAAGAACAAAACTGAGTCAGCTTTATTATTCACAAAGTCAGGCATGTACATTGATGTTAAGTTAAAGGAAACAGACTGTCTGATTTTGCCTGATATTTGTCCGTCAAAAGAGTTTACCTTATCATTTATGGCGTCCTTCGATATCACTGCTGCTACCTGGAGCAAAGTTTTTATTCTTGACACTTTGGAAAAAAATGAAGAGGAGTCGACTGGGGTTTCTGTGTATGTAGATCAAAAAAAACTTTGGTTTGTTGTTTCTTACGTGCATATGTTTTGGAAAATTGATGTACCCATAAATGGTGATAGCGTTTGGAGACATTATGTTGTCGTATGTGATATCAAGAAGATTACTCTCTATGTGAATGGAGAAAGTGTAAATGAAAGGTAAACTTTACCACGTACCTTGTGGTAATCTTCATTAATTTAACCATGTACGCCAATGTGAATGTCAAAGATAGGATATTACGAACTTTCCTGAAAAAGTGTGGTTGTCTTTTGTTTCCAATGCGTTTAACACAAGAAAGGCTCCATTTTTGAAACCGACTCGACTAAGATCTCTCTCAAATGTACATTATCAATTTCCTAAAGAAAACATTTACGTAATGATTCTTAGAAGTATGGACATGTAAATATCTTTCCACGTACATTTTTTTACATTAAAAAGAAGCAGAAAACAACTTAAAAACGATAATCTCGTTTTCTAGAAGTTACCGATATAATTCTCGGAAGATTGTGATTTCCAATAAAAGAAAAACGAGTTTATATATTGGTTTAACAGCTAAGTCAAAAGTAACCAGAGGTGATCTTGGTCTTTCTATGCTTGCATTCTGGGAAGGGGCTTTGTCGCTTACAGATATACAAGGCATTTATAATACAGGTATGTTATGTATCTTTCTCTTGTATCATATTGTATTTATTATCGTGTTATTATGTTTCAATATTTTAATATATTCCGTTGTTCTATGAATTATAATTATTTTTCCATGATATAAAATTAATTTGCTATGTCCTACTTTCATGGGAGGGATAGTTAGGGTTGGGGTTAGGGTTACTAGGTTATGTATTACTTTCATGGGAGAGATGGTTAGGATTCTTTCCCTAAAAAACGTGGCGTTTAATTTGCCTGGCAGAAGGTTACGGTATTTAATATGACCGAAAAAAGGGAGTTGTTAATTTTGTATGTTATTATCATTACTATTTGCAAAATTTCTTTTACGTAAGACTTTGTCGAAAATTTGATCTATGATGTTTTGCGTTAGTATTTCCATTAAAACATTCAATTCTCCTTTAATCACACCCCTTATCTCCTTTATAACTATTGGTTACTTGCAATAGTTGTATGAAAAAACTGAATAAAATGAGCTTTTAAATTTTCTAGAATTTAGTTGGTGCCCTATTGGCTGGAAACCGTTTGGGATGTCATGTTATCAGTTCAATGGATATCGCTCCACTTGGATAAATACGCGTGCAAGATGTCAACGATATGGGGGAGATTTGATAGTTATCAATACACCTGTGAAACAAGCGATGGTTACAAGAAGAATACGATATGAATCATGGATCGGTAAGATAGACAATGTAATGTATTTTTTCTTATGTAAACAATTTACGAAGGTGACACCATGACTTTCGTCGTCGTCAATAACAATTAACATATGTGCTGTACTGCTATCAATGAACAAAATGAGATTGCTAAGGTGAGCCGAGGTTGTCATTATGATATATGCAAAAAAAGGAAAATATCGTTTTGCTTGTTTTAAAAACCAAGCTCGTGCATATGAGGGAGGAGACCTTTCATTGCAAAATCAGCATTCTTGAATTTTGTTGTTAATACATCGATGCCAACCAATTTAAGCTGATTTCGTTTTTGCTTGCAAAATTTTTTTATGAGCCGTTGTTGGAAGTTGTGAATCAAGCGAGTAAAGAGTAAAGTATAGAAAGTTTATTAGACGTATCACGAATATACGATAATTATAAACCATTTGAATACGGTTCAGTTGAAAACGTAATGTTTTCAAATTGTTCGAAGTGTTATTAGTCTTTGCAGTCCTATTACGCCTTGAAATTTATACCTCTAAACGTTTGTTTATTCAACTACACGTACTGACTACATATTAGCTGACATGACCATATAGCAATGCTATATTAACGAATTGATTTGAAAATGTTCTTTCATAGGACTTAATGAAGCAAGTAGTCCAACACGAACATTTCCATCACGATTTGATATTTGGGGTAGTAGAGGATATAGGAGTTATAGGAGATATAGGAGATTTGGGGGATATTGGAGAAGAAGGTCGTATTCTTGGAGATCGCCACGACGTGCGCTTACTTTTATTTGGGCAAGTGGTTCACCAAATCGCTTCACAAACTGGCAGTCACACCGTGTCTTTTATACTGGTTCCAAGACTTGTGCTAGTGTTAATGGTGGAGGAGTAATTGGTGCATGGCGACAGAAATATTGCACTTCTTATTTATCGTCATTATGTGAAAAGGAAAAAGGTAAGAATCATTCAGAGTTTTGTGTTGGCTTTATTTTACAATATTTTGGAAAAATTCATAGACATTTTTGACCAGCTACTATTCTTGTGATAGTGAGTTTTCGTCATTTACAGTGCCTATGAAACGAATATTTTGCAAGTTAAACTATGTTTGCAATGACCAGAACTTTTAAAATTACAGTGTACTTTCTAAAACAGATAAGCATATCTCTTTTCATTCTCGTGATTTTCACGTTTTTGTTATTTCTAATTTATCCAACTTGTTACGTCATATTGCATAATGAGTTCCCACAATGTTTCAAATACTTTTCAGTTTCCTGAAAACTGTAAGTTGATACTAGTAGGCAGCATTTTATACAATTAGCCAGGTCGCAATGAAGGGAACAAGGGAACACTGTCCTTGTGAAGTACAGTATCGGTAAATAAACCTAATAAGTCTAATTCTCATTATGCAATGTGACGTCATAAGTTAGATAAATCGGACAATGTTCAGCTAGCTATTACATCTATCTTTTTGTTGTGTTTTCTGTTGGAATACATAAAATTGAATAATTTCTTTTTATTTTTTTATCATTGTAGTTGAATCAAAACGCGATGTTAACGATACAGGTACTTAGAAATTTGCACATAAACAACCTCGAAAGCAATATTTATGTCGCATGTTTCTTTGTTTTAGATGCTACGGGTCGCTTCTTCACAAGAATTTGCCAATTTTCAACGAAAGTGATTAGTTGTTCAAGCGGCACAGTTATAAAAATTCACAGTGGTTTCTGGGGAAGGAAGAATCGAGATGTATGCCGACGTATAAGTATTATTGATTGCGGTTTAAATACGGTGTCACGTGTTACTCATAAATTGATGGCAGAATGCGAAGGATTGTCTGAGTGCAAATTACAAGCTTCTGATGATCCTAAGCACTTCGGAAATCTTTGCTCTGGAGTTTACAAGTATTTGGAAGTTATTTATTCTTGCGTTAAGGAAGGTAAATGGAATATTTGCTCTGTGTGTCCGTTGTTTATGTTTTATAACAGAGGGATTATTTAACAAAAAGTTACATTTAACCGTTCTCTGTTCAGTTATAGATACACGGGTATGACGTTATTTTTTTATAAGAACTAAGTACATGTGATAAAACTGAAAAAATTCCCATTCTTACCGGCAAACAAGTTGTTTTTGTTTTCCCAACACTTGGATAAATTGGCTAATTTTAAAATATCGCGCATGCAAGATATTGAAGAAGTGCTATTGGCTAACTTAAGTCACGTGCTAGAATGTGATTGGCTAAAGAATAAACTAAAAATGGCTGATTAATGTTGAAATTGATGTTGTTATTAACGGCACAATTTCAACAGTGGACAAAGTACAAATCAACGTTTCAAAAAAGGGTTTTTTCTTTTCGTTTTGCTGAAATACGTCAACTGCTTTTTCACTAGGTCTTCTTGATGTCTTCATTTGCCCATTCAGTGATAAATTCAGGCTAATAATTTCAAATAATTTTGCTTGTGCGTAAATTTCTTTGTGATTTTTTCATAAATCATAGCTCTCGACCAATGAAGTCGCTCAAATTCTTATGGTTATTATATGAATATATATATATGATCAAAATTAAATTATTAAATTAATATTATTTGCACGAACATAAGAAATGCATAATTTGTGGTTTTCTAAATAATTATTTATTTAGTCAACTTTAATTTGTTTTAAATATTTGGCCAAAATAACCTTTCAACATCGGAAATTTATCGGTGATGAGGACCATACGATAATGAAGTTGATCATTTTGCAGGTTGCAATTATATTCATGAAGAAATTCTGCAGTATTTATGTTCTACTTTTTATTAGATGTTTATTTTACGTAACTTCAAAATAACTGAGAGGCATTTATAATCAGCTAAGACAACTGACATTAACTGCCTTGTATGCAGCATTGTTGGTATGAGATTACGATTACAGATCACAGCAGAGATTACGATTAGAGCAGAGATTACGATTTTAAGATTGAATATCTACAATACGAGGTGTCTTTTCGATTTCAATATGTGTTGGTCATAGTAATTTCTTTACAGTAGCGTTGCTTTTTGTCGTATATATTTTTGAATAAAAAAAATATCAATACATATATATATAAACTATAAAGCATTATTATTACTTTCAGAAAATTATCAGACTAACCCTTGTGAGATTGGGTGGATCCGCTCCAAACATAAAGATGTAGGCTGCTATCGCTTGATGGAATCAAAAAAATCTTGGTCTGAGGCTGAAAAAACCTGCGAGAAGTATGGGGCGAAACTTCTAAGTATTCGTGATAGGTATGTTAAATACGTGCTCCTTTCCATTTAAGTTTCGACCATATTATTTTTATTTCAGTATATGACCTCAAGTAAACACTGAAAACTAAGAAAATTTTTAATTCTTTTATTATACTGCTCACCGATTTAATAATCTTTATAACGGATACAAATAAATCTATTTTCTCAGGATTTATCAATGGATGAATGGATGAAGAGCGGATGATTTGTGTTATTGTGCAATGACTTATTTAACAACTCTCATTTCATAGATCTGAGCAAGTGCTTGCGACATATTTGATGGAGAATGCTTGGAATACTGATGTCTGGATTGGTTTATCTGATGCAAAAACACCATGTAAATATACTTGGTCCGATGGTGCATCGGTAAGCTGGACTAACTGGGCTGTAGGATACCCACGTGGTGTTTGGTCTGGTGAGCATTGTGTCTTTATGAATCTAAAAGGCGCTACACAAGATATGATGTATTGGAGAGTTGGAAATTGCAGTCAAGAAAAATTGTTTATGTGCAAGAAAATAATTTGTAAGTTGTTCTTAAATCTTATCTTCGTATTCAGACGCATTTTCACTTCTTTCACTGCCATCCAACCTACTCTAAAGATCAATGTATTCATTTGGTTCATAAATGCTGGCTATATTTAAAGGCTTTCAATTTTCAAACACGCTGATAGCTCGAATGTTGTGTTCGAAAACTTAAGCAAATCGTCTTTGATGCGGTAAAAGTGTTATGATTGATGCAATGTGTCGGCAAAAAAACATGAACACTGACTATTATATAAATTACTTTGACCTATAGCATCTCGAGCAAATTACTATAATCCATAACTGCATTATTTTGGAAGTTTTTATATAAAAGGAACATCAATGCTTTCGTGCCATATACTGAGGAAAATTTCGATTGAATTGTCATGGGAATATCACCGTGTTTAAAAACATATCTTGTAGGAAACTGATGGTTTTTTGCACTTTTATTCTATTGTCCATTACTTTATATTAGCAGTGATGACTACTACTTAGCTTCGCTGATTCTTTGGTCAAATTCATGTTAATAACGAGGCATCCGTGCTATATTGACGTAAGGTTGGGTTACTTGGCAAAAAATAAGTTCAACGTTATTGGCTGGATGCCATGCTTAGTGAAGTATAGTTGCACCCCACAGATTTCATTGAGATCGGAAAATTGTCAAATTGCGTTTCATAGAAGGATAAAGTATCATTGCTGATTTCAATTTTTTCTTCCCTTATAAAGATAAATCACCAAACACGATTACCTCCAACACAAAAGGTTGGTAATCTGCTTTTAAACTTTCGTTACCTTAGCATGATCTTAGTTTTCAAATACAGGTCCTATAAGTGTTAAAATTCGTGATTATTGAATGTGGTTTTTGTACCTTCACAGATGGTGGTTGTTCTTCCGGATTTACTTTATTCAGGGGCAAATGCTACAAATTGTTTAACGATGCGTAAGTTTTTTGTGTTAAAGACTTTCTACAATTGTTCGGAATATGTTATGTTAAAAGACGAACAATCGAATACAAACGACGTGTTTTAGTAATGTTCTTTTACTCCAGTTTGGTGTAAAATATGCTTCGCTCGCCTTTTTAAAATGAAATTCCGTGCTCTAAACCATATTTGAAGCGTTGACAATATAAACACTATAGACATAAAATAACGAATTGATAATAATAAAACTAATAAAGTAAACGTAGTTTGGACTTGGAGTTATCATTGTAAGTTTTTATATGTTGATCTTCCCGTTCTAGTTTTGACGAAGTTTAAAAATTCATATAGTGAAAGTCATCTTTAGAGTCAATAAAAATAATACTAATAAATAGTTAAACCAGTGAACAATTATAAATTAATTACGTCTTGAATTTGCTGCAAGAACATGTTGTTATCACTATTTATACATAGTATATTACTGATGTCTTTTGCTTTGCTTCAAAAATATTCATTTGCAGGCATGTGTTGTAATATTTTTGTTTTCAAATGTTAATGTCTACATTGTGTACGAGCACTTGAATTCAGAACAGAGACACTGCTTTCAAAAAAAGTTTAAATTTTCATAGCAGCATAGTCATACACGACAATGTTTAACTAGCAATGGTTCATTTTCACAGGGCAACGTGGAGTAGTGCTGAATCTTTCTGCAAATCATGGAGATGGCGGTATCGTGGTCATTTAGTTAGCATAACAGACAAAGAAGAAAATGATTTTGTCAGTACTTTGGCGAATGTTTCCATATGGATCGGATTAGAAGGAAGAGGAATTTTTAGAGGTTAATCTTTTTCTTAGGTCATTTGAAATAAAATCATTGTCATAAATCTAAATGGTGAAACATCTTGCAGCGTTTTATAAAATTATTTTTTCATTTCTCCATTACGTCTAGGTCACGTGTGGTCAGATGGTACTCCAGTAAGCTATACTAACTGGGATAAAGGACAGCCAGATAGCTTCAATGGTCAAGAAGCATGCACTCAGCTCAATTCAGACATTCGTTATTGGTCTGATGTCAACTGCTATTTTAAAAAGCCATTTGTTTGCAAAGTTGACCAGGGTAAACCTTTCAATGTAGTTATTTTGTTCATCCAATGTGTATTTTACTAAATAGTCTGTCGTTTTCTAGATGTCTTTAAAGTGATAAATACTTTTTATTTATACTCCGAATATTTTAGGGTACGGACAAACAACTACAGTATCACCGACATGTAAGTTGAGTCTTTCAGGTTCAGTTTTAGATTTTAACAACCTTTCACTATTTTCCAAGGTATCTTAATTAAAATTTGCCGACTTTGGAGAATATGTCATCCCCTTTGAGTGACGTTTAATATTATTCCGACTTTGCAATGTTGTTATTTTGTTCATTAAATCTGTCTTTTTTTGGTAAACAGTCTATAGCTATATTGATGAAGTTATAAACTCTCTATAGAAATACAAAAATAAAGAAGCTCATTCCACAAAAATTTAAATGTAGAGGCGTCGGAGTTAAAAGCCCCCTTCACTTTTCTTGTTCTTCCGAGCTCCGACACCTCTGTTCGAATAAACACTTTTTCCCTGTAGAAAAATGTTCCGATCATGTTTTTAATTGTATAAATTTTCGGGCTCTTGTATTCATCAGTAGCTTTTTTTTCATTTTCTACAGACCGTAAAAACAGAAGTAATCTAATGCAATTTTTCTGAATATTTTAGGGTATGGACAGTCAACTACGGTATCACTGACATGTAAGTTCCGTCTTTCAGGTTCAGTTTTAGATTTTAACAACCGTTTACTATTTTCCAAGGTATCTTAATTTAAAATTTGTCGACTTTAGAGAATATGTGAGCTTTAACATGGAAAATCATCACTCAACATGCATTCTGATCGTGTTTTGAGAGAGAACCCAAAGCCTGTTTCGTTTTTTCATGAGAAAATTTTGGTCTTTTTTGTATGAGAAATGTCTATATTTTATACACTATAAGAGGGCCTTTGCTTTTATGATGTATTACAAATGATGATTATACAGTGACTTCTATGTAAGTTTTTCACGCTTTTATATACGATTTGGCCATATATATGACAAAACTATTACTTATGGAAACAAGTCCACGTACCTCAAAGTCAAAGGACCAAGACAAATAGTCAACATTTTATTCTTAACATTTCGATCATTAATATGTACATGTCATCACCATTTCCCGAAAATCATTTTATTTATGAGTAATTCCAGATTTTAGCTATGTGAATGCAGCTGGAGTTGGAATTTTGTCTAGTTGATTCAGAGCTTGGCACAAAAATAAATAAAAACCTTTACTTCTTTACAATTAGACCTCTGAATTATATTAATCTGCCATGATTTATTTCGCCTGACAATGGATCTCCCCCTGATTTTGGATTAGTTTTCAGTGGCGTAGGATGGGGAGGCACGTGCTCTCCCCAAACTTTTCAAGTTTGATATGAATAAGTGCCTTGTTTTACAAAAAAGTGTCCTTTTTAAATGAAAAACTGCCCCAAATTCTTGTGCTCTTCCCAACTTTCACTTGCTTCCCTACGCCTCTGTTAGTTTTTATCGAGTTACTCCTTTGACATAGTAAAGACATAGCTAATCATATGAAAATATCAAAGGCATTCATGAATCGTACTGTCTATAAATGTTTGCCATCATTTCTGATTTTCTTTCGATTCTCGATAAATTCACGTCAATTCACTTTTTTGGTTGTGTTTCCCAACTTGTAGTTGAAAAATTTTGCACCATGCTCAGAAAAAAAAAAATTTTCCAATATACGATTTGAACTGAGCCATCACTGAAATAAAATATTTTTTAAAGGTTACAATATTTTTTGTCGTAAGAAAAGGATAAACACCCTACAATTTTGTGCAATTTTGAAAATTTTCATGCACACCGGCCCTATAGCTCGTAAAAAGTCAAAACAAGGCGTTTATTTGAATATATATTATGTTTTGGCTTTGCTCCTTCGTTTTATTGACATTATACAATCTTAATTCTATCACAACAATAAATTTAGCCTAGAGATTCTGTTCCACCGTCATATACTTAAAAAATTGTATTATTTTTAACAGCACAATCCCCTCGCTGTAAAAAAGGTTGGACACTATTCAACGATAGGTGTTATTTGATTGGTCCTTCAGTAAACGACAGCGCATACACAACGTGGCATGAGGCTGACACTATTTGCAAGAGCATGGGAGCACATCTTACAAGCGTCCAGAGTCTGGAAGAATCAGAATTTCTTGTAAAGCTTGCGAGGTTTGTGATTTTCATTTTTGAATCTATTTACTTATCACTGTTGTTTTCCAGAGAACGATTTTGGTTATGCTTGTTTAAGTGATCTATAAGGATGAAGCCTTCATTTAATGCTAGCTTAAAACTTTAGTGAATGAAGGTTATCAATGACGTATAAATGTTTGTAATGTTCGATTGCTTGCGTTTTGGTGAGAAAGTGGGGTGACAGAGTCCTTCTTTTGGAGTGGTATTTTGTTCAAAAATATCAGCCTACTAGTTTGCAGGTTGATGCGACCATTCAGGACTCGTTGTGTCAAATTGCCTTAGTAGGTCGAAAGTCATTACGTTTTTCGTGTGAAAGTTTTCAAATCAGGCCGAATGACGTTCGACACGCGGTGAAAGTTTCAAAAATAACACGATGTTGCGCTCACGAGGTACGCGCTATGATATAATGGGATCAGTAAAGTTTTGCAGAGGGAACACGGGGGGGAGGAACGGCGTTCCCTTTATGAATGAAAAATAACAGGTGGGGAAACGCTTTACCCGTACGTAATATTATATTGTGGCTAACAAATATCAATTATATAGAGCCCATAGCCTCTGCAAGATAAATTGTTTGAATTTGCTTGTTTTACAACTCCATGATACTGTGCTCTAATTAAAATTTTCTTATAAAAGTAACTTGAAAATGCCACAATTTTCATATTAGCTTTTACAGACCAATGACCACACCCTTACACAATAGGCCATGCCCATCAGACTTTATAATGCGTTCCCCCACTTCCAAAATTCACAAAACATCTCTGATTGGGATGAAAGTGGTCATTACCGTGTGAGTGTATAAAGGTTTGCATAGGTGATAAGCGGTACAGAAATTAGTTTGCTTTCCTTTTATGATAATAACCGATTTATGTAAATAACTAAATATGTTCATTATACGAAAAAAGACACGAAGAAACAAATCACATCAAACGTGAATAGTTTTGGCGGTTTTTAACTTACTATATTTTTTAAGCTGCTTTTAACTTAATCAAATATATTTCTATGCATTTGAAATAATGCGAATGCTTTTATGGCTCTTGGAAATATTTTTTAAAGCCTATGCTTGAGAAACTCACGACGCATCGTAACATTTGTCACATTTATGAATGTTCTAAAGCATCGCAGATTGGCTTTGCAAACATTTTCCTCAGCTATGAATCAAGGAAAATCGAGGATCATATTTTCATAAATTGATTATCTTGAGTAAATTTAATTATAATTGCGTATAAACATGCGTTTCACATTTCTATGGCTTGTAGCAATGATCACATCGACCTGTAAACTAGTCGGCTGATATATTTGAACCGAATACCGCTTCATACTATCTTAAAATATATAGATAGAGGAGGCTGGAGGAATTCCACACAGCCATCGTTCTGGCACTTCCTTCTTCCCCTCTCCGCAGTGGTTTTACTCGATCTATCCGCCGTCCTTTTCTATAGAAAAAATAGGCTGGAATTTTTTAATATATATTTCTGAAACTTATTTCTTGTGTTAATACATGAAGCAATTTTCACTTGCATATTTGATTAGAAAATAATCTATACTAATTTCTTGAGAGCAGGTCTTCAAAAATTCCTCGACAAAAAAAAATATTTCTCTCTTATTCACTATATAATGAAATTGCAGAAATGTACAATTATAGTATTGATAGGCTGCCTATACGTCCTTAGTTTGTAAATTGATTCCCATTAAATGTTTCTTTAATAATTGCAATGTGATATTTTTGTTGAAATCATTTCTTGCTTTATTTATCAGTTTGTTTTATGTCAAAACAAACATGCCCTTGCACACCCAACATCAGTTTTTCACATCTAAAATCTTAGCAAGCAATATTGTCAGTAATGATACTTTAATTTAACTATTATAAATTTCAAGGCTCAAAGCCAATTCTGTATTTTCACTTTGGATTGGCTTGCATGATTTGGATGGTGAAAGCCTCTACGTTTGGACAGATGGCTCGGGATACGGCAAGTTTGTGTACTGGAGTAATGGTGAACCAAATGATATGTATGGTCAAGAAGATTGTATTGCTATGGTGAAATCAAGTGGAAAGTGGAACGACAATCACTGCTCTAATAGAAAAAAGTTTGTTTGCAAATCAAGGACAGGTATACATTTATCAAATTATACTTGATAAAACGCTAGTTATATCCATCCCAGCCAGCAAACTGCTGTTTTTTTATTGTGTTGTGTCGTGTTGTGTCGTTTCGTGTCGTGTTTTGTCGTGTCGTGTTGTGTCGTGTTCAGTTCTGTCTTGTCCTGCTCTGTTCTGTCCTGTTCTGTTCTGTTCTGTTCTGTTCTGTTCTGTCTTGTCCTGTTCTGTTCTGTTCTGTTCTGTTCTGTTCTGTTCTGTTCTGTCTTGTCCTGTTCTGTTCTGTTCTGTTCTGTTCTGTCTTGTCCTGTTCTGTTCTGTTCTGTTCTGTTCTGTTCTGTTCTTTCTGTTCTCTTCTCTGTTCTGTTCTGCTCTCTGTTCTGTTCTATTCTGTTCTGTTCTGTTCTGCTCTGTTCTGTTCTATTCTGTTCTGTTCTGTTCTGCTCTGTTCTGTTCTGCTCTCTGTTCTGTTCTGTTCTGTTCTGCTCTCTGTTGTGCTCTGCTCTGTTCTGTTCTGTTCTGTTCTGTTCTGTTCTGTTCTATTTTTTTCTTTTCTGTTCTGTTCTGCCCTGCTCTGCTCTGTTCTGTTCTGTTCTGTTCTGTTCTGCTTTGTTCTGTTCTATTCTGTTCTGTTCTGTTCTGTTCTGTTCTGTTCTGTTCTGTCTTGTCCTGTTCTGTTCTGTTCTGTTCTGTTCTGTCTTGTCCTGTTCTGTTCTGTTCTGTTCTGTTCTGTTCTGTTCTGTTCTGCTCTGCTCTGTTCTGTTCTGCTCTCTGTTCTGTTCTATTCTGTTCTGTTCTGTTCTGCTCTGTTCTGTTCTATTCTGTTCTGTTCTGTTCTGCTCTGTTCTGTTCTGCTCTCTGTTCTGTTCTGTTCTGTTCTGCTCTCTGTTGTGCTCTGCTCTGTTCTGTTCTGTTCTGTTCTGTTCTGTTCTGTTCTATTTTTTTCTTTTCTGTTCTGTTCTGCCCTGCTCTGCTCTGTTCTGTTCTGTTCTGTTCTGTTCTGCTTTGTTCTGTTCTATTCTGTTCTGTAATGTTATGTTATGTTATGTTATGTTCTGTCCTGTTCTGTTCTGTTCTGTTCAGTTCTGTTCTGTTCTGTTCTGTTCTGATGCATTTTTGTAAACCAAATAATGACGAGCTTAGTTCACCAACTATATAACGCAAAGGCAACTAAAAGCAGTCATAATCAATCGGAAAATTAAATATTTAATATAGTTTTAATGCATAGCAAAGTGTTTATAATGGGAGCTTTTTTAAAAAAACGTTAACTTTTTCTACCTTTTAATTTTCATGTAGAGGATGCTCCAAAGATATCTATCCTTAAACCTGCGAGCAAGATATCTGATTGTAAGTAGAAGATTTTTCTTTTTGTGCTAAACCTTAACCAAAGACAGGATGAGAAAATTTGAGGCTACCTTTGTCTTTCTGCATTTCTTAGTAGTTCTGCATTCCCGCGACTTAATAATTAACTATGTTATTAACGAGCTATGTCTGTACAATGAAAGTTGGTTAAAAATTTATCGGTATTTGACGAAACACGAAACTAACGATTTATTCCCCCAACCCTCCAAGCCACGCAAATATAGATTCCGAAAAAAGTAGCTAAAAATATCATTCACGAGACTTTCCACAAATAAAAATTATTTTAATTATTTTAATTATTTACTATTGTTTAAATATAGATGGGTATTGTTCTGAAGGCTGGATTCATAATGGAAAATACTGTTATCAGTTTCATACTGATAAAACTGATTATAAAGCATGGCGTGATGCAAAAAGAGCTTGTGAGCAAGGAAAGAACTCTAGCACTTATGGAGAATTAGCCAGCATCAATACAGAGTTAGTTTTTCAATCATTTTAATGAATGAACACGTGGAAAATCGCTGAATATACTTCTAAAAGACATATATTGAGCATATGTATATCAATGTGATGATATTTTTAATTTATAGACTTGAACTGGCCTTTATCACAATGAATTTAAAGGGAGCTACTACGTCCTTATGGATTGGTATGAATAACTTTCACGTCAGAAACAGTTTTTACTGGACAGACAATTCTCCGGTGAATATATATAATTGGAATGAAGGGGAACCAGCAATGATTTCTAGATATCATAAGTGCGTAGATATATCACCTTTTCCAAGAAACGCTGGAAAGTGGAGCTCAAGATCATGTTATTTAAGTCTAGGATATATTTGCAAAACAGGTGATTATATTGTCAAAATATATTGTGATGGTAGACTGTAAATGACCAAGGATAATAATACATGAAACAATCGAAAATTTCTTACTTCCACTTAAAAGTAGCTTGGCTGTTTTTAAATTTGTGATATTTAATCATTACCAATCTGTTCATTACAAATAAAAATTTAGGAGCCAGTGTTGTGTTACTTTCTTTTCAAATGAAACACAAGATTCCCACTTAATCTAATAAACTTGGAAGCTAAAAGTTGAGTAGCGTACCGCATGTTATAAAATAGATCATTCGGTCCAAACTGGTCATCTAATTGATAAAAACAATGATGCAATATTGGACTTTTTCTTTGATTCATTTTCTTTTTTAGCTGCAAAGGGTGCTCCTACACATCCATTTTCACCACCACCTATTAATCCAAGCACAACAGGTACAATTGTTGTTAATATATAATTATATATCTTTCAGGCTATTGTATAGCTTACCAGTCGTACGCGAATGGGTTTTAAATTAAACGTTGGTGGTGCTTGCTTCTTTGCTATGTTTGGTGCTTTTATTTGTAGACTTACCAAGCTTGCAATGTCCTCGGGTGTTTATAAAATATGGCGAGTCCTGCTATAAGGTTGAGAACAATACTAAAACATTTGATGAATCACTCGATGCTTGTCGAAAGCTTGATAAAAGAGCTGAGCTTATCAGCGTCAACTCAGGATTTGAACAAGGTAAATTTTCTTATTGCTTGTAGCATGCATTCGTCTAAAAACCTTTCTTCAGAGGGAAGATTTAATAATACATTGCTTTGTTTTTGAAGTCGGTTGTCAGGCCACCTTAATTGATCTCATGATTAATGGTTTGTTTCAGCTTTACTTGTCGTTCTGATGGAAAGAACACTTGGTTCTGTTTGGACTGGTTTAAATAAAAATCCTTGGTCTTCATTTAAGTTCACAGATTACTCTATTCCAGAATACCTCTACTGGGAAAGAGGCCAACCAGATAGTCAATTAGATGAACGTGCTTGTGTAAAAGCTGTTGTATCAGGAACTCGTGTTGGCCGTTGGGATGATGTAAATTGTACCCAGAAAAATTTTTATGTGTGTGAGATATATAATGGTAAGATTTGACTTGACTTGAATGATAAAAGAAAAGCATTTCTTTTTTGGTCTGTAAAACGCGTACATTTAAGCAGCGATGGCAATAATAATGCTTTTGTTGAAGCCACATTTTCTATTGCTTAATTTTTCCATCTAATGAATTATGTTGAACCAAACTACATATTTTGCCAATTAGCAGTAAAATTGACAAAAAACCTTAACTAGAGTTCACTAACTAGTGCTTTTAATAAAACACTTGTTTTGCATGGAACAAGTTTTCACATGAATGCTAAAATAAAAGTTTTATTACATCTGATACTTAATTTAAAGCTTCTTTGCAAACTTATATCTTTCACATCTAGGGCCAATGCTAGAACGTTAATTGGGGAGAATATTCTTCTATTCAGTTATGCCGGAACGATTTTAAAGAACTCAGTCTGGTATAACTGAATAATCTATATGAATATGTTCACTCGTTTGTAAGTTCTAGCTACGGCCCTGATCTTTGAGCTTCTACTGGATCATATACTTCTCAGTTTCTTTTGAGTTTTATAACTTTGAGGCTCCACTACACCACATAGGTTAATTGTGATGTTTGTTTGAATTCAACATCTTTGTGTTTTTATATGATAATATACAGTTTTCATCACTCAACGGATACTTTAAGTCTAGTTTATTTTTCTAGGTGAACCAAGGATAACTTTAGAAGGTAATGCTAATGCTTCTATCTTTAGGTTTTTTCATTCAGAGTAGCCATTGTGTGAGTAAAACAGTTTGCTTTTATCCTTGTCAGTATATTACTAATTCATTATCATGCATATTCACTGCATTCATTATTCCGCTGCAATTGAATTAATAATTTTCTGTGTTGTGTATTGTTAGAGGAAGGTTTGTGTGAGCCTGGATGGCTAAAATATCGAAAGGATTGCTATAAGCATTTTCAAGTACGCGTGAGATGGTTACATGCAAGATCTACATGTCGTAAAAACGGAGGTGATTTGCTTAGCATAACCAACTCTGACGAACAAGACTTCATTTTACACAACGTTAAAAGAATGGATACGTGGATAGGTAAGTGCTTGTTTGTGTCGTGTAAACTTTCCTTTGTGTAAATTTTACATAACGTTAAAAGAATTAATACGTAGATAGATAAGTGCTTGTTTGTGTCGTGTATACTTTCCTTTGTGTAAATTTTACATAACGTTAAAAGAATTAATACGTAGATAGATAAGTGCTTGTTTGTGTCGTGTAAACTTTCCTTTGTGTAAATTTTACATAACGTTAAAAGAATTAATACGTAGATAGATAAGTGCTTGTTTGTGTCGTGTAAACTTTCCTTTGTGTAAATTTTACATAACGTTAAAAGAATTAATACGTAGATAGGTAAGTGCTTGTTTGTGTCGTGTAAACTTTCCTTTTTGTAAATCTTGCATAACGTTAAAGGAATGGTTACGAAGATAGGTAAATGCTTGTTTGTGTCAGGTAAACTTTCCTTTTTGTAAATCTTGCATAACATTAAAAGAATGGTTACGAAGATAGGTAAATGCTTGTTTGTGTCAAGTAAACTTTCCTTTTTGTAAATCTTGCATAACGTTAAAAGAATGGTTACGAAGATAGGTAAATGCTTGTTTGTGTCAAGTAAACTTTCCTTTTTGTAAATCTTGCATAACGTTAAAAGAATGGTTACGAAGATAGATAAATGCTTGTTTGTGTCATGTAAACTTTCCTTTTTGTAAATCTTGCATAACGTTAAAAGAATGGTTACGAAGATAGATAAATGCTTGTTTGTGTCATGTAAACTTTCCTTTTTGTAAATCTTACATAACGTTAAAAGAATGAATATGTAGATAGGTAAGTGCTTGTTTGTGTCGTGTAAACTTTCCTTTTTGTAAATCTTACATAACGTTAAAAGAATGGTTACGAAGATAGGTAAATGCTTGTTTGTGTCATGTAAACTTTCCTTTGTGTAAATCTTGCATAACGTTAAAAGAATGAATACGTATCTAAATGGTAGGTGAGTGTCAGTGTTTTTCTCTGAAGAGTGAGAGAACTATTTGATTTGGTGCAAAAAACATTAATCGAAAACACCCTTTTTTACAGTTATTGAGCTATTACTTATGCTTGAAAACAGTAAAATATTGAACTCTGCTATGTTGCAAGTGCTCAGCATAGTGGTATAGTGTGAGCGAAAACACGAATCATGTACGTTCTAGGAAACTTTGTCTACAAGACGTAATATTTCGTGGAAATTTATGGGTATTGCCTAATCATTGAATGCTTTTATCGCTTTTGTAATTCGTATTCTCATTGTTTAGGTTTAAATGATCACAATATCGAAAGAGGATTTCAGTGGAGTGATGGAAGTCCTCTTACTTATATAAACTGGGAGAAAAATAAACCAAGCTTTAATCGTTTAGACCTAAATTGTGTTGTCATGAAAAGTTTAAATGGTCGTTGGTCAGACAAACACTGTTATTACTCGAGTTATGCTTTTGTCTGCAAAAAGCCGCTCGGTAAGTTACTTTATTAAATATGTAAGCAAGTTCTTTAATGTCTATATGAAAAATTATGTCACTTGCATTTCGCATTGGAAAAATCTCCAAAGATATCGTTTGTTGAACCATAAACCATAATGATTGAATCTTTGTTTATTATCCATGGACGTACACCTCCCCAAAATCAGCTTTCTGTCGGCAAAAATTCTATACTGTTATACTGCTATACTGTTATCGGTTTGAATAGCTAAATACATAACATTTTTTGATATTCTATATTCTGCATGTTAATACTAACTCATTTTGCAAAGCTGTATGCACTCAAAATGATGTGAATGTAGCAACATTTTCATGTTAGACTCGCATTGGCGTCAATCCTGCGATAATTGGGGGGGTGGGACCATATTCATATATTCTGTTATGCCAGACTGATTTCTTTTGAAAGTGAAATCGTTTTGAAAAGAAATTAGCCAGGCATAGCAGAATATATGAAATGGTCCCCAATTAACACAGGATTGACGCCAATGTAGACGCATAATGATATCTAGTATGAATAAAGTCATAATACTAAAAAACTCTGTGCTTTCCGTTATCTTTTTTTTTAATGAAAAGAAGTGGAGAAAGGCTTTTCCACTGAGTTTATTTAAAAGTAAAAGTGTTTTTTAAAATTTTTTGAAGCGTGTTCATCAAAGATAAAGTTGACGAGTGACATAATAACCGTTGCCGCCCAACCTATCTCAGCTGAGTTAGACACAAAAGAGCTTATCTTGTTGGATGACAGTCCTCAGTCATTGGCTTGGTGTCCAAACACCACCATTGATTCTAAACCTAGAATTCAGGTAAGAAAATATAAAGCTTGTATTAGTCACATGGCTTTCATCCGACGTCTAATTCATTCCTAAACGACGCATGGTTTCATATAGGTTGATTTCAATGATGTTTATAAAATCACGTCTATAACAACACGTGGTAGAAAATTTGGTTATTTCAATCAATATGTGAAATCATTCATTGTTGAGTACACTTCAGATGGATATCATTGGTACAAATATAAACGAATGGGAATTGAAGAAGTAAGGCAATAATCTTTTTTTTCATCATGAAATGTTGCTTGTAATGTAATGTATATGGGCAAACACTGCAGATAATTAGAACGTTATAAGTTGGAAGGTTCCAGGACATAAGATTTTATGTCTTGCTTAATAAGTACAGTTTTTCCGTTTCAGTACTTTGCTTCCTAATTGCCCAATCCAACTTCACCTTTGTCCATGAAATGAACTGACGTTTTGTGAAATAAAGTTTTATGAAATTGACAAAATTAAATTTCGCCACTTGCTATGTACGGCTTTCACTTCTTGAGGAAGCCCAGAAGAGGCATTGAATACGAAACTGTTGATGTTTTCAACGACGAATCAAACAAAATTTTGAGATCAGTGATGATCTTTAGGTGGTCATCTCGAGTTGATCATAGGTTGCACTCACACATTATGGTGTATGTATATAATCACATCCGTATGTTGTAGTACATCGATGTACAATGTTTACTTTATTGTATCCCGTACTGTTTTTACAGACGTCTTACCCGGTTGAAATATTAGAGAGAAGTTTGAACCTTTGTCAAAAGTGAAATATTTTTTTTCATAGACAATTTTTGCCAACAATAATGGCTACAACTTGGTTACAATAGCATTTGATCCACCTATTATGGCGTTGGCAATAGCAGTGTTACCAGCTGCAACAAAATATTCACAAATATGTTTAAGGCTCTCGTTACGAGGCTGTGCTAGTGGTATGTATCCAGGATGTTTATTTTGGTTTTAAACTCGTTTTTATTTTATTGTGTTTTATTCTATTATATTTCGTATAATACTTAACAATCTTTGAAAAATAATGAAGGATAAATGGACGTCATTTTAATCAGGTAGCTTTTTGATTCGCTCCCTGCCGCTAAAAGCTATCTTCAATAGGATTCAAGCTACGAAATTTACTCACCAGTATACGAACGGTAATTGGATATAGCCGCCATGTTGTTTTCTTCCACGTATTACATGAAATGGGAAAATTAATTATTCATATAACAATATGATTTATGTTTCAAATAAGGCTAATCATCATAGGAATAGTTGATTATAATATTTGGCAATCTTTCAAATCTTTATCACTTACCAATCAAATCTTGAAGAAGAATCGTCAGGACGCTCAAATAGTTGGCTTTGGATTTTTTTGTAGTATGTCAAGCACCATTGGGAATGAAAAATCGAAAGATTCCGGATAATGCTATCACATCCTCCAGTGCTAATTATCCTGACGACAATCCTGCTCAAAATGCAAGGCCTAAAAGTAATGGGTGGTGTGCTAAAGTAAGGGAAACTTTTATCAAAGGCTTTGTCATGTTGAATTTCAGTCTGTGCAAGATTTAGACACCTAGTATTTTGGGTTTGGTGACGAATGGATACCTGGAAACTGCACATTTGTGTTAGAACATAAAGATAGCTAGTTTACGTATCTGTGTTGTTACCTCGTTTCTTGGTCTTTCTTGCACAAGATTATCACGTTCCAACTGTTGAATTTTGTGAGAGTAATGTAGTACTTTTTACTTTTTTGTGTTTGAATAGTAGGATGCAAGCTTAGAAATGTATGGCTCTTTGTGGAGTGAGGAAGATGGGTTTATGTTTATTTGTAGGATTATTATGTTAATTTTACAATACTTGCCTCAAGAGTCTTTATAACAATAGAGGGGGGAGGATACAAATGTTACAGTATTGCTTTAACTCAAGGTTAACAAGCTTGTTTGTGGCTTTGAGAACAATGAGATAAAAGTGATTTTGTGCGTTGTGTAGGTGTGTTAAAAATATTCCATTTCTCATACTAGTTGGGGTGAGACAGGTTCCAACTCTATACAAAGGCCATGAGAAGCATATAGTTTGCCCAGCTTATTCGGAGCATATTTACCACTACTACGTCTCGTCTCGTTTATTTCAGAACAGCGACTTAAATCAATGGATTCAAGTAGACTTGGGTCGAATCAGTTTAGTGACCAAAATAATGACGTTTGGGGATTTAAAGAATAATTTTGTTAAAGCTTACAAGATTCAATTTAGCGCCGATGGTTTGAAGTGGATCGACTATAAACAATACGGAGTAACAAGGGTTCGTGTAATTTACTTATCATAAACATGCATTAATTGAGCATGCTCACAATAGCCAACGGTATTTTTTCTATTGGCAGATATTTCTTGGGAACTTTCAAGCGCGTTATCCAATGACACATGTGTTGAGCGAATCTTTACAAGCACGCTTGGTGCGAATTATACCACTTTCCTGGAACAAAAACATTTGTATGAGGTTCGAATTGTTTGGGTGCGTTGCAGGTATATATAACTTACATTTTTTAACTGTCTCTCAAATAGACATGCCTTTTAAGTTTATTATAAGCTTAGATGTTGTTTTGATTAGCATATTTGCCATAATTGTTGGTAGTTTCTAAAAAGAACTGTCAACCAAGTGATTTATATCTTTAGTTTAGTTTTCTAAAGAGTTTGGTTTAGCTAGTAGCTACACCGTGTTGCCAAATTTACTATCTCAGCAATGTCTTTCTTTTACAATTTTTTTTAGCATCACGAAATATTTCTTAAAAATGCCTATCAAAATCCCTTCTCTTTAAGATTGCGACCAGCCACTCATTCAAATCAATGAGTACGCTCTTTCTGATGTCAAGCTTACGTCATCAGATGAGAAATCAAATCCGAATGATGCACGTATGAATTCTGGTAAGGCATGGTGCCCTAGTCAACAATCTGGACAATATTTAGAGGTGAGATTTAAAGCAGAATACAACAATTTTGGAAATTTCACTTATTCTGCTACCTCTAATAATAATGGTATCTGAGTGTACTTTGCATTAACCCGTAATATTGTCATGCCAAATGTAGGTTGATTTTGGTAAAATGGTTCAATTGTCACAAATGGCAATAAGAGGAAGTCCTGTGAATTTTGGTGAAGCACGATATGTTGAGACATACGTTTTATGGTTTTGGAAAAAGATAAATGGTTTCAATACGTTGTGGATAATGCTGTTAAGGTTGTTAATCGTATCTGAGTATATCAGAAAATATAATTCTTTACTCGTGTATGCATCCTATTCTCAGTGAAGCATATGATATTTCAAGGCAAACATCCCTTCCTGCTCACCAAACACACAAACTATGATCTCATTCGATTAAGATAAAATGGGAATACTTTATTGGAAATAAGAAACGTGATTTTTGTGTGACATGTTCATAGAACCATCATATAATTTTTTAATCAGTTATCACAAAATGTACAAATTCAAATAATTAACTGTCTTAGATCATTGTTGGTAACCTAAGAAACTCCACCACAGCAAGTAACTACTCTTTTATTCGTGGAGATAATGGCGAAGGAGTCAGTGTGAGAAAAGTAAAAATCATCCCGAAGAACTATTCGCCAGCTGGTATCTGCATGAGAGTCGAATTTTACGGGTGCTTGGCTGGTATGTCAGCACAAATCCTTTATTCTCAATTCTTCTAACACAATCTATTGGAATTATTGAAAATAACCAAGAAAATTTTTCATTACTTTCAGCTACTGAAATTGTTCCAACAACACTGCCGAGCTCAGCACGTAAGTAATTTTTGCATTAGAAATGCAGTGCTCTCAGTTTCCTGGTGTGTTTAAGATGAACTTGCATCAATTTGATTATAGCAATCGTATGTTGTTACTGTTTCTATATCGCATCCACATAATACTTTTTAATCAAATAATTTTTCACCATCAATAGTAATATTTTACGTATATATACGAAACTTATATTTATATGTTTGAACGAGAGGACAACCCCACTTTTACCCCAAGTAGATAAACTTACATTTACCCCTAGTGGACTTAGCTTTTATTTATTTTTTAGTCACTCAGAAAATTGTGGAAACAAGCATCCGCTTCACCAGCATAGAATGGGATAATAAACTGGCAGATAAATCATCACAAGAATTTAAAAGAGTCTCAAAAGACATTGAAAATGCGGTAAATATTTATGTATTGATAATTAAGGAAGTTTTAATGACTCTGTATAAACTAAAAATCATACGATCGCTCTAATGATCAATTGGAGGATAATTTTCTGTAATTTGGGAGCTGTATAAACTTATGAATTGTTAAATGCGCACTTAAGTTTAGTGGAGATGAATTGTTTTTAAGGTAATTGGTGTGTATGAAAATAATGTTGATGTTACCGAAGGAGAAGCATTACAAGACGTAATAGTAAACCGTTTAAGGTATTGTATTGGTGGTAGTATTCAGTATCAGGCACATATATTATAATGTATACATATATGTATAGAGTGAAAACACTTCTTATTTTAGTAAAGGAAGTGTCATTGCTGATTTGGAGTTGGTATTCAATCCACGATTTTCTCGAAACGAGAATGTGTCCAAACCACTTATGGATGCGGTGTATGCTGGGAAAGTTGGAAATTTGACTGTTGATAAAAATCATTTTACTATTAATGGTATGCTCGTTAAATAAATGATATGAGTCTGATCTTTCATGAAAGATGGTTATAAATGTACGATGGGTCATTGAAATACAGTCATTTTTGTTGTATTTCTTTCACACTTAGAAAAATAACAATAATTAATTACATCATCAATCTGCATGATTTTTAAGTTGGACTTATAGTCAGTCTTTACGCAAATGGAAAACTACTTTTTACCAATTCAACTTTTTAACGTAACTGAACAATGAAATGTTTGATTCAATTTGTATGCTGACTTCTTGTATTTACCATGTTTCTCGACCAATATCTTTATATTAAACTTATTGTATTGCTTATTTAGAACCACCAAATGTGTCTTTTGTTTCTAAATCACGTAAGTTACTGCTCTATTTATATTTTGTATGCTTTATTGAACTATGGAGGAACTTAGATATTACACTGAAATCAATATTTCATTACGTAGAAACAGCAATAAATTATCTTATCCGAGCGTTTACTGGGTTATTTTTGCAGAAAGCAATGGTCTCTCAAATGGTATGATAGCTGGAGTGGTTATAAGTGTCTTGTTTGTGCTGTTAGCCATTATTGGTATGGGTTTGTTATGGAGACGTCAGAAAAAGAAGGAAGATTATAAACATGAGCGATTCAATAATCCAATTATGTATCGGGCAGATGAGGACGATGCAGATGACTAGGACTAATATAAATTAGCTAATGAGCTCCTTCGAAAAGTTGCTAAGCGTTTTTTCTTGTTTTATTTTATGATTCATTTGACATGTGACGATTATTTTGTCGTTATCTCAATATCTAAACCAATTTTTTTTCTTTTGAAGAAAAAAATAATTTTCTTTGATCCCAATTTTATACACAATAAAACTTCCCTACACGAGTACTTAAGACTATTAATTACTTGATGAACAAGAATAAATTGTAGGATGATAAGAGTAACCTGCAGAAAATTCAAAATTGTGTGTTGACAAGTTTTCTAGCAATCTTATTGAGTCTTTAACATTAAATCCAATAACAGCCGAAATATATAAAGAAAATACTCCGAAAAACGGTCTATTTTGTCATGGATTTTGCAAATATTGAGAAATAAAGATGGCATTGTATGGGGAGTATCTTTATATTACATACATGAAGTTTTATCATTTTCAAGTTAAACATGCAAGTAGAGAGCAACAAAAATCTGCATAACCTAGAGAAACTGTACATTTAGTCGAATAGTTTACTTATATACCAGACCTACCGAAATAAGTCATCAATTGCTGCCTGTTACGATCTATTTTTCGATTAAGGACAAGAGAATCTGACAAAATTGTTATATTTTTACGGTTGACAAATGAACAACCAAAAACAGAGTTATAAGTGTTGTTCAAATTTCATGGCAATTTGCCTTGAGTGTACGAGTAAAAACATATTGTATATCTACGATAATGACGTTTTAAGAATTTGACAAGTGCAAACAAAAATTACTTTGAATTTATTAAAACATATATGGGAAATTCTTTAGAGTAGTGGAATTCTTAAATAATACCCGTTGAAGACATTGAACGTTTGAAATAGCTATAATCATGCACTGCATAGGTTAACTTTTGAGGAGGACGCGTATATGCTGCTGACACCTGTGCTTGAATGGCTTTTTATGGAGGGTCGGAGGTCGAGTGTATATCAAAAGATTATGATCGAACGTTTGGGCTTAGTGCAGAAGATCTCAGCTATCTTATTGAGTCAATTATCATAAACCTTTTGATTAACCTGAACTTATTTAACAGATGTATTATTATTTGAAAAATGATAAAAAATTCTACCTCAAGTTTGAACTAAAATATTAAATCCTTTATGTAAGTATTAACAGGTGTCGGTTTGAGTTTATTTTTTCTTCCGTGCATGCGTGTGATTTTAAAGTATTTCATTACTGCTACAAATATCTAAAATCCTGAATAGACCGACTTTTGCTATGTATAAGATCATCTAAATGAATATTTATGAGACTAATAAAAATGGTAATTATTTTTTTTCGTTAAATGACCACAAAAGTGCTTTTTGTTATCGCTCTTAGCTTCGTTTTTTCCTGCTCTTTAACTCGTATAAATTATCTTCGTTATAAGAATTGTATAAATTATCTTTCGTCACTATAAGAAGCGTGTGTTGCGTTGTATACTCACTATTCATAACGTTTCATCTTGTGAGGTGACGAAGAGAATACTGGACATACCACTATTCATACACTCTTAATATTTCATCTCGTGAAGTGATAAAGAAAATACTGAAGGTAATTGCCAGGCATTGTATGTATCATATTGTAAAATTCTGTTTTGGGGGGAAATATTCAGTGAAATTCAATTGCAAATACAATGAATATATATTATCAAGCGCAGGGTACAACAGTTGAAAATGCATGTTGCATGATTAGTATTGGACCCTCGTTTTAAATAGATAGTTGGGTAGTTGAGCTCAACATTATTTCAATTTTCTTTAATCTTCATATTTGGCACAGATGCTACCCACCTTATATCGAATCAAAATATTGACAGGCACACTTGACTAGGTCATGTGATAATTGACGTCATCACTTTGTTAAAAAGGCCAAAGATTGTAAATATTTGTATTGAGAAGAAAATTTAATGGTGATTAATTTTTACCAATGGATTATTCCAAACATTCATAAATCTAAATTTACAACGTTTAGATACATCTTTATTGTTTACAGTAGTTATACAAACATGTTAGGAAACAGTTCACACCTAGGTGAATAGCAATCATCTTAATATGGCCAATTGTGAAAAGACTGACTAATTCGGTTAATTTATGAAAAAAACTAGTGTGTTTTGTTTTTAATGCAGATGCCTCATTTAACAAAAATCCGCCATGGAACATATCAAAAATTTTACATTTATATACTCGACAAAATTTGCACAAAATGTGTTGACGTCATTAACCACGAGACCTAGCAAAAATACCAAATCAGCATAAGCTGGTATTTTCTGGGCCAAGTTTGAACATTTTAGAATAATATTGTATTGTTGACCGAAATTATAATTCATATCGTTTCAACTTTAAAAATACATGCAAGTATATGTAAAAAGTTCAATTTATTTAACTATTATGTATTACGATTAGTTTGCTCTTAAAACCTGTGAAATCTCTAAATTCAATACTGTTGAAATTCAATTGTAGATTGCTAATAGCTCAATCGCCTAGGTTTTCAACACCTTAAGTTGTAGCTTATACCGAAAAATCAAATTTTTTTATTTTTCTGTCAATAATAAGAATTTATATTGTCAAAATCTTATTTGCCTTTCAAACCGTATTTGTACTCGCTTTTAATATAGAGACAGAAATAATGGCATGATTTGAGAAAGGCTAGATGTACATTTAGTTGTGGATGTGGTGCTTAAAAGAAGTGCATGAAAAACGGATGATATCTTTTGATTTCAGCTTTTATTCGTTACTCTATGTAGTATCTTAACTGAAAAATAAAAAAAAACACGCAAGTATAATAAAACAGACTGTTCCTTTATTTTAAACCTGCAGCACACAAAAGCGAACAGCTGAGCTAAAAGTTACTTGTGCCCGTGAGCTCACGCGATAGCTTGCTGTGTGCGCATGAATTTTACTGAGTTTTATGGCTCGTGCAACCTTTTCTCGCATATCAAGCATGTTTGATATTTTTGGCTACGTGAGGCAAAAAACTCACTGTTTGCGCTGAATGTGAGCCTGGTGCTCGCATATAACCAAACAAAAAACCAATAGCGACGCGTTCTTTTGACTCGTGACCAAACATCAAAATATAAGCCACCACTAAAAACGAATAGATGAGCGAGTACATGTTAGACAAGTTTAAGTCTTTGACAAACTCGTTGACTTATGGCAAAGATACCCCTTTGTGTTTGATGTAAGTTCTCCAGATTTTAAAATAAC